GTCGGCCCTCTCTCTTTCCCTCAAACGGAGTTCGCGAGCTCGAGTTTTTGTTTTTCTTTCCGCCGGCGATTCGGACCGCACGCGCGATTTATTATATTTATAAGTCCGAAGTCGGTCCGGTCGTCATCAATCAAACTGTCGTTATCGCAGACGACTTTGGACGCTGCCAGAAGGGAGCGGTGTGCTGCTGCAGAGAAGTGTCGATTTTAACCGCGCCGCACCGTTCTCGCCGAATCCCTTCCGGCCGTGGGATTGAATTTCGATTATGGACGACGACGGTTTATATAAAGGTACCTCGTTTATATAATATACCGGCGTACTCTCCACTGACCACTATAGGCTAGTAAAATTTTTGGTGCGACGATGACGACCGCTACACACTATTTATAAGACATTAAAAGTCATCGTATTTTTCCATCTCTCTTACGTGGTAAAAAATATCTGTCGCGAGTGAAGACCGCTGAACACGACGTACGAACTCACTTAAAATTATGTAAAGCAAACATTAGTCTACTATTTAGTTAAGATGTTCTGTTGCTTGATGTGTATTTGTGCATATGGATAATATAATAGTATAATTACTATATTTTGTTCAAAGGCTGATGTATCAAAATAGTTTTAAACCCGATTTTATTATTGCATACAAGGCATCAGTACTGTTTGGATAATAATATTGTAAATTCCATTAGACATATTATTATTATTATTCCAGTACTGTATCCAACTGTTTTTATACCTTTTAAAGCTTAACATAATAATAATAATAAAAATTATTCGTGGCATAATGGTATTTTAAATATTGAGCGAAGCTGAGTTATTATATAAAAATGCCTACACGAGTGAATAGTTAATATTATTTTGTAAATCGAAATATCATTTAAAAACAAAATATGATTAAATTGATTAACTTCATAGTTAAATACGGTGAAAATTCCATATTACTGGTTAATGAATTAAAAATAATTTATTGAATAACAATAATAATAAAAATAGCCATTATTTATATTATTTAATGGTATGGAAATATTTTTATTACATTTTTGTTGTAGGTGCATTCTGCAAATTCGTTAAAATAATATTATTATTTGAGTATTAATATTTTATGTAAAACCAATTGGCTATCAATGCTGTAGTTTGATGAAAAAAATTTATATGGTATTAATTATTTTATTCGTATTACAGATGTGAGTATGTAACCCAGGCAGAACTGAATACTTGTCTGGTACATTGTCCGTAAAATATATTATGCTATTGGTGGATAAACTATCAATCGCTAATAATTTCGGCGATGTTGATAATTACCAATTGTTTTTTTCTTAAACGTTGTACATTTTATTTATAAAACCAGAAAATTATTAAATACTAATACCGAGATGTACATTGCATATTAATGCCATGTTGACTCTTATGATTGGACAATTAAAATAGTAACCACGCTGTATGGAGGTAATAATTACATGATTTCAATTTTGTTGCTTACTTTTTATCGACATAATGAATTCAAATATGTTTTTATACTTTATGATAACATTCATAGAATATTGATACGGTTATATTTGTTATTATTGTTTTTTCATCATAAAAACACATTTCAAATAAGTCGAATTTCTATTAGAACTTAAAAAATATAGTTTTTCCTTGCGGTCAGTGTGTTATAATAAACAAAATCTGGGCAATGTTGTATTCAAACTATAGCGCATACAGCTTATGCATTGATGTAGGTGCTTGCAGACGATTTTGTAGGCCAAAAGCCAGCTTTTGGGGTGGTTAGAGGCCTCAACCTGTGTACGACTGATATTACGTTGGTGAATAAACGTTAAAATACCGGCTGGCAGTATTGTGTTAAACAGTTCCCACCCGTTTCAGGTTTTTGATCGATAAAAAAAATACGTCTACAGACTAGCAACACTCTGCAGGTACAAAGAAATATGATTTCGCATTAAACATGCACCCCTCCCTCCCCATACAGTGAGTTTTTATCGAGAATGTATAGGACAAGAACGAGACTGGCGTATTGAGTGATTGGAAAATTTATTGGTCGCAGTAACTCTTTGTAAGATATTATAATTCTATTTAAAATTTTGGACATGAAATACATATCTATAAGTGGGTGTTCTGAATTTACAATAATAAATTATGTCGTCCTTCGGTCGTCGTTTTGTCTCAGACACGTCTGTGCCATAGTACAATAATAATAATCATGCGGATATTTTGAAGTCGACGGTGATATGCAAACGGTGGTTTAAACAAATTCCAGCACATTTTTCCCTAGGGACGTAGTAACGTTCAAATTATATTTTATGTGGTAAATCTAAACGGAACGATTTAATACTCGAGGTGATAAGAATAATAAATGATCATAATTATGACATTATAACAGTAATCTTTCAAAATTTTAGTCACTTCTAAAAAATTTCATATTCTGTTGGTTACAATACCCATAATGTATAATTTTACTTTAGCCTATTCGACGTCGATTGATATTAATTCTGATATTATTTTATACGGTTAAAAATTGTACGGTCTCGACTTCGGCGTACTTGAGCGCTATATACGGCGCTGAGTGAAAACTTTCCGGGCAAAGAATGCCGAGCATATAAGAATGCAAGTACGCGTGTATATATATCACGATAATAATAGATATTATATAGTATGAGTCGGTTTGCCGTTCGCGGAAATTAATTGAATTGCCATATACCATTGTGCCGCCGCCGACGCGCCCCATTCGGTTTTAATCACTCGTTGCGCGAATACACGGGGGACGCGATTCCGTGGCGGCGAAGACGACGTTCGTATCTGGTGCCGACGTCGAGTGGGCTCTCTTCTGTCCTTCTCTCACTCTCTCTCTCACTCTACATCTCAAGTCCCTTCGTTGGTAGACCGGCTGTGTAGGTACGTGTAATATTATCGTGACACCTACCTATAGAAATAGCCGAGTCACGACGATTCTTTTGACTGCAAACAATCGTTTCCTTGAAAAGTATTACAACGTTTTTGAAAGTATAATATACTATTATTATTATTATTATTATACTATGAAAATATGTCGTCGGAAGACATTGGATCAAGATATTTGGATAAAAAACATTATAATAATTCAAATATTACTCTAAACTATTTTTTTATCGTTTGTTTTCTTTTACAACCTAATATTTCAATAAATAAATACGTTTTCAATTTATAATCTGGAGTTGAATATTTTTTGATGGTCTAGAAAACCCATAAAAGCATGAAAGCGAAATATTATAAAGTATTGGAAAGGAAATTAAAAATCAGGAAATGAATATATTTTAATTTCAAAATCGGACGAATATCTACAATTTACATGGTTAAGTAATTTTCAGGAATACGTCTTATTCCTAACTAATATTGTAAGAATCTTGAATATTACTTTTCTGTAAATATTTTCCCATGTAATTATTTTCCTAGTTTTTAATTCCAGTACTTAAACCTTCCCATTTATTATTTTCCACATTTATATTTTCTTCAATCTCAAATTTCTGAGAATTATTTTCCTCTAAAATGTTTTCCTAAAATGTATATTTCTCGGCAGTTAGATTTTCCTGCGAATTATTTTCCAGATCATATTATTTGCCATCATAAAAGCATTCCTAATAAATATTTTCTCTAGCTTAAACTTGTCCCCGAAAATTACTTAGTTATCAGTCATCACCACGACATTATTTTTCTGAGACTTTCGATGTACAAATATCGAATCCTAGTAGTTTAGTTTTAGTTATAAGTTACTTATAACTTATAAGAATTTATATTTTATTTAAAGCATTTATGCGATGAGAGGGGTGGTATAGAAGTTCAAGAGAAGTGAGGTTTATAGATCTTCGCTTTAGCATGGTTCGACGACGGTATTCTTGCAAAAATATAATATTTTTTCCACTGATTTCGACATTTTTTTGATGTCGACATACTCTTCTATGAGTTAAATTGGTCCTTAGACCATTATTTCCAATGTCTATACAATATACATAATTTAATTACAACGGAATTTGTTTTCAATTTAATTTATTTTCTCTTCATCAGTATAATCGTATTTGGTCCCGGCTGCATACTAGCAGATTAGTTTCAAGTATTTAAGTTCAAATCACGTTGATTGCGTTTGGAGAGACATTTTAATTCACAAAATCTATTAGTCCTATCCGCTTACGATAAATTTCAATACGCCGAATAATTCTAAAACAATTCATTGATATAGTTTTTCATATAGCTTTATTCATACAACACAATTTTGAAACAAAAAATATGGATGTATACATATATTATAAACAGCTAGTGGTTTGTAAACAGCCATTTATTCTAAACGTTTTAACGATTTTAGAATTTTTTTTAGACAATTTCTAGCGATAAAAAAAACAAATGTATGATGCAAATAAGGAATAATAGTTTTTAATTTTTTATTATTATTATTTAAAATTAGATTTTTTTTAGTTTTTGGAAAGACAGCATACATTTTTCATTTAATATTTCAAATGGACATTTTTTTATTTTGAGAATTTGTATACATAAAAATCGAATTTTGAATGAGTTATTAAATATTTATAAACTTATTAAAAACAAATATTTTGCTTTAGCATATTGAACTAAAAAAACGCTCCACTCACCAACCTTGTCGACCAATCTCAGCCACTCTTCCACTCTTAAGTGTTTGCTCCCCATTGGGACTCTGAAATTTAATATCTAGAATCTAGATTATAAATTCAAATAGTGGAATATACATTTTACAATATTTTTTTAAACAATAGAGAGTTATAAGACGTATATAAATAATAATAATAATAATTTATTTGTTTTTTGGTTGATATGTCAATTATATCACGTGGAAGATAAAATATACAAGACTTTTTATATAAAAATAATTATATGATTAAATTAGGATTGTGCCTGATAAATTATTTGTATCCAAAGTTTTTCACAAAGCGCCTTTTTATTGTATATTTTGATTACAGACGGAAATGATTGATTTTTGTATTTTTGTTTTTTTCCAGCCCAAATCAACAACAATACGACGAGTTTGAATTCAACAAAACACATTTAGAAAAGTCTTCCATTCCGTAAATACCAATTTATATAATATTTAATTATTTTTGTTATATAATTATTATTACTATACTTGCAATAAAATGAATAAAATAAATATTATTATACGAACCACAGTTTATAATATTTAAAATATAATAATTTATTATAATTAATGCTTGACGGGAAATATTGTTCGTTTTCAGCTACACTGAAGATTATTCGGGTAGTGGTGAATTCGGTCTACAGAGTCCGACCGAGTCGCTGCCTTCACCCGTTCGTCCACCACTCAGACACATCGATAAATACATCAAACCGGAAATACCGAATCTTAGCAAGAGATATACAATAGCTATACTAACATGCGTCGGTAAATATGGCTTTACTGTGATATTTCAGTTTACGATATTTATGATGCCATAACAATAATATGAAAAATATAGTTATCAATTTACCTGTTTGTGTATTAAAAAAAATAATAGAAATATGATATGGATCACCTATAAATGTTAATGACAAAAGTATATCCCCTCCCTCTAAATTAAAAATAGCTTAAATAAATTGAAAACTACAATAGCAAATTTTGCTTAAAGAAGCATATTAATTTTATATTGTATGGGTAAAAAATAGTAGGCACCACTGTTATTGCAAAATGACTTATATTTATAAATTTTATAATACCTAATTTAATATTTTATTTTAATTTTCATAATTTTACTAATTTTCTCCTCGCCACATTTGCTGACGACACAGCAATATTTGCTTCAAATAATGACCTGAGACACCGCTTCACACAACTTACAATTGCACTTAAATTTAATTGAGTCTTGGGCAAATAACTGGAAAATTAAAATTAATGACAATAAATCCGCACAGGTTAACTTTTCCTTTAAGAAAAAAGAATGTCCCTCACTAAAATTTAACAACAAACTAATTCCACTACATCAATCAACCAAATACCTAGGTATCACTCTAGACAAAAGGCTAACTTGAGCAAATCATACAAAAAATAAACGTAAACAACTCAACTCCCACCTCCTTTTTACTCCGACCTCTTCTAAAATCGAAAATAAATCTTAAAAATAAAATATTAATTTACAAATCTATCATAAGACCAATATGGACCTATGGTATTCAAATATGGGGCCCAGCGAAACCAGCTAACATCCACCCCATTCAAGCCTTTCAATCCATCTCATTAAGACTCTTAACCGGTGCTCCGTGGTATATCACAAATTCAGCTCTCCATAATGACTTAAAACTTCCAACAGTAAAATATGAACTTGCTAAAAGCAACTATAAAAAATTCCATTCCAAATTAAATAACCATTCTAACCCCTTTATCAACAACATGTCTTCTCTCACAATACCTCTTAATATTCGATTAAAAAGAAATTGGGCTAGAGACCTTCTAAACTAAATCTAAAATTAAAAATAAAATAATTAAAAAAATTGCAATGCCCGAACTCAAATTTTTCGAGGTTCTGTCACTGGACAGTCTTACTAACCTATGTGCTACATGTCTTCTTTAATCATTATTATCATTGTTACTTATTGTTTTTGTGTGTAAACAGATTGTAATATTTTATAAAATAAAAAAAAAAATTTACTAATTTAATAAAAAAATAAATTGAGATAAATTTTAATTTGAGATGATGAATTTACTATAATATTTTGAAGTATAAATATATACAAAATATTTAAAAATGCATAAATTTATATAAAAATTCAAATTACATATTATTATTCTTAATCGTAAATTTACAAATATGTAAATAACTTGGTTTGCACCTTATAGCTCTTATGAAACTACAAATTAAAAAAGATATTAAAATCCTATCTTTAATAATACAGAAAGTTGTGTTTTTATTTTGTATAGGTTTTATGATTTCATTTGGAATGCGATGCAATATGTCGATGGCCAAACTGAAATTTCACATAGGATCCGATGTAAGTAAAACGCATCAAGAATATTGAATTTTCGTATTTTGGATAATTATTACCACTCCAAACAGTCAATACAGTTACTAATAGAACAATAATAATAATTATACTTATAATAAGTTAAAACTGTGTGTATACGTTATTTTGAATGTCGATCCTTATTGAAATTAAGAAAAAGTGCAATAATTCAATACTCTTAAAAAAAATGTAATGCTACTATAAAACGAAAGAAATGGTTAGTAATAACTGCAAATCATGTGGGAAATGTAATCATATAGTTCCCTATGAAAAAAAGTGCTTAAATCTTTATGTTTAACTTAATTAAAAGTAACTTGACTTTAAATTTTTAACTCGTTAATGCCCAGCCTGTGTAATACGGTCCATAGTTATGCGATTACTGTCGTCGCGGATCGAGTTTTCGGTCGATTATCGTTCGCCCGCCCAACCGTCCACGAGGACAGACGGTGTGACGAACTTTTCCGAGTTTTCACGGTTGCACCCTCAGTAGCGGTGCGCTTAATGTACCGTGAATCCGGTTGAAACTCGGCGCGCATATAACGCTTATATATATTTATTATATGCGAACGGTTCCCCTCGTCCGGGACTACTGCAGCGCTTATGCGTGTCCGACGACGACGGAGGCAAAAGCAATCGCATTTCGTTTGTCCGTTGCCGCCATATATAACAATAATATATATCGCATCCAGCGTTTCGCCAAATGCCCGCCAAAAACATCCCTCTCCACACCCTTCCCCCGCGATAGCGGACGAGCTTGCCACCAAACTCACCCTTGACTCGAATATTGACTACTTCTGTCATCGCGTACCATCGGCGCGGCGGGGGTTGAGAGCTGTTCGGCAAACGGAATTCATATAATATTATATATTACACGTACGACGATCGTATAATATACCACTAATATTATGGACCGCTGTCGGGTCAAAGGCACAGAGAGTATATTACGGTCACGGCCACAACGACGACGACGATAATAATAATTATAATCGTACGTCGAGACATTGTGTGCGGTAGGTATAATATTATTATTTACGAGTCGGAATGCAGCCGAAGAGAGCCTTTCCGTGGTTCCCGGGTCGCGTATAATTGAAAACGTCAAGCGAGACTACCCCACTGACATTGCGTCCACCTACCCGACGATCGGTCTGGATATGACACGACTTGTGCAGAGAATCGCACCGAATCTCCTCGGACGTTGTACATAGATACCATGGCAATGTCTTATTATTAGCTTTCTGCCTTCTAGAATTGGTGTATACAATAATAACAACAATATTAAATAAATAGCTGAGGGTTGAGTTCGAATACGCAAGTCATTATTTCTATCGATTTTGGATGTGACAACTGACAGTGTCATCTGCTCATCTCACTCAGTATACAGGACTGTAGGTGCGATCCGAAAAGTTGGTGTTATAAGCATAATATATGGTATGAATACATACAATAATACAGTGGAAAAGGATGTGACTCACTTGTATTATAATTTTTCAAGTTCAACGAACCATGATATTTGTTAACTCTATTCCTCTGCAGACGTGTCACAAAATTCAATTATACGTTAAACAATGTTATGAGCTATACTATTTCCATTGAGTTTTCAGTTTTGATTGAATTTGGAAACCAATAATTATTTACAAGAAAATTAAATTACGAGTACCTATAGAATGTTCTTAAAGCGCATAGACAGAGATAGCAAATAGAACCTTTTCAAAGTGAATGATTTGATATGGAACTTTTTCAATTGTATGTATAAACATCTATTTGGTGGGGGGAATTCTGAAAAGTTTGACCTTTAAGAGGCTCTTGGGGGGGGGGGATACTGCTCCTCTGCGACCAAGGGCGATTATCTTATTACTATAGGTACATACATTTTCTCTGTAATTTCATGTTTTTTGAAAATATTTTTGACAAAATCCTGAAGTCGTTGCTTACTCGTGTGCACAGTATAACTGATAGATATACCTAATATATTTATATATGATTTTTTTCCGTGTAAGACAGTGGAGGTATAGTCCTCCAGATATACAGCACCTTTTATAATAGCAGTGAAGTTAAGTTTGGACAGAGATAGCGACGACGCCATTGCGGCTGGAAGCTCTGAGAAACTTTGTTCTTAAAATCGAGGTTCGAACAACTGATGATGAAAACTGCTGCTTTCGTGCATTTGGCAATGTGGTTCCATATTATATAGTGCTCAGTTATTTTTGATAAGAAACTACGATTTAACTTTCCAAACTCGTACGACCTAATCAGAATTGATCACAAACACGATATTATATAGAATACAATACAGTTATAATATAATCTTATACTCTCAACGAAGTTACGTAAAAACATTTTTGACAGTTAATCGAGTACTGTTAATGTGTTTACCAAATATTGTATTGTACATTACGTGAATACGTGATTTTATAATATCTATTATAACCAAAGCTGAACAAGTTAATAATGAGAATAATGTAAGTTAACTCTGAAACTTTAAGCTTCTTTAAGCTATTAGTTAAAAAACAATATACGCACCCACTATCAACTCTTAAATATTAAAGTTACTACGGGGAATATTAACTCAACTCAGTTCAAAATAAGATTGTTCGTTTAAAAAAATGTATACACATATTATAAACATAATTTTAAAATTAACTGGAAAAATTCAATTTATTTCAAGATCTTTATTAAACCTTTGTATATATATGATGCGTTTTTGTAAATCCTAAAATCTTACTTGCGTTGCAGGACGATGAGGTCAGCACAAATATCACCACGACCACACCGCATACGCCTTTGGGCAACACTCCCATTCACGAACGGCCAGTAAGTATATTATGTTGACATTCGATACGTAATTAACATAATTTTTCTATGATAAATAAAAATATGACGAATGTTAAGCCGTATGCTTGCGATAGATCACGATTCACGTGACGTCAACGGTGCGCGTAAACGATAATCATATTTTCTTTTTTTTTTCAGATCAACTGGTCCCTCGGGTCATTTGTCGCCATCGAGATGTCGTTCTTTTGTGGATATCTGATCACCCAAGTGCCTGGCGGTTTTCTGGCATCCATGTATCCAGCCAACAGGTATTAAATAATGTCTTCAGATGTTATTAATGATTAATAATGATAATACTGTGAGGTATATGAACCAAACGATAGTATTTATGGCCCGTTTAAAATTTCTATTCTCTTTTTGGACTATGAATTTGATCATTATATACCGACGAGCAATATTTTTAGTGATGATGAGCAATGTCGTATTACAATTATTGCCGTCTTTAAAATATAAAAATAAAAAAAACAATTTTTTTGTAGTTATTTTTTGTCGAGTTAAACCATTCTTTGTTTTGGTTTTAATTTTAGAACATATTATTATGGTAGTAACTCCATTATACTGTTTTGCAAATCTATAAAAAAGTCTACTATTTTGAGGAAATCGCTATTATAAGTTCCGTTAGGGTAGCCTGTAGGTTTTGCTGTATATTATTACATTTAAGTGTCTGAGTTTGTTTTTTTTTAGAGTTTTCGGGATCGCTATCGCCATGTCATCCTGTCTGAATCTGTTGGTGCCTTCCGCGACGGAGATCGAGAAATCTTTGTACGTGATTATCATCAGAATGTGCCAAGGATTGGTCGAGGTAATAATATATCACAGACTTTAATATAAATTATGTCTGGGAGTTACACAAACAGAGTTTAAGGCTAGTTTTCAAACGATCGATTCGGGATGATGTTGTATAATATAGTTTAAATTATCCCGACAAAATAATCAAAACAAACATGGAAAATAATAATATACCCACATATTAATATTTTTGATTTTATCATCGAAAAAAATTGACCAATGAAGTTTATGACCATGCCGAGTACTCACGTAGTAGGAAGAAATAACAGTTTTTATAGGTAATAACTAATGTAACGTAACTTATAGGCTATAGAAATATAGAATATTAATACAGCATATGTTTTTTTGAAGGTATGGGTGATAAAAAGGTAGTTCTTATATTTTATAAATTTCTTAGTAATTCTCATTGTTTTCAAGAGGTAATCTTTGTTTTTTGTTGTTTACTTGCTAATTTTTGAATAATTTTTACGAAAATATAAATGTTAATAAATATATTTTGTTGATTGTATATTTGTATATATTAGTCGGGTTACCTTCTTTATTTTAATGTTTCATCGCCGAAATTATTTCCTTTGTTAGGTATAGAGATAATATTCTTAAAATATGGCTGATAAAATAATTATAGGAATACAGGTTATTGTAGTTTTACCACGGATTATATTAAACAATATAATATTATAGGTTTAATATAAACTGTGGTTTTACCAAAGTGGCCGCATATTATTGACTTATGACGAAATGAACGAATCTAATATGATTTTTTTTTTGTTTTATTTTTCAAGTTTGAATAAATTAAATACTAATAAATGTTTTTTGTTTTGATTTTTTAGCAATTGTAAATGTTTTTTACTATTTATTTAATGCAAAATCCGAGCTCTTGTAATAACCGTAGAGATTAGAGCAATAAACTAATAAATGTATACGTACATTTTACCATCCGTTTTTATTCCATTGACGAAATTTCATTGTTTTTAGTTCAAATTTTAATAAACATAGAAAAAATTGTATGAAACAAAATGCATTTAACGAAACAAATGTGCAATAACTCGTTATTGATAACATGTGAAACGAAAATTGAATTTATAAGTTAAATTATATTGATCTTATCTGGTTAGAATTATATTATTACCAGTTACCAACCATGTTATATAATTAGGTGTGTTAAATAATATGGTTAAAATGTTACCGATTTCACACAAACAATACTGTTAAATTTACCAAAACCTGGTAAATTCAACAAATTTAGTAGTAATAATATTAAGGTTTGTATTTCAGACCTTATAGAAATATTTAATTTTTATTTCTATTGGTATGGTAAAATTAAGTCTGTTCCCAAAAAAAAATTTTTTGAAAATCCCCCATGGTGGTTATAATAAATTATTCAATAACCGTTTTGTAATGATCATAGGGCGTCACATATCCGGCTTGTCACGGAATCTGGAGACATTGGGCGCCACCATTGGAAAGATCACGTCTGGCCACCATAGCCCTGTGCGGTTCGTATGCGGGTGTGGTGGTCGGCATGCCTCTATCCGGTACTCTAATCGACTGGTTCAGCTGGGAAGCGCCGTTTTACGTATACGGTAACCCTATAGTTTTACAATAATAAGGCTCTAAATTTGAAGCTAAAAAAACCGACAAAATAATAGGCGACGCACCCTAACGAAATATTTTTCTAAATATTAATAACAAATTCACAATATCATATTAATTAATATAGTTGCTCGAGAGGTACCGATAAACAGTATTTTTTGCAATAGTTTAGTTCAGTTGGATACACTTATTTGGCGATCATATGTAGATGACATATATATTATACAAATGGTATTTACTATTTAATAATAAATGCTACTGAGAATAGAAAATATAGTATTCTAGATACATTTAAAAGGTCATTTAAATAATTAAAAATTTATTAGGTGATAACAATTAGTTATTTAAGCTAAACTAATGTTATATTATTGTGCTTATGTTAATTTATTATATATTATATATATTATTTATACATAAAAATGATTATCTGAGCACAACTATACTGTCGATATAGATATATAATAATAATATTAATACAATTTGTCAAATGTCTACTATAAAATATGTAATCCATGAAAATAATTGATACCAAACACTCGTGCATGATGGCACAGGAATCTGGTTCATGTGTTCAAAAATGGTGTGTCACAAAGTTGAGTTTTATAAAATTGAGTCTAATAAAAATCAATTATCATAAAAGCATTTTTTAGAAAAATGATTTCTTTTAAAAGTTAAGTGTTGTAATTTATAACTTCGTTAAGTATAACATAGATATGTTTTGGACTTACAAGATATATTTCTACTGCGCATATCTATGGTTCCTCAATAATTGTTCCAGAGGAAAAATAATTATTAGCATGCTACATTTATTTTCATTAAATTTGGTATTATATTGACTTTTGACTTGTACTCTGAACAAAGTATACGTATCAACAATCCTCCTCACCATCAAGAATAAGTGTAAGTGTAAGATTATATTTTTATTTTTTACTTAATATTTTTATTGATATTATTAATACCGAATAAATAATATCCATTAGTTTAGATTTTTGACTATCACTTCATCTATACAAAGAACGTAATTATAACAATAATGCATACTACTTATATAAGAAAACATTTTTAAAATCAACATTGTATTTTTTAATAATCTAACCCCTATAATTTACCATTATTATGTAACTATTTTGTGGTTGTGACGTTATAGTAAGTAAGAACACTTTTATAACACGTGACTTACAAGAAATATTTCTTATTAAGAGACTTTTTTAACAAATGGTTTTTAGAAGACTTCATTTTAAGAGACTTAAATGACACACGTCTTTCGAACACTTGCCTAGTTATCAGAAGACAGAGGTTATTTTTTGTATTGGCATTTAAATAGTTTGTTTCAGAATCAAATTAGCCCAACTTTGAGGTAGTAGATTGAAATTTAAGAAATTATGAACGCTATGTAGATATTAATTGCTATAAAATTAAAAATTAATTAATTGCTACCAACATCATATGTAGTAACTGTGTTGTACTATTAATCTAATTTTCATAGTGATCTTACCAGTATTAGGTACTTTAAAAAACTAACTAAAACTAAAGAAGATTAATACTATTTATCAAAAACAAATCGAAATTCAATGATATTATTAAAGCTATATCTATAGGTATTTACAAAAATGTGTAAACAATAATAATTAAACAATCTTATATTATCTTAAAAAACCATTATAATTGACTGGAAATCTCTATTGGCACTATTAAAATAATATACTTGGCTGGTAAGCTTTTTAGCGCCATAGTCGCGTCGTGGCTCGTATAATATTATTATACTATGAGTAAGTGTGTAGTAATCGCTGTACTATATTATTCTGCACTTTAGGAGTATTGGGGCTGATATGGTACGTATTTTGGCTATGGCTGTGCTTCGAGAAGCCGAGCCTCCATCCCACCATATCGGCCAGAGAGTTGAACTACATCGAATCGTCGTTGGGTGCTGCCAAACAGTCGGCTGCTCCAACAATCCTCAACACGCCCTGGAAAGAATTTTTTACCTCCATGCCCGTTTACGCCATCATAGTCGCTAATTTCTGCCGGTCGTGGAACTTCTATCTCCTCGTGCTGTTCCAAGCATCTTACCTCCACTCGTTCAACTTCGAAGTGTCTGCAGTGAGTAATAGTTATGCACATTAATATCTCATATTACATACGAGATGATTTACTAAGCATTTAACATGCTTGGCTCCCTTTTATTTTTCAATAATGCAGTTATTTGACATTATGCCGCTTTTCGGAGTATTTAAATGTACTTAAGTAGTTGAATGTATTTTATGCATACAATTATATGTTTATATTTTCGCTGTGATACGTCCATATGGATACACAGCCCTTATATATATAGCTTTGCCTATGATTGTGACTTAAAAATAGCCGTTTTATATTATCGAAATATATTTTTAAACATTTTCATGTTTTACTTACGAAATGAAATGGTACAAAACATGTGTTTCAACATCATTTTGGGGGTCAGTCTATACACTAGTTTTCTTTTTCTTTTCAAAAACATTTTCGTGTAGTAATGTATTTTGTTCTACGAGTTTTTAATGTTTTTGATCTTTGCAGTATAGTATAATATGTTTTTGATGGTTTTCATTATTTGATCCAATACGTATTGAACGGCGCAATGTATATGCAATATAGGTACTTACCGGCGTAGGAGAACATATTTTGAGAACATAATCATAATATTATTATATCTTCCTTATAAGTAATTACTAAAATAAATGTAGTGATATTATACTGATATTGGTGGGAAATTTCTGGAAAAAAATTATATAAAATAAAATATGTTTGGATATTAATATGTTAATTACTAACATTTAGGGAAAAATAATTTAATAACTTTTTTTTTGTATTTTTCAAGTTCAAATAAATGATTATTTGACATTTATAATTTAATTTGCATACAAGATCTGACCTGTAGATCAATTATGTTTGTGTTTTCACTTTTACAGACCGGTTACATCGGCGCTCTGCCTCATCTTCTGATGACAATAGTGGTGCCTCTTGGAGGTCTGCTGGCCGATCACATACGGAAAAACGGTATCCTGTCCACCACTAGCGTCAGAAAGATTTTCAACTGTGGTGGTTTTGGCATGGAAGCCACATTTTTCCTCGTGTTGGCCAATGCTCGCACGCCGCTCATGGCTACAATCGCTCTGACCTGCGGCGTGGCGTTCAGCGGGTTCGCCATTTCCGGTAAGTGCAGTGAATCCGTCCCATCCCAGTCTCGCACAATCCTGCCCGAACTATTACAGTTAGTTGAGAAACCACGTGTGGACCAATCAATATACAATATTGTATTAATCAGTGTAACCTGTTAGGACCGAATTATACGTATCCCATTATAGTTATACAGATCCAAAGTTAACATTTTTTGGTATTTTTTGGTTTCGGTTCATAATATTTTAAATGTTTTTTGGTTCCTGGACCGGTTCTTTTTTAGTCCCTGGCTTAATATTATAATCGACACTTATTTCAAGCTAATCAAAACGATATAAAATTATGATGCGATTGGTATGGAAAATGATGTATAGCAATGAAGTATGAGATTTCAGCTCAAAATATTAAAATTTTGGAAACAATTTTTGATTTGTTTATAAATTTAACATAATATTTTAACTGATTTGAATTTCAGTACTTGTTCATTAAATAAAAATAAAAATGAACGAAATTATGATGTTTAGCATTTTAATTGTTTATTAGTTCAACATTAAGAAGAGTTTTTGGAATGTTTAGACTTGAAAATATGTTACATAAAAACAAGTATAAGCTTATCGATGAATCGAAATCCTCTAGAAAAGTTCCTACAGGTTATTTTTAGGCGAATATCTCTAAAAATATCAGTTTTTTGTTGTTTAATAAGTAACAATACGTAATGTAAAGTCGGTTTGTGAAAAATGGCATTTATTTGTTTGAGTTCTCCATATAATTCAGATTTTTTGACTTGGACTATACGTTGAGTTTGTCATGAGTCACGACTGTGTTATATACAGGTACAGGGCCCCAATGCACTGGTTAATTGAAAACTGTTTAAATACGTATTACTATTTTAACTTACAGGGTTTAACGTTAACCATCTGGACATTGCACCGAGATACGCAAGTATACTGATGGGCATATCGAACGGAATCGGTACGATAGCCGGACTTCTGTGTCCGGTCGCAATCAACATCATCATCAGGCACAAGGCACGTATAATGTTATACCATGGTCAGAGTTTGGGACTTAAAGTATTTAAGTAACTATAATATATCCATACCAAACGTAGCAAGACATAGCAGAATAATGAGTGAATAAATGCGTTATAGCAGAGTACTTATGGATGATAAAATATGAAAATGTATTATTTCGATGTTTTTTTCGCGTTATGCTTATTTTACATATTATTTTTGGAATTTTTATTTAATATTAGTCATTAAGTTACATTTTTTATTTCCCTTTATTTAATAGTGATAATACTCATAGCCCATATATCGGCCACGGTTTTTAATGCGGTGTACCCATCACATTATAAAAAGATTTGATTTGATTTATTAAAATATATAATAAGAAGCAGCACCTCTCAATAAAAAAAATCAACGTTTTCCAATGTCGTATAAAATAGAATTTTGTAGTGTATTTTTTCACTTAATTTACCTATAAATGATAAATCCTAAACTCTTATTTGACTACACCTGTTGGTGCAGTCACCCCAATAAATCTTTTTCATTAAATGTATATGACCTATTAAAACAGTAAATACTTTCTCACCCTGATTGGTTTTGAAATTGTTGTAGACGAGGCAGAGCTGGAGCGAGGTATTTATACTGGCCGCTGTCATTCACTATATTGGGGTGGTGTTCTACGGAATATTCGCCTCTGGAGAATTGCAACCATGGGCCGAGCCCAAGGTCGAAGAAGATCAGCAAATGGACGAGGTAGGTTGGACCTGAGCAATATAATTGAATAACATATCGCTAGAACAACTAACTCCAAAAATTTCTATATTTTGAGAAAAAATCAATTATATGTTTTTGAATATTTTTAAGATTTCCCTACTTTTTTCGATTATAATTTCTAAGAAAGCTGAATTTTTAATAATATGTTTATTTTTAACTAATTATTTTTTTATTAATCATATGGCGATTAAGTTGTGATGGTTAATACTAAAATATATTATTTATTTCGTAAGTAGTTAACCGAAATGCACCGATGCAAAATAAAATATAATACATATATAAATTATGTTTTGCCATCTAGCGGACAAATTGTTCTTTATTGGGCTTTGTAATACTAAAATGTTTTAATAGAAACGAAAGTGACTTTTTTATAAGTTAAGGGTGAAGCTGTTTTGCTAAGAAAATATTATGTCTCATGGTATAATTAAAAGTATATTAGTATTGCTATATATTAGACTACAAATAGGTTTATTTCTGTAATGTGGTAAACGAGGACTGCAAGGATATAAAATATAATATTATAAAATGTATAAAGATGGGAAACTCTATAGGGGGAAAGTCATGTGAAAACAGTTCATCCTTTGGCAGCGGTGTCACCAAAAATGAAAAAGATGGTCAAATAATCAAATTTTTTTTGTAAAAGTCTAGTCGGTGGAAAAAGTGATGTCAGTAGTTTATAAGTTTGACAATTTCTATCGATTAAAAAAAATACACATATTTGTACTAACAACTAACTTTAAAGGAGGAAATATCTCAGGACACGTTAGAAAATATATATTGTGAACTTGTAATGTAAAAATGTAACTCAGTTTTCGATTGAATGTTATAAATTATGATTTCCTTCGTTAGAGGAATAAGATTGGAAATCGTTAGATTAACACCGTGCGTATATTGTAATAACTGTTTACGGAGTTTACTTTAGGTGCATCACTCGCGGTTAACAATACCTAAAATATTTTTATTAATATTCTGACGGTTGAGACGTCTCAAACTTGTCGGTTTAAAGTAAAAACAAAAAACAAAAAAAATATTAATACGAAAATGCTCGACAGGTGAGCGTTGACAAGAAGAGTAAGCTCTCGTCGTACGGTTCAGTCGAACAGTCGTCGGGCAAAGGGTTCGTGAACGCTGGCCTCAACACCAACAGCACCGTCGGCGATGCCGAACCAGCGCCGCCGACCGACAACCCGACAAATCCGTTCCTGGCCAAGCCCACAGTCACCACCACAAATCCGTTCGCTACGTCTCAGTGATAATCTGATTATGCTACATTAATAATAAATCGCTGATGTAACGGATAATTCGAGTTCGGATCGCACTGTCGTGGCGTCGATTATTAATACACGGATTATATTATTGTAATACAATAATAATAAGTAATGATCATTATTATTACAACATTATATGGGCCAGTACTTCGCGAGCAATAATACCGTTAACTGCGTAGTCTCGATTGTGTGTGTTTCTATCTTGTAGTTGTTTCGTAGGTATTACAATAATAATGTTTAGGTAGATACTCGTACTATTATTAAAATCGATTTTCTCTCAATTACGATTTCGGTAATAATATATGTTATAGTAATAACTAATAATTATAATAATATAATAATAGTATTATCGTACACACTCATTGTGGCATCTATATATTGAATAATAATTTATTATTATATAATAGAACCTAGAACACGAATTTCGCGTTTATCGATACTACAATGTAGCGTAAATTGTAATACATTTGCATTTATCGATGTTTCCATATTAATTATTATCTTAATATTTTAATATACTGTCAATTTGTTTTTATACAATACCGAACAATATAGATGTCGTCTTGTAACGGATGTAAGATATATTATATTATTATTTATTATAATGTTTATAAAGCTTTATCGTCTCGAAAGCTCTCTGCCACAACGTTATAATAATGTGTAATATTATAATATATTTTATATATATATTTATTACTTAACCTATGTAGGTAGCTACTGTCAATCGTATCTGAAATTATGGTACTTACGTATTATCCGGTAGACTGTAACTACTGTTTTTAAATTCAAAAATATTAATATCAAGAATACTCAAATAAAATATAATAATTGTGATTATGAACCAAAATACCTAGTACAATATTATTTCACTCGTACAAAAAAAAAAAAAAAATATAAAAGTTTGTTTGAAAGAAAAAAAATACACATAGGTGAATAAACTTTATATTATTATTGCTATTATCGGGTACTTGCAAAATACTCTGTTGATATTAAAGTTATTTAATACGTTTTTTTATGAAGAAAGTTGTGTGTTTTAGGGTAAAAACAATAACATTGCAGTATCCATATATTTTGAAATTAAATCAAATCAATTTTTCACATCATCGGGATTCTAACATTATGCAAACTGTAAAATATAACAGTATTACCTACGTCCATAAAGTTGTCGACCCTGTGCAAAAAATGTTTTATTAGTAAAAAAGTGCTTTTACACGCCATCATGTCGTCGTCCATAGGCTGCTATGTACCGTTTATTTGATCACGAAGTTAACTAGGATGAAATATTTGTGACCTGGTGACTGGTTAGAGAGTGTAACCTTCAAGTTCTGAAAATGTTGCCAGTAGTGTGGCATTTGATAACCATTTGACACTGAACTGCAAGTTATGATATAGTTGAATATTTTTCAACTTAACGGTAACACCTAACCGGTTGCTTAGTATGATATTAAGAAGATAAGCACAGAGTTCCACCAATAATTACAACACTTGCATTTTAATATAACATATTATTGTGGTCCATGGACGACATGACAGAGTGTAAAGGCGCTTTAAAGGTTGTATACGATTCTACTAATGGTAAACAGGAATGATAATGGTCATTCATTTAACGTATAACACTCATAGATTAAAAACAACTTTTTTTTTTACATAATCTTAGGTCGTTAAAAAACAAAATGTTCTTGAAAAATTATGTTTCTTACTATTTCTTATCGTAGTTATTTTTGAAAATTGTCTAATGACAACAATCCGTTTCTTTATTCCAAAGCAGAGTATTTTTTTGAGTACTTCGATAAATAAAAATCAAATTTTTGACGAGCAGTTAAGTAGGTATTTAAAGTTTAAATGAACGGAGGTGAGTGGCACACGGGTACTCCGAAAAATCTTAGTCATTCAAAACAGAAACAATTTCAACATTTACAACGATAATATTTATAAAAATGTTGTCTGGTAACGACTTCAAATTATAAATTACAAATCGATGCAGGTACCACGTTACAGTCTGCGGACAATAATATTGTACGTAAGTGTCATAAATTACAATGACGCAATGATCGCATAATAATGTATACTGTCAATTTCTTTTTATACAATGTAATAATAGATAGGTACTATTCCGTAACGGATGTTAAATAGTTATAATATTACGTGTTAATGTCTTACTAAGCTTCGTCGGCTCAAAAGGGCTCGGCAGCACTTTATATAATAATAATATTTTAGGTAGGTACTATAGGGATTAGATTATATCGTCTTAGGTTAGGTTAGACATTTCCGAACGATTGTTATATTATAATGTACGTTTTTTTTTCGTCTAACACAAAATATATTGTATTAAGATAATGCTTATTTTCTGTCAAAATCGAACGAGTGTTGAAATGTGATAAGTAATATTATGCACAGCAATATCAGCGCACATGTATTGTTTGGGTTAAAAATAAGTAGTTATATTTTATCGAACAATCATCTGCGATTTTTCAGTTGAGATTTTTTCGTCCACTCACATGCCGTGGACATCGGGTATGACACGATTCTTAACCGACGCGTAATATGTTTATTATAGGTGCATAATATTATTATAATTATAATAACAATAATTATGATTATTATTTTAAGATTATACATAATATTTAGTAAAACGGTTGTATAGGAGACGACGTGGTTGAGATAGGTACTAATAATAATAATATAACGTCCCTCGTCCAACGCTCATCTATATTATGATCGTGATTTAGAGTAAGTGTTATGTTGTTTTAGCTCGTAAATTAGTATTAGACAATTTAAAAACAAAATATAAATAATATGATGTAGAATATAATATTATAATATAGGCACTATGTAGTTTTATAATTATGTCCATTGCATACTTCGTATGCGATGAATGCCTTTTCGAAATTCGTCCTACTGTGATACAATATAACATAATATTATTATATTATACACGTGAACTGAGCCTGGCGAGCTATATATTTTCGTTTTCCCAATGCAACCAAAATATTGGACTTAAAATACGACGATAATGTTATAATAATATCTACGACGGATAACAGTAAAAATATTATGATATTGTATTGCTCCCCAAATAACTCGATGACCCGCCGTGTCGAGATGAAATTAAACGTCGCAACAATTTGTTTTTTTCTAGTTTTATTAAGCGTGTTTTATTTACGCATAATATAAACGTTTCCAGTTTGTTTTGTTAGTTTGATTTGAAATCGTGTAAATGATAAGATATTTTTAAGAAGTTTTTTGAATAATGTCAATTAAATTGCATAAATATAAAGTAAGATTCAGTTGATTTCTTCGTCAGATATAAATTATTGTTTTCTTTTGTAAAAACAGTAGGCAACTAATTTCCGTAGACGAATGTTCAGTTAAAAAAATTTTAAAAAAACTATGTAGGTCCGTACACAAATATGCCGTACCAATAATTCTTCCAATAATTCTTCAGATTTCAAGTTTTCTATCCGCGAAAAATATTGATTGAACTATTGATTACACTAACACACACCATAATAAAGTACATATTAATATTGTTCGTCATCATACGAATTCTACGCCTTTTAAATACAATACAAATTGGTGTTTTCCGTCAAAATTTAAAACCAACGACATGGCTTTCTCAATGTTCGAACTCGAGTAAAACTAAAAATTCAAAGAACAGTCCGATTAATATGCATAGAGAGTGTAAAATATATAGTAAAGTAAAATGTTCTGCGCTGATGTTGTCTTAAAAAAATGTCGTCTTTTCAAACTGCCATAAATGTATAAACCACATTGCTACTCTATTCTTTACGGTTTTTGGTTAATTCGCTTCTACATAATATGTACACTTCACCGTAAAAATGTATGGTAAATGAATAATTTTTGGGTTCACGGCCACGGTGTGATGATTTATTTTAGTAATATTATGTTTAAAGAATGAGCGAACATTTAAAATGTTTGAGATCATCAGCTTTCAAACATTTAAGTTTAAAATAATATTGTCAATTTTCGTCCTTCAAAAAAATAATCTTTATTTGTATTGTATTTTTGCATAATAGTTTATGAATAGCTATAAATACAGTTTCAGAATAAAAAGTTTATGAAAATCCTATACTTATTCAAATATTCAAAGACAATTCATTCGATTTAACTAATTTTTGCTAGGTATTCATTTAAGTACATTAATTACCGTTCTTAAATCTCCATATATTCACCCCTACCGCAGTTTTAGTTTTATGACTTTAAAATCTTACTAAAATTATATGCTTATTATAGGTATATAATATGAATCTATTAATAATTATTATTATCAATATTAATATAAAATTTGTTGTTTATTAAATGGATATTTGTAATTATTTTATAATGTATGACTATAATATTATATTTATTTAAAACGGTTAAGGATTAATATTAATGATATACGATTAAGATATGAGATAACTATGTCGGTAGTTATCTCAAGGCTGACACGACAATAAACTAGGATTAAGTTAGGTGTTAAGGAATTTGTTTTTATTCGTTATTTTAATTTTAATTTTAAAGATTTTTCAGTTTATTAGGCTAGTAAATCTTATTGATTTTTTGTTTTATTAATTATTTTTTTTCGTTGATTGGTTAAGCATTGTATTTTGTTTTGTTATGCTTTTCGGTTCAAACAGTGTTCGGTTATACAATTACTCAAAACTCTGAATACAACGATATGCCTTAATTCTGACAATAAAAAGTCGATACTAAAATGATAATAATTAAACGATACGGACGAATTTAAATGGCACTCGTTATATACACAAAAATGACGTCAGTCACCCACGCAAGAAAAATAATTATTATAATGGCATTACCTGAATAAATATATTAATTCGCACTAAAAGAAAAACTAATAATATTTTCACACTGCACTAGTTATTCGAAAAGCACATACGAATAAGGTACGTGAATAATAACTTTGAACGAAAATATTTAATAATTTGTTATGTAATATTATATGTTAGATGTAATTTTTTGTTATGTATTAATTAATATAGGTATTTATTTAAGTGTAAATAATAATATAAAAATTTAATGTTTTAAGATTTTAAGTCGGTTATACTATGTATAAGAACAATGTTCACGTTTAGACGATAACCGTAATTTAGCTTGTAAGTTTAATATTATTATTGTATTTTAGGCTAATCACAATAATTCTCGTTATAGCTTGAAGTAAACGTGTTAGATGCTCCATAAAGTAATTCTTTGTTTACTATTAATTGTTTCGGGACAACATTTTTTTCTATAATACTTATTAAAATTAAAAATATTATATTTATTGCATTAATTAAGTCAAATAATACATTAAGGTAACAACTTTTTTTTCGTTAAAAAGAGCTGAATACTAACAATATTTAAATAATAATTTTAAAACAATGGCGGTATTTTAATATAATAGTACGATAATCGTCGGATAACTTGTTTTAATTAAATTTTCTCGACAATTAAACACATTGCATAATATTATATTATAATAAAAGTTCTCACATTAGCGAAGCCTCACTTAATTTCGTAGCTCAATACATTGAAATTCGTCGTTTATTCTCCATTGTCTGAAATATTAATAATATTTCATACCTGCACTTATTAGTGATAATACTTTTTTAGACGAGTGACGTTTTGACCCAATTGCAGCAGACTGCTGTTTTAGATGATAGCGCTTTTGGGATTTGAATTTTCCATGCAAATTGCATTTACCTACCTATTAAACTTAAAATATTACTATTTTTTTTTCTTAAACAATGGGAATCTTCGCTCCCCGCACCTCACCATCCGAATAATTACATCCCCGAGTACAAAACTATATTATCTATCATCGTACTATAATTCTTTAAGACGACAAAAATGTAATATTAGTTATTTTATGATATGATTATGTTTTTTTTATCCTACGTCGAAGCAATAATTACCGCGGATATCGTGGTAAAAAACCGATCGGGGAAAAAAAGCAAATACATTTTACTATAAATTATAATCATTAGCGAAAAATGTTGGTTCATTCGACTCCGATAAGTTTTGTGTTACTTATCGTTCTAAAATATATTATCATTATTGGTATAAATATGACATTATGTTACGCGTAGGTAACATGATATTATTATAAAAACAATATATTATAACCCGTTCCGTTTCTAACTGTTCATAATCGCGATATACTGTATTATTTACGAGTCGAATATTTGTATAAGTCTTAAGGAACTTTACCATTATACATAATTTTATTATTGTGCTTAAGAAAAACAGTTATTATTAAATCAAAGACATAATAATATACAATTTAATATGTATCTGAGTAAAAATTTCGTTATATTATATACTTATAGTACCTACCTACCTTAACAATTTTTAACCATTTTTACCATTTAGCCAAATCAGTTCGATATAACTTTAAATGTATTTTAGCGTTTCGAGAATATTATATAATTATTATGTACTTATTCATTGTTCTTTGATCATCATAATAATAAAATGGTCCTTATATTATATTGTTGTTAATCTATTTGTCCCTTTTTGTTGGCGATCATTCCCCGTTTACACACTATATTATATTATTAGTTAATTATAGTTTCCAATATTATTGTATATCAATATATAATATTGTATCCAACTTAATATTATTGTATTTTTATTGATTTAATAATTCGATCAATTTATTCTAGTGTTATATATATGTATACGTTTTCAGTCATATTTATGAAATTTAATACAACATATTTAAGAAATGGCATTAACGATATACAATTCATTTAAATTTAGTCATATTGTGTAACATTTTAAACATTTTGTTCCAACACGTCATAAATCATTAAACAATTTCGATTTTGAATTTTATTTTATTTTTTCACATCTATAACTACTTATACATTTCAGGTATCTGTTTACGATTAATCATGAAGACATTCACTATCTATTCGTTACTATTCGTGTACAGCAGTCTATCCACTGGTTGCGTGTAGCATAATATTAATTAGAAGTTAAGGTCAAATTATTGCACTCGGGTCAGAAAAAAGGTTATTTTTGAATAATCGCATTCGAGTTTGAAACAATTAATGTTTGAATCACGCTGGGTTTGAAAAAACCGCAATATTTTTCGAATTACACTCGTTCCGATCGTTCCATATAGAATATATTTATCAAAAAATATCAGTTTAGTCTAGTACAAATTTGGGTGTTCGACAATCCTCAATGAGAAACCAGATTCACCATGGATATCGATGTATATCGATGTTATGTACTGATTGATTTTATTTACCTATTGCTATTATTTAATTGTGTGATAATAATGTTATGTACTTACTGTTTAAATGCACGTTCACAAGTTCTTGAATACGGAAACGATAAAAAAGAAGTACTTCTGCCTCATAACATACGTCATATAAGTGTAAATAAATCAAAAACAAAACGCAACACAAAATGTATTACACTTTTATAATTGAGCGCTGTAAATAAATTGAAATATAATTCTTCTTGAAGTATACTTTAAAAAATAATTACGCAATCGAATTATACCGATAAGAATTTAGCATGATATAGGTTAACTAAATATCGTAATATTAAAATAATTCTTATAAACTAAGCTTCTGTAAAATGTTTATATTGTTTTTTTTTTTTCATTTTTTTTTTTTATCAATTTATTAATCATTCGATTTATGCGTACTTCTATCCATACATCTTCACCATGGTCGACAATATTATTATTTATTTTAATAGTTAGATTGGTAGCTTATAATTATCACACTTTTCACTAATGCATTTTAGACTTTGAACGGAGCGATGAATGTATTTATTTTATAATGATGTATTTTGTTTTGAGTGCCTGTAAACATGTTTTGGAACTGAAAAAATGCTTCGATTATCAACTTAAACAGTGATAGAATACATAAACAAACTGGATCTTATTTTAAATTTATAATGGAGGGGATGGAAGTAAAAAAATTAAATTCCCATACAAATAATAAAAATAAAAAAAAAACCAATTTAAAGCTAATTCGAGCTAATTGAACACATTATAAGAAACCCGTCCAAACACATCGGTGAAGCACAATTCCGTACATTTTACTTTTTTGGGAATACGATTTAAATCAAACAATGGTTTTTCAAAATGACCTCAAAAACAACAAGATTACGTACGATTTTCTGTGCAATATTGCCGTTTATTATTATTGTAAATGCGTTTAACTTTCTTAAATAATAATGTTATAAAAAAAGTTAAAAAGTCAAAAATGTATCAATTTAATTATTGTATAAACTATACATTGCATAAAAAAATATATACCTATAAAATTGTTTAAAAATAATTATAATTTGATATCTTGGCAGTTGTTACAAATACTTGACAAATATTTTATTATATTTTTATAAATCAAATAAGCGTTATATTCGTTGATCGTGTGATCTAAACGTTGTTTGTCGTTTGAGGTGGAGGAACACGGCAACCGGCCTGCAAAATCCGATAGTCTTGTTGGACTCCCTCTAATACGCAAAACGCCAAGATGCCAAAACTAAGTCAAATAGTCAAATACCTACATAACCTTATTTTTAAAAAAATAGACAAACATAACAACTTATTGGATGTATCGATTTACATTAACTTAACGTATATACATTTATATGACATTATATTACTTAAAGATGTAAAATATTTTAGATACAAAAACTAAAATAAATCTGTTTTGACTATTAAGATACATACCTACTTAACATAATTGTCTGGCCTCAAGACTTTCTCCGCAAAACATTGACGGTAATTTTATTTATATTACATGTATTTTCACAAAGTCTTATATAATCTATTTATATTTATGAATATTAATGAAATTCAAAGAAAAACATTTCATTAGTTACACTAAAAAATATAATATATTATTAATAATATCGAATAGCGAAAAAAACTCCCTTAATTGCTTATGATGCCGTTTATGATTCCTAGATTTTAAGTATGCGTAGTCGCATTTGCGTGAGACAACAATTTTAATATAATGTAAACGAAAACTTGGAATAGGTACTTTCCAAAATTATTGTCTGTATCCGACATCCGTACTTGAATACTTTTAAAAACTATGTTTTACAAGCATTCCCACGGTTAGCTTTCATGTAATATCTCATAGGGATTAGGGGGTACAGCCTAAATTCTCCCCAACATTTTAGCCTCAGTTGAGAAACTGTGTAAAAGCTATAAATTCATATTAAACTGTTATATTTAAAAAAAATATAATTTCTGTATTCGAAACCACAAATGCGACGATTTGGTGCATGATTTTAGGTTATCTGCCCGACAACTCAAGTAACCAATGGCAACCATTTAATGTAAAATGTAAATCATAAATCTCAAAATCCATAGTTTGAGCAGTTTTTCTGGATGGACCTTCCCGGTTAAATTATAAACCCATGGTACTCAGATTCCAGACACCCACTCAAACCCACAAACAATTTTATCAAAATCGATCAAGCAGTTTAGGTGAATTTCGGTGAGGTAGGTACACATACCAAATGCAGACAATAATTAATTATTAGACAATAAATTAGATTGAATATTTTATGAAGTTATAAACATAATATTATTCTACTCGGAAAGTAAATATTTCATGAATCCGTCACACAGCCGTTAGAACGACTTCTTCGTGCATATTTCGTTGATTTTCTTTTACCGGTTTATCGTCTGTCCGTGGTTGTATTTCTGCCGAACCAAAAATAGCATAAAAAACTGCCGAGGCTAAACATACTACCGCCACCAAGACACGCATTTGGATTTCGTCAAGTAACTATAATCAAAGAAAATTACGGCTGGTTACATTGGCTCATAACGTTAAGACATTTTATAAAATACATAATATCTTATTTACTTCATCGCTCCAATTTCCCAATATGTTTATATGCGAGAAATATAAAAAAAAGATATCCATAAACATTTGTAATCCAATAAGTGTACTAGCATATTTTGGTGCGATATCCAAGTGGTTAATGTCTAAACCTGTAACCAAACAGATGTAGTATGGATTATACAATTTATATCATTATAAAAATTGTTCGTTTCCTGGGTTTTGATACTTACTGAATAGGCGCAAATATGGTATTACATTAAATATAAAAATAAACAAGTCATTTTTATTTATAAACAAAAAAGTTCCATTTGGTAAGACATTCGAAAAAAGTGCTAAAGCCATTGCAAACATAAAGGCACAATAAAAAATCTTTCTGACTTTGGTGACTGAAAAATATGCTGTTATTTCTGGCACTAATTCGAACAGGACGAATAAGAGTAATAACACAATGGATATGAGTACTCTTAAATGCTGATCATATTGCGCCTGCTTAAAAAAACATATGTGTATAAGTATCATATTGTATGATGAATTTGCTAAATCAGAAGTATAGATATTCCGTAAGGTGTGAATAAAAAAATATTAAAAGAATACTTAGGTACTTGATAATGGTTGAAAGAGTTTTTAGAAGCTTCTACCATTGCAGAACACATATATGATACAACAAGCGCAATGACAGCCATTGAAGTACAAAACGACTTCCATGTAATGTCCATTATGATTGATCGTCTTAAGGATATGACGGAGGTTCCAGAAGAACGTGGAGCATAGTTTGAACCTCTGAATATTCTAAACAATATAAAACCGCGTTTCAGGCTCTGAGAACGATCTCCATTGATCACGCACAACCATAAAACAAAGCATGCCAGCCCGAAAATTCCTAATAGACTAAATGATTATTATCTTTTTAATCTTTTAATATCACAATTTAATTATCTTATAGCTGTACCTAATTGTAAATGGTTATTGTCATATCCAAATATTGTTATTATTTCATAAAGTAAAAATATCATCTTCCACAATATTATTGGAACGTGACGTAATGACTGTTTATCTAGTGGGATCCAAAATGAATAAATCCCGTGAGATGCCGCATACACTATGGCCTAGGGCAACAATAATACTCTTATATTATGAGTATACTCATATATACTCTGTTCTGTGAATTTAAACTTCACAATAAAGAATCTTAATATTACATAGGTCATTCCAGCGCAAAATATTGAGAATGCTCGCCGATATTTGTTTGAGTAATCCATGTCTTCCGTAAAATGACAAATTAACGATATGATGAACGATACTCCGAAAATACTGAACATAAATTAATAAAAATTATACTGCATTCAGGTTAGGTATAGCTAGGAAATAAATATTTATATTATATTATTATGTTATATAGTTTGCATAACTAACATTGTTATAATTTAGTTGTACATATTCAAAAATGTTATCATAAAATATGTACCAATGTACCATACAACCTGTATTGAGAAATATTTTATTTTTGTTTTACGTATTTTCGAATATTTATACGGTTTGTACAAATAATACATTACCTGTGATAAATGTATCGTCGGTACTTGACAGTGTCAATAACTAAGATTTTGAATTTAATATTATCATACTGAAAGTAGATATTGTATTGATATTATAGAAGTTAGCACTACATATTATTATTACTAGGTATTAGTATTATAGGTGAGGGATCCTCAAACTGTGGTACGCGTACCTCTTGGGAGTACTCGAAATGTTTTAAGGGGTACGAGTCTGGCCAACAAACTAACAAGGAAACAATTCTTTAAAAGTCTTTACATTTTTTTATGTATATTTCAGTTTAGTAACTCGGAAGGGGGTACTCAAAAAAATGTATTGATAAAAAGGGGTACAGTGTTTTTTAAGAGTTTGAGAGTCCCTGGTATAGGTAATAGGATATTGCTTGATTACTTGTGAGCCGGATAAACGGTGCCTAAGACACCACCAATTATATACCCGATAGCCATTCCAATATAGAAGTAATGAACCTGTAATATTATATAATGTACAACATTATTGATGTAAAAGTAGTTATTTACAAATTTCCTTCATAGAGTCTATCAGCAGTGTCAGCATTAAAAATTTAATTCGAAAACTATCCGGACCACTTGACCCTAGGTTAAAGTTACCGGGAGGTAAATAATATATATACTAGGATATTTTCACATCCTCTGGGGGGGGGGAGTAATTATATCATATGATATTTGTAACTCCGGTAAAATAACACTGGGATATTTAACCCCCCGACGAATGTATATAAGGATATAGTTACTCCCCGGTAAAATTATAGTGTTAGTGGGAGAGGGGAGTTACAAATCATTGAGGATAATAGAATCCTATGACCCTCCCAACAGTTACGGCCTTGATTAGATATAATAGGTACTTACATTAAGTAAATCTTCAGAATACGTCCAATTTAATGAACCACATTGGCATAGTTGAATAGTTGAACCTATATAAAACAATAATTTCTATGACTTAGGTATATTGAATTCAAAATAGACTAACAGAGTAATAAATACATAATAACAGTTATTGAGTTAAAACACAACTCTAATTATAGGGGTTTTATATAATAAAATTAGATGGTAAGTTGATATATGTATGTAAAACATAGAGATCAGATTTTGTAGGAGTTTGTTTTTGTTTCTAAAAGAACATTCTTATTTCTTACATTAAACGTTTCCACCTAAAAGATAAACCAACTTGGTGTGGCCACTGGCCGGACTTTCTATTATTGGTATTACACAAGATACAGAGTATATTTTATGAATTAATATATTTTAGAAGAGCATAGTGAGTGAGGTCCATTTTTACCAAATTACTTTACAATTTACCTATAAATGTGAGCAAAACTATTGCAAATCCTCTGTTCCAATATCTAGTTTTCAAACGGATAAACCTGTCCATGAACCTTGACGGCGTTAGATCTGGTGATTGGATTTGAGAAGTAGAGTTTAATTTTCTGGCGGTGATTTCCCCGAGATCCATCCTTAACGACGTGCAATATGTTGGATGGCTATCGTTGTATTTCCAATCAACTGTGATGACTAAATAACAGGGTAAAAACTAAAAACTGAGTTTTATTAGTGAGATGTGGGTCGTTCTCCGACAAAAATAATTGTGATAACATAATGTAACCTCAAATGTTCTGAAATACCAACATCATTTTTATTAAATTGATATTAGGGAAATGCTGTACCAAACACACTACCGTACACGCCCGTTGTCCGAGTGTCGGACTATTATTGGTATTAATTAGTAATTACTATATGTCGTTTCTAATTTATATTACACTTTATAACGTCAGTAGTGTTGCCGTCTCGTATTTTAATTAATAAATTAATTGCTATGCCTATAACATAATTAGTTTTGAAAATGTATTGTTATTTAAAATAAATAAAAATACGTGTTAGACTACAATTATTGTCTTCTTTGATTTTTAAATAAACAGTATATAATTTCATATTGTTGATGGTCATTATACTTAGTTGATGACATAATTATTATTAAGCTCTAGTAATTTTAATTGTGTAGTTATAACTTATAATATCAGTGTAGACCATATACTGTATGTATAAGGGTTGATCAGTTAAAGTAATACTTGGGATGGATATCTGGTGTGAATCTGGTGGGATTTAAATAGTAACACATTTATAAGTTGTATTTTAGATTCATCGAGTAGCGATGAATTTATTGGTTTTACAATGATTATCTAAGTGTGTTTATGGACTTATTGGTTTGATAATGATTATTTGTGTTTTATTCTCAATAAACCTAATTTAAAAAAAAAAATGTTCTAATACCTTATATTAGAAAAAAAACTTCAGAAGTTAACTAGTTAACACTTGTAAATTGTTATTTGTTAGTACTTTCAGGCTTCAGATTTGTTATTTGACATTTGTAGGTTGATAAGTAGTTGTACACATGGTTTTAATAGACTAAATAAATAGAAAAGAAGTTTTGACGTTATGTTTTTTCAGTTGACTTTTGAAAAAAAAATTGATAGTTATCATTTGTCGGAGAACGGCCCTCGTCCGTTTATTAGTATTAGTGGTTAATTATTATAATACCTAATATAGGTATATAAATGTATATAAATGTATATAAATGTATATAAATGTATATAAATGTATATAAATGTATATAAATGTATATAAATGCTATCATACTATGTTATTGATGTTAAATATTGAGTCAATACCTAGGTTTATTTACTAATTACTTACTATGACCTATAACCTTACTTTAGAACAGTGAGAATAGATCCATGGAATGAAGAGGAAATAGATTAAAATTAACGTAACTTTATTTAAAATGAAAATAGGTTTGCATACATTTTGGTATATTAAAATTTATAAGAAAAATTCCCACAAATAGTGTTTTTTGATTACGACAAAATAACTGATATCATTATTTTTCGTCTGGATTTATAATTTTGGCCAAATTTGAATTTTATGTCTTTAATATGAAAAATACTTGCATATTGTTTAGAATTTAAGTTTTTAATACGAATTATTACGAGGAACATTAAAAATTGAACATTTTATAATTCATGTTTAACTTGGTACGTCATAATGATTTGAAAGTTTTCGTCATTTAGATGAATATTTTTAAAAGTTAAACTTCAAATGGCTACTTATATTAAAAACGTATAAGAAACCTTTGTATTTAATTTAGAAGAATGCTTATATCTCGAGACAACGGTCATATAAAATGATGTCAAAATTATGAGTATCTACTGTTATTCGTTTTTGGGTCCCAAAAAAAAAAACAAAATCGATTTTGACAAAAAACGATACTATAATTTTTTTTTTTAATAAAAAGTTTTCCTATAGAGAAATGATTCATTTTTAATTCTAAATCGCTACAAAATGTGTAATTCATTTTGTGTCTCCTGTAAAATAGTGTTTTATTGGATAGAGTGTTATATAGTTTTGATTGGAGCCTTTTTATATAAACACTATATTATAATACATTTATAAAAGTTGATCTATGTAAGTGTCGAAACTGATTATTTTTTATTTTTATTTAAGAAAAGTACCTAATTTTATGATATTGGCATATTGCAAAACGATATTTACAATAAAAAATTATATCTTATACAATTTGTATGGGTGAAACACGATTGCGGACGCTTTACCTTTTTTGCAACACGATTGCGGACGATCATTATAGAACAAAAGGTCTTATGTTGCATCCGAAAAATGACACGACTGCGGTCGAAATTTAATGAAACGTTGCCAAGTTGTGCGACGCGGTCTACCAAGCCCAAATATTATCAATTTTATAAAAGTTCTTAATAACACAGTTAAAAATTGAAAATCAAAAAAAGTAAAAAACAAGAGCTCAATATAATAATATAATATACACATTTAAAGTCAAGAGCTCAATATAATAATAAATTAATTAAATTTATATTTTTTCCCCCTGTAATGACAACTAATTTTTTTTAAATATTGTATCACGTTTTGGTGATTTTTGTTATCATTATAGCTCTGAATAGTTAGGTTGATTCTATCTAAATCTTTTTTTGCCACCGATGCCGTCAAAATACTTGCACTACAGACTTTATTAATTTGTACATAACCATTTCAAAATTCCATCTTTCCGCAGTCGCCTAAATCCATATTTATTCGTTTTGTGTAGAACTAACTCTTTACCACGTTCTGATCACTCTCAGAATTTCCACATACCCACATTATCGAAGTATTATTTATAAATTGGGCAACATGTGTCCGCAATAGTGTAATATTCGGGGGTCCGCTGATAAACTATAATCGTTCGCAATCGTGTCAATAAAAAGGTCGCCCCGATAAGAACCGTCCGCAGTCGTGTATCACCGATTTGTATTGTTATATCAAGTTTTTTGGCAGGCTTTCATACATTTTTAGTTTTATACTCCAAATTACAATATTCTGTGAATTATTTTGATATTTGTCAATCGAATTCTTAGTAATAATGTTTATTATTAAAAAATAATCCATACCTACACAGCTAAAGATAATGTATGTCAATGGTTAATCGACCTAAATAATAGACAAAAGTTTTTATCTTGCAGGTACCTGTTCGTAGTAACCGGAAGGTCGTTAGTCAAGTTCGTTTTATTTTTCTAGTTATAGACGATAACTCGTAATAACCATACTCGTTGTAGACGTATATTTTAACATACCAATCATAGGGGCTCGTGCTGGGGCCTAACGTTTTGTTTGTTGTAAGCAGTATCTCGTTCTAAACGATGCCCGTTATAGTGATTTCTACTGTATTTAGATTATTTTTTTGACACTAACATAGCACTATGCCTTGCATATAAAAACTAAATGTATGTATATAAAATATAACAATTTATTAGTAATGATATAGCAAACAGTTAAAAGAATAAATTATTTTTAAATTGGTTTCATTTTTAACTTTGGTATCTATTAATATAGTTTATAGATTAACTATAGAAACATTTAAAAATAATCAGGAAATACAAAAAAAAAAAATCAATAAAGTAAAACGTAGATTTGTAATCAAAATCAGTTTTTATAAATATCAATTTAGTCGATTTTTCATCAAATTTTAAAGTTCTAATTTTCTAGATGTAATGTTATTTCAAATATTATTTGTCATTTTGTTTTTTCCGATCTATGTTTGACTCAATTTTTAACTGCGAGAAAAAAAGGTAGAATATTTAAAATTAATAAGTTATTCTTACTACCTTGAATTCAGTCATTAACATTTTTTTATAAGCTTCAAAAAATAATAATTCTAAAAAATTCTTAGAAATCGCAAAAATATGTTTATTGTTTTGTTGTTGATAATTCATTATTTTCATAATTTCAATAGGTACTAAAAGCTTGGAAATTTATTACAAGACTTTTTATATTTTTTTTTAAAAATTATTTTGAAATAATATAAATTTCTAATAGAGATTTCAATTTTTTACAAAACATCAAAAATATTAATGTTACTTAGGGTTTTGAATAAAAATTAACAATCAAACTGATGGTTAAAACTTAAAGGTATTATTTTAGATGAGAATATAATTATACAAAATGTAAATATTTAATCAAACAATACAATTGAACTTTGACATAAAAATAGACTTATTAATTAGAATATTTTTTTTTTTTTTTTTATTGTTCCTGAGCCCGGCAACTGTGGCCATTAGCTTTTTTTAGTAGGTATTGTAGATTTGTAGGTTTGTATTGATGGTTTGTAGATTTTTTTTTGTTTTTGGTACGGTAGGTGGGAACACGTGTGTGTTTGTTTTTGGCAGAATTTCGAATGGGGCACCCGTAGGTTTCTGCCATGCCCCGGTGGTGGGGGATGGCAGCACTTGTTCTCCGGTCACCGCGACTTGTCCGGAGAAAAATGCCGCCCGGTGGCCGAGGATCGAACCGCGACCGGCTGCGTCGCAGCGGAAGAGTCAGACCACTCGGTCACCTCGTCCCCCAATTAGAATATTAATCACATTGAAAATGATTTATATAAAATCAATATCAATGTTACACTTGTATATTATGTTATTACTGTATTATGGAAAAACATTAACTATAAGAATATATAACGAAAATTGTGCTTATACATTTTTATTAGATTTTTTGTTTACTTACAAACATTGAACATTTTGTACATTTTTAACTATGCAATAATTTGCAAATGTTCGTGATTTTGACTAATTTTGTTTTAATTTGAACTTAAATAAATGCTTATAAAATAAAACCATCCATGTACAGGTAGGAACAGGAATTCCTTAACAATTAAAGTTCATTAATATTTGGGTGAAAATTTCAGATCGGTTTCATCAATACTCGACACCTTACACATATTTTACAACATTGTTTATTTTAATGTTCTAATATTGAAAATAAAAAATTTAAATCCTATGTTAATTTTTTTTGAAAAATTGAAAATATCGAATTTGTAAATCTAATTTTTAGAAGCATTTTGATTGTGTAAATATTCGTTTGAGTCACTTAGTTCATTTTTTAAGATTTTTTGAAATGTCAAGTTTGTTAAGTTATTTCATTCAGTCGTAAAAAACATTTTAAATTAAAATAATATACATTTTTTAAAAATATTTTATGGACATTTTCAAATATGTAATAATTACAATCCAAATATTTTTTTAAGAAATGTATTACTTTTCAAATAAATGAGTTACTTAAAAAAAATTTGACATTTAAAAAAATTATTATAAATAAGACACTTGACTTAGATAGATGTTTGTGGATACAATCAAAATTTTTCTAAAACCTACCTAGTCTACAAATTGGCTATTTTGAAATATTCAAAAAAATTTAAATTGGATTGAAATTTTTTTATTTTTAGTATTATAAAGTATAAATAAAAAATAATGTATCATATTATGTGCTAGCCAATAAATTATATAGAAAAAAAAAATAACTTAACCTCAATTCCTGGTGGAATTAAAAGATAATTTTTCATAACTAACAATAAATTAATTTATACAATTTATTAAGTAAATTAGATAATTAACATAATGTTATAAGTCTTGTAAAAAAGGGTTTGAAAATTATTTTTTAACGCAGCTTCCTATGTAGAAATAATAAATTTCACAACCTTGGTTATTTGTGTGATATTACTATATTAGCTGGTACTTACTACTATTGAACGTTGATAATATTATGTTCTCTGCAAATATTCTAAAAGAGAAAAAAAATAAAGATTTTTACGTCTAAAAACATATAGTGTATCAATAAATATAAATTAAACACTTTTAAAATATATTGTACCTTTATAATCTAGCGGTAGAAAAATAGAAATGTAAGTGTAGACGACTGATATCGAAGTACGAAATTAATTAATGCAATATCTAGATTTATTATCGTAATAATAGGTAGTCTATACCATACTAGATTACAGTTGGAGTATAATAGTATATAGTGTATTCAATATAACTAACAAGATCGACAATATTATAAATTATAATATGAGAACATTATCATGTAGGTGTGTTAGGTTATACCTATTTATCAAAAACGCATTTTCATATTCTGTGATGTTGTTGTGTGATGTTACAATATGCTTGACTAACGATTTTTCATCAACGTTCCTCTTCCTGCTGTTGATAAATCTTAATGTTTAGATACATTTTGTTTTAGAGTCAAACATATAATAATATGTACTTACTACATTAAAGGAAATTTGGCATTACCTACAGTGCTATTAACAAATAATAATCATTACTGTTGAACATTATTATATTATTATTATTACGCTCGTGGACATACACATTTTTGAAGTCCGTATTTGAATAATATTAGCTGATCAGATCTTTAATACAGTTATTTGGGTTGTTTTGATCAAATATAAAATACAGGTCTATATACATGGGTGTGTCACGGTGATACAGCATCGATGTTCAAGCATATAAATACGGTATAGTGCATATGCTATTTTATATACATCATAATATTAGGTATTGAATTACAATATCATGTAATTATATGAACATAAACGTCAAAATATGTCAAATGTGCCTGAGTGCCAGCATTGGCCGGTTGCCGGATGGATGACCACCCGGATTCTTATAGTGACGAATCCTTGCTAAACATACGCGTCTTCCGAACCATCCGTGCTCTCCCTCGCAGTATAAACCGGTTAATAACCTTGCAGTTGATAACATTGTCAAATATGCTGACTAAATATTTTGATAGAATTATGGAAATAATACATTCAATTTAAATTTAATATACATTAATTTATTTTTCAATATTTAAGATAGGGTATGTGGAGTGAAAGTCATCACTGCTTATACGTTATTTCGTATAATATGTATCTAGTTCGAATTGTTGCATGAAAAAATAAAAAATAAAAAATATAGGGCTGTCCGGAGCTTTTTTGAAAAAAAATTTGAAAATTCATTGAAGTTACATACACTGAACACGGCAGTCTACAATCTCCAAGTACTCAAAACAAAAATAATTAGTTCATTAAACAATGACTATTAAGAGTACTTAAATATAAGCATCTTTTTCAAGATACTTGAAGATACTATTCAAAACATCTATACCTGAATACTTTTAAAGAATAAAAACTTTTAAAACTTTCATCTAATACCAAGTGGTTGCTTGCTGCCACCACCCCCAGCCCCCACAAAACATTTTAACGTACATTTCACCAGCCCCCCCCCCCCAAATATAATTAAAAAATTTTTTTTTTTGCCAAATATTAATGTGCATTAGTGTGAAAATTAGTGTGACTATTTTCAGGATTTGTGCGATACTGGTTTAACCGTAAATTCAAAAATATGTAAAAGGGACTGGAGAAATGTTCCCCAGCCCCCGCTCATGGAAAAAATTACAATTTTCAAACTTTTCTTTTGCCAAACTTTAGTGCGCCGTCTACCGGGTGAGTAGATAGATGATTTAAATTTGTCATAGAATTTTTTACCAATAACAAATGTGTAAAGATTAAAGTTAAAAAATTGATTTTTTTTATGAAATTAAAAATGGTTCTTACCTAGAAACATTTAATTTTAACGTTGGATCAAAATCAAAAATTTCATAGTCAGTAATCACCAATTAGTTTACGAACATTTTACACAATTATAAAATAAGACCTTTATAGATTCCATCCTTGTTTAGAAAAAAATATCACATTATTGTTCTTTCTGTAAAATTTTAAGTATAATTTTTTTTCATTTTTTTACGAATCATTGTGATAGGTCACATTAAATTTAAATAAATTTACAAACTACAGGCATCACAATATATAGTATCAAATATCAATTAATAAAAATAAGGTTTCTAAAATCGATGTAATTAATCTTAATTTGATTTTTTTAATTTAAGCTAAATTAATTTTGCTATTTATAATTATTGAAATGACGAATTCATAAATACTTTCTTGATACTTGGTAAAAATAATTATATTTTGTGTAGTGGGTGAATGGGCCTGGGTCAGAGTAAGTTAATGTGTGACCGAAAAACTCCAACCTCCTATAATCTAAGAACATCCACGTGCGGCCATGTTTGCATTATTTTGTTTGCAGATTTATTCATCCTTTTTACGTCTAACTTTTTCACAAGACACATGGCCACATAAATTAGTGTTACATTGAAGCTGTAAGGATTGGTTTTGTGTACTTTAATTTATTAAACATCATATTAGTGTAATACTTTTAATTTGTATATTTTTCATTTTACAATTAGAACAATTTTTTTTATTATTGCTAATATATGACACAACTTTAATTTAAATTGTTTAAATTGAGAACTCGCAATATCAAAATTTGTTTCAGCATCGGCCAGCTTGTAAATTATAAGATCTATGTTTGAAGCCAGTTTCAATAGCTCCACTCGGTAACGTTCAACGGGGAATTTTTAGAATACAGATTTTGCATAAGATATTATGTACAATAGAGAGTTAAAATTATTGTGATTTTGCTAGGTTAGTTGAAATGGAGTAAGCGTTCAAATGTGTTAATTTGTTGATAAAATGAATCTAATTTTGTCAGTGAAGTAGCAGATTTGTCTAGCTGTATTTTCTTTTATTAATTAATTGATTACCTATGTTTAAAATTATTGACATAATTTTTTTTTTTTTTATGACAAAATAGACAATTCTTTGTTTATTAAATCCATGTTGATAAATTATATATTTATTAATTACTGATAGGTATAGTGAAATTAGTTGGTAACTAAACTAAGTACGTGTGAATGCAATAATTGCTGTGCATGTATGAATAATGAATAGGTAGGAAATAAAAGAAAAATGTAAATATGATATTTATCTTAGAATTTATATCGTTGTGTTATTAAATTTGGCAACTTTGTACAATGGTGCCATCGTATTTTAGTATTTAATACGCGCAACGTAAACCAATAAGTTTCGCATGGAATTTTATTCTACTCGTCCCGCTTACTTCACATGGTTAAATTACTTTTCTTAAAATGAGATCCAGTACCTATGTCCTCTTCTCACAGAAATCAGAAAACTTCTGTAGTCTGGGTACCAGGATGAGATACCTTACATTATATATATATATAACTATAATTTATTATTATTTTACGTCATTCGTACATACATAATTGTAGATACTGGTTGGTTGTGTATGGTAGTGTCGATTGCCGAACATTTGATGTACACGTAAATATTTGATATTTATATTAATATTATTACACTCAGATAATCACCAAACCACTTTTGAACACGAATATTAAAATGACTTAATTTTGTATTGCCTAAATCACTCCTTTATATTATTTTTGTCTTTTTACTGCTTATCTCCAAGTTAGTTTTATTATTAATAAAGTGCGTAAAAATGTACATAAACTAATTGGTGATTACTGAATATGAAAATTTTTGATTTTGGCCTAATGTTGAAATTATGTTTCTAGGTCAATCGTTTATATCTACTAGTTGAGACACTGTATATGAGCTACAAAATACAGACATATATTCAACTCTCATATTTGTTTTGAGATGTATATTCTTTCTTCGAAACCATAAACGTGAAGATTTAATGCAAGCTAAAAGCTCATCTTCCCAAGTAACCAATGGCAACTATTTATCAGCAAAAATGTCCATCATAAATCTCAAAATCCATGTTTGAGCATCTTTCCGGGATGGACATATCCAGTTAAATTATGGATCTAAACCACAAAGATTTCAGACTCTCCACTCAAACACACAAATAATTGTATCAAAATCGATGCAACGGTTTAGGTGGAGTTCGATGAGGTACACATACCAAATGCAGGCAATAAATTATTAGACAATAAATTAGACTGGATATTTTATGCAATTATAAACATAATATTATTCTACTCGGAAAGTAGATATTTCATGAATCCGTCACACAGCCGTTAGAACGACTTCTTCGTGCATATTCCGTTGAATTTCTTTTAACGGTTTATCTTCTGCCCATGGTTGTATTTCAGCTGAACCGAAAATGGCATAGAAAACTGCCACTGCTAAACATAGTACCGCCACCAAGACATGAATTTGGATATTGTTAAGTAACTATGATCAAATACAATTACGACTGGTAACATTATTTCATATGGTGTGCTCAATCAAAAATAGTACACTGGGAAAATCATAAATTGCTGACCCTCAAATAATATAAAATAATTTAACTTTAAAAAAAATAGGTCACTTTTTTGAAAATGCAGCTCTAGGTGGTACCTAGCTAACCTATACCTTGGACAGGCTCTGGTCTCATAACGTTACAATATTTAAAATAATATTAGACTTATTTACTTCGGAAATGATTAATGTTTTCATGATTTTGGTCCAATATGTCCCGGAAATTTGAATTATTGTGCACTGGAAACCATAAAATATACTAGCATATTTTGGTGCGATATCCAAATGGTTATTCTTGAATCCTATAAGCAAACAGAAGCTAAACATGTATTAATATAACACTATAAAAAATGGTTTTAAATATAGTCAATATATATATTACAGTAAGAAATACATTTCACGTGAGTTTGCGCTTACCAAAATTATGAAAATATTCCATTTCTCAGAATATGAATTTGAACAATTCTTCGGTTTCTAAAAACAAAAATGTCTTGACCTTAAAAGTTACCAGTAGAAATATCACGCCCGTTACAATGAAAATCGTGCAATTAAAAAGCTTTCTGACTTTAGTGACGGAAAAGCATACTGTTATCTCCGGAAATATTTCGGCTAGGACGATTAAGAGTAACAACATAGTGATAGTGTGTTCCCTGAAAGGCTTATCCAATGTCATCTGTGTAGACAAATATGGGTAGGTATGAGTAAAAGTTTTAATGATGACTTCGCTAAATTGTAAATATAAATACTTCATGAGATACCTAATAAAAAAAAAATTAAAAAATACTTACATCATAATTATATTCATCGTATTTTGAAGCACTTACAATACCATAACACATAGATGATAAAACGAGAGCAATTACTGGCATTGAAGTGAGAAACGACTTCCATGGGATGTCAGATATGATTGACCGTCTTAAGGCTACGAAAGAGATTCTAGATGAGCTTGACACAGTAGTCGAATCTCTAAATAGTCTAAACAATATAAAACCGCGATTCGGGTTCTGGCAACCATCTCCATTGATCACGTACAACCACAAAACAAACCATGCTAACCCAACTTTAACTAAATTTTAATAAAGTTGTATAGGTGATTTTTATATATTTTTAATCTTTCAGTTTCATAATTTAATTTTAAGTTTACCAATTAATCCAGTTCGTTTTTTCGCAATATAGTAGATCTGTGTATCATACAATTCAATATATAAAATTGTAATCGACTGCAATAGTATTGGAACATAACGTAAAGACTGTTTGCTCAGTGGCATCCAAAATGTACAAACCCTGCGAGTGGCCACACATGCTATGCCCTAGGACACAGTAATAACTCAATATTATAAACGTATTACATATAACTTTGTCCTATGAAATCAAACTTGATACTAAAGAATCTTATCATTACCAATGTTGTTCCCGTACAAAATTGAAAGAAATGATGCAAGTGAGCGTTTAAGAAAAATTCTTTATTTATAAACTCCATGAGAATATATATATACGATACGATGAACGAGATTCCAAAAATGCTGAACATAAATTAAAAAAATAAAATATACTGCATTCTTGTTAAGTAGGGCTAGGAAATGTGCATTTTAGTATGTTATAGTTTGCATAATTGACATTGAACTTTAGTTGTGAATGGTCAAAAATGTCGTCATAGGTACACGTGGTACGTCTAACCTGTATTTGAGAAATATTATATTTTTATTTTATACTTAAATATAATAAATTATATAATAAATATATTTTCGATAATTTTAATTGTTTGTAAAAATACGAACAATGCACTAAATATATCGTCGGAACTTAAGAGTGACAATAATTGACATTTTAAATTCAATATTATTATGTTCAAAATAGAAATGCATATTTTAAATCCTAGCCCCATATACTATTATTAGGTACTAGGTATTTTATATAATGATATCACTTGATTACTTGTGAGCCGGATAAACAGTAGCTAAGACACCGCCAGGTATATAACCCACAATTATTCCATATACAAAGTAAGCATCCTGTAATATTATATATTGTATAAGTGTACAACGTTAATATAAAAGTAGATATTTACTTATTTCCAGCATAATTCACTCAGAAGTAAATTCAGTGGTAATATTAAATTTTAAAACAATTAATCGATAGCATTCCATTACTGGAAAAATTCAAGAGCCCCCCTTTTTTTAATATAGATACTAAACGCTCTTTTTTTCGATAATGATACTTCAATGAAAGTTTTAAATATTTCTTACAAAAATACTCAAGAAACAATATTTACAGCTAAAATTGTTCTAATTTAAAAAAAGCAGGGCCTGGACTTTTGGACCCCCACCAGTAATATTTAATAGATATACTTACTGTAAATTCTTTATAAGACTTCATTAAAACCAGAATTACTGATTGACATTGATATTGAAGAATAAATAAACCTATATAAAACAATAATCTTATATTAATATTATCCGATGAATGTTGAATTTGAAATTATAGAAGAACAAAGTAAATTTAAATTATTATTTATTGAATGATAACATTAATTATAATAATATTATAATTACCTGCTTGCCAATTATTTCGATTAAATAATGTGTCTTTGCATTATGGAAATGAATTTAATGAGTTGGTAACTTTTGTCAGGTATTTAAAATAAAACATACATTTCTGATATTTCTTTGGATTTTCCTACTTTATAAAGTGTTTCCCTATCTTTCCGCTTAAACTATATAAGAAACTAACTTATTGTCACTAGATTTCCTACTTCTGTTATAATCTGATACATTTTAGAAGTTTGTAGTTAGTGTAGCACATACTTATCAAACTATTTTACGATTTACCTATAAACATGAGCAAAACAATTGCAAATCCTCTGTTTTAATAAGTAGTTTTCAAACGAATAAACCTGTCGATAAACCTTGACGATGTTTGAGCTGTTGATTGGATTTGAGGAGGAGAGTTCAATCTACCAGTCGCAATTTCCTCGAGTTCCATCCTCTGCGGCTTAAAACAAATTGGTACACTAACATAATATTATGCTATTTAATTTTTAATAATTAAATTTTAATTTGTTAATTATATTCTATGTGGAAATATTTTTATTTTTATTTTTAAGTATATTATATCACTAGCGGTTGCCATTAATAAATGTAAATAATAATACCCAAAGTAGTAAATATTTTCGCTACGAATGATATTTTTGAAAGAACAACAAAATACTTACTGCATATACTTAACCAAAATTTGATTTTAAATTCGATCATATTTTATTTTAGGCTTCTCCATAAATTATTAACAGTTGCACAAATTTAAAATTATAATGAAATTTCATTACCTAGCTGTCCCAGCTACTGCGAAAATAATTTTTTTTAATATTTTTGGACTTAAATTATGAAAATTATCAGAAAATCTTAGCATAATTAAAATATTATACATTTTTATACAACTTTAAAACTTAAGCGATTTAAAGATCATATAATATAGAAGTATAAAATATTATAAAGTAACTACGCTTACCGGTGTTGTTCGGTCTATGTGCTGGAATCAAACCTAGGATGTATACAATATAATATACTTTTATTTTACAGAATGAATTATTTTATTGTAACACCTCAGATTTTATCGGTTCCACAACTCACAAATACAATACACATCTAACCCTCTAAATTATAAAAATTATATTTAAAATAACATAGTGTATAGCTAAAAGTAGTCTATTTTCATTGTTATTTGTTCTTAAATTGGTTTCTTTTGGGTTATACTATTGGTAGATAATAGGTATAGTAATTTATAATATCCCAGCGTAGATCAAAATAATTAAAAACCACACAAAAAAAAAATAATAAAAAATTAAGAAAACAGAAATCTTATCTAGTCCTTTTTAAAAAATATTGATATTGTTTTTTTTTTTTGTTATTATATAATGAATAATTCTAAGTTGGAATTTTTTACCAAATTTTAAAATTCAAATTTATTTGACATATTACGGTTTTTTAAAATGTTATTCATCAATAAGTTTTTTGTAATGTTGGATTACATTTTTGTTTGTGATTAAAAACGTTGATATTTAACACAAGGTTCCTTATTATAATTATTCTTACAGGAATCAAAAAATATTTTTATAAGTTGTTGAAGTTCATAATTTATCAATATAAAAAAAATATGCAAATCATTTTGTTTTTAATAATTCATCTTTTTTCTAAATTTTAATACTAAAGGCTTAAAATGTAATACAAGACTTCTCATCATTTTTTTTAAACTGGAAAATAATATAAAACAGTTAACGGAAAGACATTTAGTTGTTTATTGGTGTTTTAATTTCAAATGTACATACAATAAAATTCAAATACGACAAAATGGTGATACAACTATTAATTATGGCTTAAAAAAACATTTTTGTTGATTAGTGTATTTAAAAAAAAAATCAAACTGATAGTCAAAGTTGTTATTTCTGATAATAATACCTAACATAAATTATATAACATATATTTATAATCTAAGTAATGCAAATATTTCAATAAGCAATTACCTTGAACTTTGACATAATTAATTTATACATTAAAATATTAATCACGTTTACAATTAAATATTTAGATAAAAATATTAATACCATCAAATTTTAATGTTAATGAATTTTGTATGTAGCTAGTAATTGTATTATGGGAAAACATGAACTTAGAATTTATAAAAAATATTGTGCTTGTTTATTTTTTTTTACATTTTTATGTTTCAGTACACTTATGAGGAACCTAGTATTACATTTTGAGTATTAGCTAATATAAAAAGGACATTTTTTAAACATAATTTTACAACAGAATAATTATATTTTTGAGAACTTCTGTGATTTTGATGACTTTTATAAAAGTATGAAATTCAAATTCTTGTGCAATTAAATCGGTGCATCTTTCATATTTAAAAATATTTTTTATATACATATAAGAAACGTCCTCTTCAAATGTCAAGCGCTTGGACTGATCAAACAATTTTTTATACAGATTTATAAAAAACTAAAAGTAAAATAAAAAATGGAAATCTCTAAAAAGAGATTAAAAAGAGTTTAAATATTTTAAATATTACAATGATTTGATAATCTAAACATTCGGTGAAAACCTTAAGGATCATGGTTTATTGGATTTCGAATTTGCAAAAAAAAAAAATATGAAAATCGATTTGGTAAATAACTGGTTTTATTTAAAAATTTTAGTTTTTTTTTTATCTTATTTCAATTTTTCTTTCAGATTCTTAAGTAAAATACTTGACATTTTTTACTTTTGTTTAAAGCATAAACTTTTAAGTTAAATTCTTAAAAAAATTAATATAGCTAACTTGGCTTTCATTGTACGCGTAAATAACTAGTATATTATTTCTCAACCATTGTTATTAATGTGACTTTACTTACAATTAACTTGCGTTCATATAAGTTCTCAAATTCTGAAAAGAGAACAAATAAGGTTTTAGTCAAAATAAATAAAGAGTAACAATAAGATATATGAAATAAAAGTCTATAAAAATTACTTTACCTATTACCTATATTGCAATAGAGTGGTAGGTAGAAAAATTTAAATGAGACTGATATCGAAATTAAAAAAAAAAAAAGGTAAACACAATAGAATAGTTAATTTATTCATCGAAATAATAATCTACTATAAGATAACAGTATCAATATAAAGCACTACAGGTACCTATGAACATTACATTTAATGCTATTGCATTCTATCAGAATTCTTATTAACTGGACGTTCCTGAATATTGTTTTTTTTTTTTAAGTAGCCGATTACATATTATAACAATTGCTCATCATATTATGGTATTTCATTATCATACACAGAATAATATAGAAGCAACATCAACCCCTCTGATTTTATTTTATTTTTTATTCAGGAGCAGGCAGGATGGTGTTGTAAGCTACAAAAGTGGGTGGCAAGGCATGATGTCAGGAACAATTTTAGGTCATTAAAAATTCGGTACCCATAACCTATTCTCACCTCGAATATGTCTTTTCTTTATTGTTCAATGTATTGTTTACAAGCACGATCTTTCAGGAGAAAGTAAATAACCTATAACAGTGTTTATGGTCACCTTAGGTATCGATGTCACGGTACTGTGACACAAAATACTAAATATCGTAATCTGCATATTATTATTGTAGGAAGACGAGGTGCTCGGGACATTAGAAACTATACTTACTTATACGCATTCAACAGGTACCAAATTATGCGCTTGTTAGATAAGCATTATCATTAAAATAATAATAAAATCAGTAATTTACATAGTACGCACAACGCAAGTAAAGGGTTTATCACATCCGAAATGAGAAATAAAATCTATAATATTATGTACATACTTACATTGGTTTCGAAATTGCATACTCATTACGCCGTGTTATCGATGAATGTCAAACAATTCTATAAATCAATATTATGAGATGATTATATTTGTATCAAATACGAGTGTGTTATGAGCATATCCCAAGCACTGTATCTAATAACATCTACTTTCTAAAATTGGGGTGATTCTAATGGGCTAGATGAATGTATTGGTTTTACATTTATATGCATTAAGTATAGTCGAAGTAATGCTTCGATTTTCAACTTAAGTATCTATTCCAGTGGTAAAGTGAATCTAGTTGGTGCACAATGAAGATCAAAATTTAAAACTCCTAGTAATTTTCAAAAGCTCCAGGAAAAACTGAAAAAAAAAATGAAAAAAAAATGATGAAAAAATTGTAATTTGATTAAATATTGAAAATTATTTAAATTTAAATATTAAAAATGTTTTCTTTTTATTTCTAAGATTTGAAAATTGAATACAAGATTTCTTATGAGTAAGTCTACATTTAAGATGTCTACCGGGAAGTCAATTTAAATTTTGATGGGCGTTTTAAGTTCAAATTTTTACAACGTTAGATATTCACTTGATTTCTCATGGAGTGATTTTCTTATTTAGTTTTAATTCAAAAACGAAAAAGCTCCTTTTTCTTTTTTTATTCCGAATCATCGTCACTGTTGCTGGCATAATATTTAGCAGAAATCTCACTACGTTTTTTCATTTAGTTGGTCTTTTTTAACGTTTGACTCGATTTCGCAGAGTTGTTACCACCATAATTCGTTTATAATATATGTACGGACGATTATACCTACGATGTTGATAGACGTATTTCATACTGTTATTCGTGTAGGAAATTAAAATACGTATAACCGTCATCCTATAATGACGTTATATGTACGAATATAAATGTGGTACGAAAAAGTTCGTATGGCCAATGATTCGCATATCTGAGTTTCGAATGGTTACACAAAGAACAAAATCATATTAATATGTTAATTAAATGTATAACAACGATCGTATGTACAAACAATATTCGTACGGCGTACACAATTGACAGTCTGATTGATTCAGCGGTATCGTAATCGTCGTCGTAATAGTCGACATTGTTGTTGTTGTTTTTGTTGACTTTTAACTGACATATTCCAATTTCTTTAGATTTATGTTAAATACACAAATAATATCGGTTAAGTACAGTACAACTACACGATTACATTAGATGGGTAAAAATAGTATTAATTATGTATGGTTTAATATGTATAGACTTATTGTATTTTTATAGGAAAATAGTATGTTGCGAAAAAAATCAGTTTGGTTTTAGAAAAGATCTAATAGAACTATTGATGCACTGACTCTTGAACACAGTATAGCTGACCAAAGGTCTGCATGTGGAGCAGACGATGACAGTATATTTTTCTTCGGTTTAAATTCCCTTTCTCGAGGTACCCCGGCGATCTACCGTCGTACGGCTGTACGAGGCAGGACAAAGGAAGAACATATTTTATCTTTGTGTGACTACATGAAACCATAAATGTGATGTGCGATGTCCTAGCCAGTACTCTATAGAGAATAATATTATGATAATCATAAATTAATCGGTTTGTGCAGTGTGTTAAGGTAAACATATTTATTTGGGATAGTAAATATCATTACTACAAATGTAGATACTCACGTACTTAGTAACGTATTACACTACCTAGGTATTCCATAATAATAGGTATTAAGTATATTATTAAGTTGTTATTTAGGTACATACATAGATATGTTTATATTTTTGTGTTATATGCAAATAATACTATTATTGTTATTTCTAACAACAATGAAAATAATAATAATATATTTCTTAAATACGATGAGTCACTATTGTTTGGTGTTAAATTATGTCATATACCTACTATGTAAATATGTATCACATGCAACCATACGAATTAACGAAAGTGGCTTGGCGTGGAGCATTGGCTGCTACCAGTCGTGAAATGCGACTAGGAGTAACGGCCACAGCTACTATAGCTCCTGGATGGGTGACCACCCGGGCTCATAGTGGTTAAAAACCTTGCCACACATACACGTGTTTGCTATGTTTGCTACCCACCGTAACAACAGTAATAATCGTAAAAAAACCTACAGTACCAACAACCGCTACAACAGCTAGAAATATCCTTCGTCTCCGGGCTTAAGTTCAATAAAAAAAAACTAACGAAATAAATATTCTATTAACGCGAATTGAAAAAATGCATGTGTAACTTGTCCTTTAGTACCTATGGGCATTAGGAGTTGAAAAAATGTGTAAATCATGTTTTTTAAACGACCTTAAAGTTTCCAAGAATCTACTAGCTGCCATAACTTCTATTTAAAAATGTCAATTAGTTTTGAGCGGGTAAAAATACATCCATTTTTTAGTTGTAGCTAAAAACTCCCGAATTCACCCGTGAAAGAATATGAAGTACAGTCCTTAAATTATTATAGGTGTAACTTAATTTTAGTGTAATAAAAAATAGCTGTTACTCAATTTCAAGTTTATATGTATAATAAAGCTTTGTTAGCCTAATAACAAAATTTAATACAGAACAGGAAAATATGATATTCAATCATAACAACTATTTTTTTCCCGTAACTAATGGTAGCTATTTATATAAGTAAAACAATATTTGATTAGCTTAGCCAAAATAATATTGCAACATAATATATAGAGGTTGAAAAAATAAAGTGTCTACACGGGCTACATACACACGGTGAGTTTATTGGAATCTAATGGGAATCTATTGATATTACTTTTATTGAAAACAGCCCAATAGTTTTATGAGACAAAATACAACAAAGGAAAACAGGTACAAACATTTACATGTACGTTATCCTACGCATAAAATACAGGTTATATTAAACAATTTTAGTTTGTTTATGCCAAAAAAAGTTTTTGCATTATTTCATATAAATAAATTATAGAAGTCCATAGGTATATTACAAGTCATGTATCACAGTGATACATGATAGATGGAACATACTGTAAAATAGAACTTCTAAGTCTTGTCCTAGCTGATTTGCACGCATGTGGGGAAAAACAAAATAGTTTGTACAGCTGCACGCAGAATACCATGGTAAACCGTAAACCTGTTTTCATCTAATTTCACTAAAAAGGCAGTGGTGACACATTACGGCCTTCTCTGAGTAAATCACAAAGGCTTTCAACCAAAATTGTTCTACAAATACTAATGCGACTTAATCGATTTGTTTGATATTTGTTTGTATGTTATTTTGGTTTAACACCTATACAGTTAATTCTGTTTCTGTCATTGTTGAATGAACTTTTTTTTTTTTAAAAACACTTAATAAATGTAGGTACTCGATAAAAAATTAAACATTACGACATTGTTATTATGGGTTCTAATTAATCACTTAGGATTAGGGAACGAATTTAAGTGTTTTTATAATTGTATATGTTTGTACTACCAAATTATGTGTATAAAGTATATATAACATGACATTGTGTTTTAAAATTCAAAATATGTGTTATGTTAATGTAGTAATGAAGTTTGTTTTTTGTACTCATATAGTGATATTGGATGACAGACAGTCTTTGCTCAGATCCGTTTTTCGTATTTTATGATTTTAGACTTGTTATTGAATTCATATTTAACACATATCTACATTAGTCACCGTGAATTACTCAATGACACACAGAAAGTGCACATTATTTTGCAAGAACTAGATAGACTTCTCTTTCTCATCACAGATGACATCATAATATCTGAGGACAAATTCATACGTAAAGATGGTACAAAATAAATTCAAAGATAGGATGGTTTTCAATTGGGTCATAGCTATAAGCCATACACCTCCCAATTGAGCGTTGTAGGATTCACAATATTTATTGTACTATCGTGGCTAAAAATAAAAATGAAAATATCTGATTTCAATTTTTGAATATAAATTTATAAATAATTTTTAGTTGTATTTCAAATTTATAGAAATCACATTATTTTAACCGTAAAACTATAAATACTTAATATCAAAACTATAAAATATACATTATAACCTATTCAGATTTTGCTTTAGTATTTAACACATTTTTTAAAATATGTTTATGAAACATTTTTATCAATAAATATAATAAAAATAAACAAATGCAAATAAATACTATAATAACAGCGATTATATCCAATAAAAGGTATTGATACCAAGTTAAATTAAGTGAGTGAGTCTTCAAATGAGGGGCACCTTTATGACGAATTACATATTCAGTCCAGTAAAGTACTGACTGTTCCGGGGACATCGGTCGGTTTTTGAATATATCGGAAGCGATTTCAGCGTTTCGCTTATACCTATAACATACGTTTTAGTTAAAATCAAATTCAATTTACATTTTAGTTCTTAAATATTGTTCATTGTTTAGTCAATTGAAAATAAATCCCACCAAACTCACTTTTTATTATTTACTAGTTCCAATATATTTCTTAAAAATGCATCTTTTTTCACTGTTAAAATATCCATTGATATGGCCATTCCAGCATTAACCAAGTTAGCAATATTTCTTGGTTGATCGTAAAATAATGGAAATCCAAGAACTGGTACTCCAGCATGCACTGTTTCATACACTCCCGACATACCTCCGTGACTGATGAATAATTTCACTTTGGGGTGCACTTAAAATCAAAATACATAAATAAAAACAAAGTTCTGACTCATCTATTATATAGTTCCTTTAAGTATAAAATATTACATAGAATTTCTCGTTGAGGTAACCATTTTCTTATCATGACATTTTTTGGTTTATTCACCATATATTCTGCTTCATATTTCCATAATATTCTTTGAGGAACTTCGGCTAATGCTTCCTTCAATGGATTTAGTATATAATCAGGTGATGTAGACATATTAACAACTGAACCCAAAGTCAACAAAATTACCCCTTGAGGAGAATTTTCAATAAATTCTAATATATCCTAAAACAAAAATAAATATATATTTGTTAAATTTTATTTTTATTAGTCAAACTGTTTTTTTTTTTTATATACAAATGTGAATTAATTTATTGCGATATTAGGATTCAAAGAATTTGCGTTATGTAATAATATTATTATTTCATTAAACACAGGGATCAACAATTACGGTAGAAAACAAATAATATTTTGTTTATTGTTATGTTATTATCAAAACTGAGTGGAGTAAACTGATACATTACAGTTAATAAGTACTTATTATCTATTATGCGCTCATTCTAATGAAAAGTATTGACGTCTTGGTTGGTGGTTTTGTTTACCAATCCTCTCATCAAACCTTACAAACATAATAGTAATATTAAAATTTTATAGTTCTAAATTCAATTTGCAAATTGCCAAATGAAAACCTTAGAAAAACATTGTGCAACTTAACATTAGCAATTAAAAGTAATTATTACTCGTTATACACTCATTCTCATTAAAAATATTTACGTTTTGGGTTACTAATACACTTATTGTAGTTTATAAACTTATTAGTTATGCCATTGTTTTTTATAATATATCTAGCGGTTGGCAGCTATTAATTTCTTCAAATATTGACAATATATCTGTATACTATTATTATAAAATCAATGGTAATATTAGCATATTCTCGTGATGATTTCAATTTTTCTATTTCAAAACACAGAAAAACATTGTGCTATAGAATTTAAGCCATTATTCAAAAATAATAATCACTTAAAATTGATAACGATAAAAATGGTTAAAAAATATTTTCAAAAATTGAAAAATGTTAATATTATTCGATAAAATCCATGTTATTTTTAAAAAGAATCACGTTTCATTCAAACTGACACGGTAGTACGATTAATTAATATATTAGTATTTGCATGTGTTTCATTTTACTTACATTTGGTATTTTCTTTGGAGGTTTCAAATGTATGCCTCCGATTTCGATGAGGTTTTGAGGAAACGGTCTTGAAGGCTCGCTAATAAAGTGACTGTTTACAAATGACAGCGATGGTTGTTTAGTACTCGTTTCCAAATCATATGGTCTATTCATCGTAAACTTTCGAATGAATTTGTCATAACTTAAAAGGATCATATTGTATCCTAATAGTAAAGTGTTTGAAAATCTTTGTACCAATGTCTTAGGAATGCAATGATCAGCATATAAATGGGAAATTACTGCTGGATTAGGGATGTCACCGGAAACAGAACGTTCTGCGAATGTTATCATTGGAGACGAAATCAAATAAATGAATGGCAAGTTTAACTTATTAGCCAAATACAGATCACAATCGTGTCCCACATTTTCAATTATGAGTAAGTCAAAATTAGAACCCTCATTATTTTCTATTATTTTTTTTAACTGATCATTTTCATACACTATATCACACATTAAGTTACGATTAGTCCTCAAAAATTTAAAAAACGATAAGGGATGTCCCCATAAATCCATTGTAGAGATCAAATCCATAGCTTTGAATTCGTTATGATCATTAGATGTATCTATTTCCGTATAGTTGTCTCGGTTGCCTTCAGGAAATGGTGTAAACATAGTAACATTATGGCCATTTTTTGACAAGACACGAATAACAGAACTAACGTAATTCCAATGACTTCTGCCAGCAATAGAGTTTATGGCTAATATTCTTGCTGATTCTATTGGCAATATCCATGAGCTGACGAACGCGTATACAAAAAATATTGAAAATATATATTTGTGTAACGTATTTAGTTTCCTCGTCATAGTTATTGTTGAATATAGACAACAACAAAATTAATAAACACAAAACTGTAGTAAATGTTATAGATTATTTAATTGATTCAGAACCACGCGTTAGAATGAAAATAATGAATATTGAATAATTACTTTATACTTGTGCTAATATATTGTCTACGACTATAATATAGATTATTATGTTATCTTATATCAATATTTTTATCAATATCAATACTACTGATGTCTATAAATAATGATAAATAATAATTAAGTCACAGATATGATGACATAATAATTTATTTCTAGACGTGAGAGGTACATGTTCAAGATGAAATGTCTAGTGGATTGTTGAACATGTCATTGTGTTTTTTAACTCAAAATATGTGTTATGTTAATGTAGTAATGAAGTTTATTTATTGTACTCATTTTATGTATTATTACGTATTATACATCTGATATTATATAGGCCATCGTCTATTGCGATAAATACGAGCAGTCGACACATGTTCATCGTATACATGAATGTGTTATTAAAATGTATAATTCAACTGGTCTATTCATAATATATACTTTTAAATATAATTCTATATGGCATAAATCGCCTTTTTTTCGAAGTTGGACATTTTTGTGTTCTTTGGAGACAGCTTTACAAATTGTTCAAAAGCAGAACTGTCCCTCTCGAAACGAGACGCATGGTCACAGAATAAATAAAATAGATAAAAATAATTGATTTAATCTATTCTGTGCTATGGTCAGCAGATGACGTTAATTTAGATATTACGCATGAACCTTATTGAATTATTTGAGTAAATATGCACCAATAACTGGTGTAGACGTAGAACGTAGTTTTTCTTTGTTCAGACATATTTTAAGTGATAGAAGATTGAATTTTTATGAACAAAATTTAGAAATGTATTTAATTATCAATTTTAATAATTCAAAAATGTAACATTTGTCCAACTTTTTTTTACATTTATTTAATTATAGTTGGGAATTCAAAGTTTATTTTATAAAACTTTTGTATTTTTACAGTTCAATTTACTATGCAATTTTTACTTATTTTTTCTTTGAGAGTACCTGTGAAACTAGATTGCAAAGTTCGCTTTTCCAACGCATAATCAGTCTTCTGACTTGATTATTTACTATGTGACTTTATTTTTCAATTGATATTGTAGATTATTAGACATACAATATTTTTATTAATTTGCCAAAAGGTAATTTTGTGGAATAAACACTCGCCCAAGCGGTATATAACTACTATATAGGGTATTCACCCTATTTACCCAATATTTTCATCTGATTCCATATTAAAAAATGTATTACCAATTAAAAATCCAAAAAATAATAAAAATATAATTTTAGAAGCAGACAACATTGAATAAAAATTATTTTGAAAATTAAAAATAATATTTTTAAAACCAACATGTAAATGATTGAAATTACAACTTTTTATTTTTAAAGACATGCAATTATACTATTATTTAAAAACAAATATATATATATTCTACAATTATATTAAGTTCATAAATAAATAAATAACATTTAAAATAATAAATCACTTGAAAAATAACGAACAAATTTTATATATTTTGAAGTAAATATTTTTTACTATTATTTAACTCTACTTTAGATGGTTGATATTTTTCCTATTAAGATGATGGTACCTATGCGTTTGTTATCTCCGTCTTATAAACATTTGACATGCCAAATTTTTGATAACTAGTTTCAATAGTGTCCTATTGCCTTTTACCGTTTATATATGAGTGAATTCACCTATTATTAAACTTATAGGTAAAAACATTTTCCGTACTAAAATCATCTCGATTTTGAGGTATTTTTATTTTCAAACAATACATGGGCATGTAAGATATCAAAAATTAAAAATGCTCATATCCCGCTTGAAAATTTAAATATCGAATAAAAGACTACACTTAAGCACAGATAATGTTCTTAACTAAATTGCTATATCGTACTTGTGTAAGACTGAGACAACAAATGCATGGGTGGCGTCCACATATAATACAACAAATAAAAAACTCTTAAAATGTAGCTTATGAAATTAATTTATATTTTTAATATCTTAAAATATTTTTAGAAAATAAAATTGCTCTGACTGATTCAATTTATGTTTAAATATTACACCAAAATTTGGTCTTTGAATATCAAACATAATGTGATAGGATTAATATAGGACATATAGAGTTTAAATAAAATAGTTACTTAATGTGAAGATAATTATTTAGACTAATTGTATTTTATTTACTTAACTCCAAATAAGATATTGATGATTTTAAATCAATTTTTTAATTAATTGAATAAATGTATTATTTTTTCTTTCAAATGACCTGTGAACAAACTATTTAAATGTTTTTACTTTATTTAAATTCAAATTTGGTTGTTAAAAACCAACAAAAGGTAATATCTAGTAGAGACTTCATGTATGCTAGATATTTACATTCTTATAAATAACTATTTTGTACTAATATCTAGGTTGCAACTTAAATTAATATATAATTTACGGCTAAATTGACAAATATTTCACTTTATATGTACCTACTTACGAGTAATAAGTTTATTGTTAATTGAACCTTTAATTGTGTTTGATGATATATTATAATACATTGTACTCAATTATTTAAAAATTGTTGTGTATTGGTTACGTTTATTTTTTTTCCATTATAACGCTGTATTTAACATTTTGAAGCCCTGCAGGTGTAGAGGTTAAAATTGTTAAATATGCAACTGGTAGAGATGGGTTTGTATATATATCTAAAGCCCTGTATGATCCCTAGATTAGCCATTACGTGTTTTCCACTATAAATACATAATATTATGTCATAAATAATATAGTAATAAGGTATTTAATCGTGGTTAATACTTTATACTCCGTACGTTGCTGGCCATGTGGCGGTAGAACGGAACGGAATTAAGAAATACCTATTTTTGCTAATTTTTGTGTTTTGTGACGCCTCTAATAGTTTATATAGTTTTATGTATTTTTTATGTACATACTAAATATTGTTAAATGTAACTAAATTATTATTTTTATACCCTGTTATTAAATTTTGAATATTTGAATTTTTATAGCCATCAATAAATGCTACATTGGTCCATACAATGACTGATAAACTAATACACACAAGTGGTACTCGAAAAAATAAGTTCGAGAATATTTTATCACGTACACAAGATAACATATTATAATAAATATTAAATATCAAGGTCGATATTTGAAAAAAAAATAAAACGCGTACTTAATATTGTTGTATATTTGTTCATAGGTCTAGAAAGACAACAAGACGTAAGTAGACGCCATTCAATCACTCTCCGAGGCACAGCGCCAGACGGCAGCACTTATCACTTTGGCACAGTTAGTACTAAAATCAGTGTACACTGCGTATCGAGATTCGACATCAGATAGGTAGGTATATTTTATAATTTGAATTGGGTTAAAAAATATATTGGATAAATACATTTTAATTTATAGCGTTATATGGATAACGGCATAATCGGTTATATAATATCGGTTATTCGGTTCATACATTTCCTAAACTAATAGGTTCAAAAAGTTTTTAATTTGCTTACAGTATTCCGGCATCCGGATGTAGCCCCCCTCCCCAGAGACAACTACTGTCCGGGGAAAGTGCTCTGCAACCCTCTGTCAAATCCGGCCCTGACGTATGTTAGTACTTCCACATTTATGTTTTTATTTAAACGCTGGTGCCAAGCATTTTTGCGAATGCTCCGTTTCCGTTGGCTGACTGGATGGTCAAATGGTGGCAGTTTGACGGCCACATCATATACAGCTGTGGCTGCCAGGTTAACACACGAAGATAACCCGTTTGGGAGCTGTATAAAAAATTTACCTGAACATTTTTAACATGTTTGAGCGTATTTATGAAAACACTTTTGGGCGCAATACTGTAACTAGTAATCGAATGCCGTGTATAATCTAATCTAATGAGTACTTGATTGTTTATCTTGCTGTAGACCATATGATATTAATTTTTTGGAAAATACCGCATCAAACATAGCTATAGATATTTAGCTACTATTACAGATAATATTATGTTCTGTGTTCGCAGAACATTTTGTAAGACTTTGAATTTTAAATATTTATAAAAGAAAATTGTGTATCACGTATTTTTAATATTTTTAACTGCTATGATAACCACTTAAAGGAACCTTGAATTAAATTTTAAGGCTTTTTTACCAAAAAAAAATAAAACATTTATTGACATTTATAGATAAAAAATAACCAAAATATTTTATAAAATTAAATCACGTAAAAAGAACGACAAAAAATTGAATTTCTTTTGGTGAATCTAGATTATAATAATCTCAAACGGCAATCCACTAGATATGTTATCTTGAACAATGAACATGTACCTCTGACCTCCACAAATAAAATATGACCTCATCATTTGACATTTATAATACCATATAGTATAAAATATTTTAATTATTATTTAGAGACATCAGTCATAGTAAGACGTATGAAAAATATTAATTTAAAATAACATAATAATTTGTTAGTTGTTTTTAGGATATAAACACTAGCATAACCGATGGTTTAGAAACAGTTTAGTATTCTACAAACACTATTACAATTTGATAGTTATTTTTTTATTCTTTTTATTCTTTTTATTCTTTTTATTTCTGGTGTCTATAAATAAAAAATAAACAGCGCTGTTCCACTCTTCCCTCTGGTGACAGGGGCGAAGCCCCCCGGCAGTTTTAGTCAAGGTGGCTGCCAGTTCGTCATACGCGGACACCGTTCGCGCAATTAGGCAAAACAGCGAGCTGAACTTGGTGGAGCCGGGAGCTCAGGTAACTGACATGCGCAAGACCAGGGATGGACTTTTGTTGGTCGAGAGGGCCAAAGATGCTAGACCCGTAGTAGCAGCAGAAGATGTTTTTAGCTATTGCTACTAGACTGGGTGACGTGGTCAGAGAAGTTTTGCAGATTAGCAAGAATGCTGTTGTTGAGATTGTTAAACTCGATGCAGTGGCAATCGAGGGCGAGGTTCTTTCGGCATTGTGGGTGGAAATATCCGGAGCTGAAGACGTTTAAGTTGCCATTTCCGAACGGCAGGCAGTTTTTGGCTTCTTTGACCCACTAGGTGTGGACAGCAAATTGCCTACCCCTACAATGTCTAGCACCTCTGCTTCCACGATATAATGTATCCCAATTGGATCTATAATGTACCATGAATGGTGTAATAAAATGAACCCAAACGTCTAGAACCTGAGTAGTGTTTCCGGTGCAACGGCTTCGGTCACCGGAGCAGTAACTGCTCTGGGCCAGATCTGTCTGGGCATTGTTTTTCCCTGTATTTAATGGAATATTATATAACGGAAACGCTTTGAATCTTATTATCACAGTCATTAATATATACAATGATTTCTTATGATATTTAAAAATAAACTAGTTCAGAAATAAAAAAAATTGATAAATACTATACACTGGGTGACTCAATTAACGTAGAAGATAGAACACCCATTATTCAATAAGTATTAATGTTTTTGAAAATATTTTTTTTTAATGGATTTAAGTCGCTACAGAACAACGTTTTGAAAAATGTATTTTCATTTTTCCTCCTCATAATTTAAAAGTTTTACTTTTAGTTTAAACATTTTTAGTTTCATCTTCAAAAGTAGAATATTTGTCTGGGTATTTCAATACATAAAAATCGAATAAGGATGGGTAGCTTATAAGTTATAAATAATTAATGTTTTGAGACACGAAGTAATGGACCAACATTTTGCATGGTTATTGCTTTCCACTCCACTCCTTTAAACTGTAAACTTTAAATACTTATAATGACTCATGAATGACTCATCCTAAATTCGATTTTTATTCATCGAAATACATTAAATATTAACCAGCTTTGGAATATAAATTTAAATCTGTCAGTTAAAACTGTAGCCACAGTATTTTGATTCATAGTTTAAGTTAAAATGTGTACTACATCAGATGTCTAAAAGAATATTAACGATTTGAATATTCAAGTTAGGTAGGTACCTACTTTATATTGTAGTTTAAAAAACTGTTATTTGTAGATAATTGAAACTTTTAAAGTATATTATTATATTATTGTTTACACAAGGCAATTTTTCTAACAAAAAACAATCCAACCAATACTTTACTAATCTTTAATAGTAAAATAAATTACTTTATACAAATTACAAAAAAAACATCTATGCATGTATATTTCATAGTAATTAACGAATAGGCTTGTTTTTGTTTAATAACCAATATTATTAATTGTGTTTCTATTGTTTCATTAACTTTTTTTTAAAACACACTACTACTTAGGTAGTATAAGTAGCCAAGTAAGTACTCGATAAAAAGTAATCATTACTTCATTGATATGGTTTGTTAAAATTTAAGTAACTTATGCTTTCATACTATCAAAATATAGATATTAACAAACTATTGATTTCCGAGGCTGAGCAAGTTACCTAATGATACTTTTTAACTCAGTTGAGTTTAGTAATTTTTTTTTCACTTAAAATAAAAACTAAGTTTAAAGCCATTTTATGTACTTCAAATTAAGTTTTATATTCAGTTAAAAAGTTATTAACTTAATTTAAATTAATAAGTTAAGTTATATAAAAAAAAAAATGCACATAGGTAATATTTTAATAAAATAGTTGATAATCACTTGAAGAGTAACTTATATTTATAAATTATAAGTACCTTATAGGCCTTATAGGCTATGTTACTATTCAAACATTCAATGATAATCATTATATAAGTAACACTATCAAAAATAAGTATTAACAAATAATATTAAATATGATGTATGAATATAATTTATGAAATTATGGGCTATTCAATATTTTTACTAACACGTACCTATTTTCAGTGTATAAGTGTATTTATAAGTGACTTAGACTAATATAGTTCCAGATATATATTATATTATGGTCAACTTTTAGTTAGTTATTTTTTGAACACCCCCCCCCCCCCATAGGTACGCCCCTGACTTCCAGATTTGAGTGGCCCAATCAAACACCTAGTCGAATTATGAATCTAAACTATCCAGATTCAAGTTTCCTACTTAAACACACAAACAATTTCATCAAAATCGATCCAGCCGTTTAGATAGAGATCAGTGAAGTACAGACATAAAAAATACCAAAGAATTATATGCATACATATATATATATAAAGATTTGTCAATAAATTTAATTGAATATTTTATTAAGGCATAAAATAAATATTTTGCTACTCGAAAAGTAGATGTTTCATGAATTCGTCACACAGCCGTTAGAACGGCTCCTTCGTGCATATTCCGTTGATCCTCTTTTACCAGTTTATCCTCTGCCCATGGTTGTATTTCCGCTGAACCAAAAATGGCATAGAACACTGCCACGGATATGTATATAACCGCCATCAGGATATAAATTCGGATATCGTCACGTCCCTATGATCAAATAAAATAAAGACGGGTAATTTCGTCTCAGAAAATCGGGCTCAAGCAAAAATAGTGCTCTAAAATTGCCACCACTCAAATAATTTAAAATAATTTAACTTAAAATAAATATAAGTCATCGTTTCGAAAATGCTACTCTTAGCCAGTGATTTTCTATCACCTATACCTTGAACAAGCCCCGGTCTCATAACACGTTTACATAATTTAAATAATATTAGTAATATTTACATCAGGATGGATTAATATTTCTGAAATATCCGGTAAATAGATGCCGGAAATGGCAAATATTGTCATCTGGAAACCAAAAAGTACACTGGCATATTTTGGTGCGATATCCAAATGGTTTAAACCGAATCCTATAAACAAACCATGAACTATGATGAAACAAACAGATGTAAAATTGATTTATGTACTATTTATATGCTATAAAAACGGTTCTACATATTGTTAATATTATTACAGCCTGAAATATATTTCATGTGAATAGTGAATAAAAACTTACCAAAAATAAAAAAATATTCCATTTCACAGATTATGAATTTGAACAATTCTTCGGTCTCTAAAAACAAAAATGACTTGACCTTAAAGGCTACCAGCAAAAATACCATGCCCACTGCAATGAAAATCGTGCAACTAAAAATCTTTCTGACGTTTGTGACAGAAATGCATTCTGTTATTTCCGTAAATAATTCGAATACGACGAATACGGGTAAGAACATAAAGGTGAACTGTTTTCTCAAAATCTGATCCAATGATATATTCTGTGTAGATAAATATGTGTAGGTATGAGTAAAAATTGTAATGATGATTTAGCTAAATATAAATACATTGTGAGATACTAAAAAAAAAAATTATAAAATACTTACATGGCTAACATAGTAACTGTTTTGTATAACAATCATATTAGCATAACACATACATGATATAACAAGAGCAATGACGGGCAATGAAGTAAAAATCGACTTCCATGGAATGTCCAAAATGATTGACCGTATTAAGGATATGGCAGAGATTCCTGAAGAACGTGGCACATTGTTCGAATCTCTACATTTCCTAAATAGGTTCTGAGAACGATCTCCGTGGATCAAATACACCCAAGAAACAAACCACGATAACCCAACCAGAACTAACAAAAGTACATTATATTATAAGTGATTTTTACTTATTTAATCTTTCATAATTTAATCGTAAAATTACCAATTAATCCATTTATTTTTTGCAAAAATGAAATCATGATATAATTACACAATTGTGGGTTGAAAATCGAATACAATAGTATTGGAACATAACGTAAAGACTGTTTTTTCAGTGGAATCCAAAATGTACAAACCCTGTGAGGAGCCGAATATGCCATGGCCTAGGACACAATAATAACTCTATATTATAATTGTATTACTTTACGTATACATTCAAACTTGATACTGAAGAATCTTATCATTACCATTGTCTTTCCCATACAAAATTGAAAAAAATGATGCAAGTCAGCGTTTAAGAAAAATACTGTATTCATGACTTCCATAAAATGATATATAGAATATACGATGAACGAAATCCCAAAAATGCTGTACATAAATTAATTAAATTAAGTATACTGCATTCATGTTAAGTAGGGCTAGGAAATCTACATGTTACAGTTTGCATAACTGACAATGCAATTAAGTTGTGCGTAGTTAACAATTTCGTCAAACATGTACCACCTAACCTGTATTTGAGGACAATTATATTTTCGAATATTTTATTAATAGTTTGTACAAAATACAAATAATACACCGAAATATATCGTCGGAATTCCAGAGTGGCAATAATTATCATTTTAAATTTAATATTATTATATTCAAAGTAGAAATTATATTGATATTATAAACCCTAGCCCCATATACTATTATTAATATGTATATTATAATGTAATGATATCACTTGATTACTTGTGAGCCGGATAAACAGTGGCTAAGACACCGCCAGGTATAAAACCGATTAACATTCCATAGCCACAGTAAGGACTCTGTAATATTATAAAATATAACTTGTATAACGTTAATGTAAAAGTAGGTATTGAAGAATTAATTAGCTTAATAATACACTCAGAAGTATATAATCAGCGGTAATAAAACATTTTGAAACGATTATTCAATAGAAAGTCAGAACTGAAAATATTCAGGAGCACATTTTTTTTTTTACTGTAGATATTGGACACTTTTTATTTTTAGTGTTGATGTTTCAATGAAAACTTAAGAATATACTTATAAAAATGGATAAGAAACAATATGTGCAGGTAAAATTGTTCTAATTGAAAAAGCCAGTTCTGGGCCTCTGGATACCTATCAGTTACGGCTTTATTAGATTTAATTGGTACTTACATAATTTTCTTCATACGACTCTCTTAAACTCAAAAATAATGATAAATATTCTAACTGAAGAATTGTTAAACCTGTATAAAACAATAATCTTACATTAAAATTATCTGACTAATGTAGAATTCGAAATTTTAGATGAAAAAAAATTATTATTTATTAAGTGATAAAATTATAACTATAATAATATTGAATTAAGGTACCTAATATTAATTATCTTCTTGCAAATTATTTTGATTGAATAATGTGTTTTTGACGTTTTTGTATAATGGAAATGATTTTTGCATGAGTAATGAGTTTTTAACTTTGTTATTTATATAAAATAAAACATAGATTTTTGATTTTGAATTTTATTTTACTATTTTATAAATTACGTCCCGACCTTTCCACCTAAACTAAAAAAACCCACTTGGTGTCACCAGACTGCATACTTCTAGTAGAACATGATGCATTTTAGGAGTGTGTATCTAGTATGGCAGATTCTTATCAAACTACTCTACAATTTACCTATAAATGTGAGCAAAACTATTGCAAATCCTCTGTTCCAATATGTAGTTTTCAAACGGATAAACCTATCGATGAACCTTGACGGCATTTGTTCCGGTGTTTGGATTTGAGACGTAGAGCTGAATCTTCTGATGCCGGTTTCCCGAAGCTCCATTCTTCACGAGTTACAACAAATTAGTTTGATAACGTTGTATTTCCAATCAACTGCGATGACTTAAAAAAAAGTAAAAAGCGGGTAAGTTTGTAACTCTCTATACTGTACAAGAAGTGTCTAAAGATTAAGTAATGGTTGTGTTAAATTTGAATTCAATAATATAAATCAATGTATACGAAAAAAGATTATGAACGGAGACTGAATTTCGTCTAAATTTGAACTTAAAATAACTATAAAAAAAAAAATATAATCTATACACAATTATACAAATATTATTGTAGATTTAAGCTCAATTTTTATTGTAATATACATTTACAACAACTTACGAGGAACCTTCTATTACATTTTCAAGGTTTTCGACACATGAAAAATTTTTTATCGACAGTTATTTAAAAAAAACAAATTGAAAATTGCAAATGTCTAGAAATGAGTCAACATGAGTTAAAATATTTTGAAAATAGTGTTTTGTAAAAGAAATGATAAAATATACTTTTAGTTAAAATATAATATATTTACTGTCATTTTTTTAAGTGTTTGACCAAAAACTGAAATCAATTTTGTTGAAAAGTCTTAAAAAACGTTGAGAAAATCCCTGTTTTTTCTTAATTTTTGTTTTGTTTTCTAGGTACCTTTGAAAACTATTGAAAATTTGAGTAAAAGATACAATGTACTAGGTAGTACTCACCGAAGTTTAAATTTCATCATTTCAACTATTCATGGTGTACACAAACCCATATAAAAAAAAACACAAATCAATTTAAAATCAATGCATTCATCACTCCGCTCTGCTCTCGTAATCTAATACTGGGTTTTATAAGTATTAATATTCGATAATTTTAATGTATATTTAATATTTATGCTATCATACTATGGCATGCTATTAAATACAGTGTATTGACTCCATTGACCTTTCTTTACAACATTGTTAACATGTTCATGTCAAAGTTTTTAGCAAAACTCCAATTAGGTTACAGAGGTGCATAACCAATATACCATTAAAATCCAAACATTTATATTTTTGCAAATATTTAGCTTATCTTAGGCACTAATGCACTATTCTTTGGATATAAAAATTTAATTGATATACAGTGTGATCACGATAAGCAATGTCTTGAAATTTAGCATAATATTATACTGAATATGTTATAATATGTTTTTTGACTAACTAATAAATATAGTTATACAAATTTTCAAATAACTAAACTTTTTTTGTGACACTTAGATTTGCCCGTGCGCACAACTTTTTTTGAAAGGTATGTCAAATTTTTGACTTTGAATTATTTTTCTCTGTGTTTTTTAATGATTTGCTGAATCTAGTAGAATTTTGGGGCCCCATGTTCTTGAAATATTCAATGGAAAATATTCATTAAGTTTGAACTATTTTGACCGTATTTCTATAAACAGATGTTAAAAGGTGGACGATATAATGAATTTTTGTTAAATTACCTCTCAGTAATGTTAGATGATTTCCACAAGATATTATAATGGCATATTTAATATTTCAATAACATGTGTAGTAATCTGTTTATTAGTTGGTAAAAAAAATTGAACTTAAATATATTGAGTAAATGCTGAGTTATTGAGTATATCTACTTATCTTGATCTCACTGTACCTTAATAAATGTTTTAAAATATATAACAATTTGTTAACTAAGTAAATAGTTAAAAGATTATAATATTTTTTAAATAAGTTTCATTTTGAACTACAATTTTAGCCTATTAAAATTTATAAATTCACTGAAATACGTGAATTTATAATCAAACCCATTTTTTTATGGAATCATTGATTAACATTGATTTTGTTGATTTCACATCAAATTTTACAATTTTAATTTTCTAGATGTTATGTTATTGTATAAAGGTTTCAATATTTTACGAAAATCTTAGAATATTTATGTTACTTATGATTTTGAATAAATCGATTTCGTTTTGTTGCTTTTAAAACAAAATTGTTATAGTTTAAACCTAAAATTGTTTTTTCAGATAATAATACAATATTATTAATATGCAAATATTTAAGAAAAACAATACAATTGGACATTGGTAGAAAACCTTAGTATGACTATTGACTTAAAAAATACATAATATTCATAACATTATCAATCACGTTTTATGCATTTTTAATCACATAATCATTTGAAAATGTTCTTGGTTTTGACCAATTTTGTTTTAATTTGAACTTTTCAAAATGCTCATAAAACAATACAATTCATACACAAGGTGTAACAGGAAGACCTGACAAATTAAATTATTTTTGGTCTTATCAATAGACGCACACGTTACACCTTACACATATAGTATAACATTTTTTATTTTTATATTTTAATACTGAAAATAAAAAATTTAAATCTGAGACTAACTTTAAGATGCTGTTTAGAAACATGTAGATTATTTAAATATATGTTTCAGTCAAACATAGTTAATGTTTTACAGCAGTTAGAAAGTTTGTTAAGTTAATCCAGTAGTAAAAAGTATTATTTATTCAAAAAAATAAACCTAAACCTTTTAAAAATATTTTATGGAAATTTAAAAAAATAAATGTTACAATTAAAATAATATTATTTTAAATGTATAAGTTTTCAACGAATGAGTTTTATTTAAAATAATAAAAATAAATTAGTCATTTGACTTAGATAAATATTTTTATTGAAAGTTTTCTAAAACATAGGTTTACAAATCGATTAGCTAAATTAAAATTTCCAAAAAAATTAAAATTGTTCATTTATTCTATTGAACAAATATGTGAATAAAAAATGTTATATTATAGGAACATGAAGCGTATAAGTTGATAAATTAAATAGAACAAAAACATTTAAATATTGGTTGAAACAAAAGCTATTTCATTTTTCAGGTCTCCCTGCAGTTACACCATTTATATTTATTATTTATAAATAGCCTTAATAACAATTTAAACCATTTTTATTTACGTGGTTAAAATCATTAATGAATGAATAATAATCATTAAAAAAATCACCCAACCTCAGTTCAGAGTAGAATTTAGAAGATAACTTAAAATAATTGACAACAAACACATGCATATGAATAAACATACAAGTCTAATAAAAAATCTTTTTAAAAATTAATTTTTTAACGTAGTTTCCTATGTATAACAAGTAAATTTCTTAACCTTGGTTATTTGTGTAAATAATATTAGGTAGGTACTTACAATTATTGTGCTTGGATAAGTTCTCAAATATTCTGAAAAAAAGAATAAAAAATAAAGATTTTTAAGTCTTATACACATAGCTCATGTAGTGCATCATGTAAAAAATAAAATTCTGCAAATGTATTGTACCTATAATATAATCTAGTGGTAGCAAAATAGAAATGTAACTTTTGACAAATATTGAAGTTGAAAAATTTAATGCAATACCTATATCTATTATCGAATTAATAAGATAGTCTACTAGACAAGATTCCAGTTTGAGTATATTTCATCCAATACAACTAACATGGTCGACAGTTATATATTCTATGAAAATATTATCATATAGGTATTACTAACCAAAAATGCATTTTTACAATCTGTGATGATGTTATGTAATATAACAATATGCATAGTTAAAGATTTGTTGTCGACATTCCTTATCCTGTTGTTCTTAAATCTTATCGGGTTAATACATTTTGTTCTGAAATCAAATATATAATATGCACTTACTACATCAGAGGATTATTAGCATTATTGTGCTTATAATAAATGTTTAATGACTATTTAATGTTAAATGTTTATATTATTATTATTATTATTATTGAAAGGACTTTCTTTCACTATATAATCATAAAATATGAAATTAAAAATTTGCAGTTAAATATTCCAAATACCAACAACAACTTCTCAAAAAAAATTTTAAAAATTATTATTTTCTTCAAATATTTTATTTATTTAAATTATTGTATTATTTTATTTATAATATTATTTATTTCATTATATAGGTACAGTCAATACGGTGTGGCAGGAAAACAATACCCTCGGATATTTATACCCCCCGGGGTATAACCTAACCTAACCCTCGGTACAAATTTCCTAGGATATTCTTACCCCCCGAAATTTTATAACGGGGGTAAAAATATCCAAGGATAATTATACCTCCATGACGGTATGAAAAACCTAGGAAATTTATACCCCTGGTATAATATTCCTAGGATATTTATACCTCCCAACATTTCTTAACAGGGGGTACGAATATCCTATAGGAAATTTATACCCGGTATGATAATCCTAGGATACCCATACCTCCCAAAATTGTTTATGAGCTTTTGAAGTGCATTAAGTTCTATGATTACTAATTGAACAATTTTCTTTATTTGTTGTAATTTAAAATCGAATAACTGTAGATGATACTTACAATTGTCACTCAATATATAATTTATCATTTTCTATACATTATATCATTTTCAAAATAGTTTTCTAATTTTGTGCTATTTATAGACATTTAAAATTAAAATTGTTTTTATGAGTTTCGATTAAAAAATGTTTGATGTTTGAAAATGATTGAACTATTGATATTTAAACTAAGCATACCTAACAATTATCATTATTTCGTAGTAATTTAAAAACATTATACGTTTGGATTTAAAATTTATCCTCGGAAGACATAAACTTCAAAATGAGAGGAGAAAAAATTTTGCAACATATGAAAGCGCCAAAATCAAAAGTAGGTTAGCTAAAACTTAAAAATATTAAATGTAGGAATAATATATTGTTAGAACTATAAAACTCCAAACGTTTAACTTTAATTTACGTATTGGTAGAAATCAACCAATTTATTACAATTTTTTTTTTCAAATTATAAATAAACGTTTTAGATATACCTAACAATAATAGAATAATAATTTTTTTTTATTTGGATTAATGATAAAATTACTGAGGTAATTAGCCTGGTACTGTGTGGGAGGAATAACGGCTGGCTGGAACATGTTTGTATGCCTGGGAAGTATGTGTTGCTAAAAACCCGGGTGGTCACCCATCCGAGTGCTAGCAACGACACCCGGTTCTTACGCTCAAAGCCTTGTCGTAGATTGAACTTATGACAGTGCCTAACCAAGCCACGAACAATAATTATATTTAATAAAAAGTAATCTATATTTCTATTTGTTAAGATAGTAAATATTTTGTTTTTCAACATTGTCATTCCATTTTTTATTCATAAAAAATCAGCATAAATACTATTAATTTAAATATTATCATTAGCACAATTTTTCTAGGATTTTTGTACTTCCCTGTAAAAAAATTCTGAGAAGTATTATATACAGTGAGTATGAATTTACTAGAAATATATTACCGAAGATTAAATTTTCTAGGATATTCGTACCCCCCGATATGAAATGTTGAGGGTATATATATCCTAGGATATTTGTACCAAGGGTACTATTAACCTAGGAAAATCATATCCCCGGGGGGTATGATTCACCTGTAACAACGGATCTCATTTTTATTATGTTGTAAATAATGAAAAAAAAATCGTTGTTAAAATAATCCTTGAATATTATCTAAATTAAGGGGATCGGTGGCGGTGACGACTGTCTTTGTCTAACACACGCGCAACATAAGAATTCAGAGGTGTTTTTTGGCAAACTTACCGATTGATAAATTGAAGCGATAAGAATTCTGAAAACAGATTTGAATTTGTCGTCAAGTCTTCTTGAGATCGGTCAGTCTACATTTTTGATTTTAGATTCTGAGTGAAACGATAAAAAAAAATAAAAAATAAAAAATAAAAAAACATTCATCGTTTCACTCAGAATCTAAAATCAAAAATGTAGACTGACCGATCTCAAGTAGACTTGACAACAAATTCAAATCAGTTTTCAGAATTCTTATCGCTTCACTTTATCAATCGGTACGTTTGCCAAAAAACACCTCTGAATTCTTATGTAACGCGTGTGTTAGACAAAGACAGTCGTCACCGCCACCGATCCCCTTAATATTTTTAGTACAAAACTTATAAACAATAATACGTTATACACATAGAGCGAATTTTTCGGAACTAAATAATTATTGTATCTCATACTATTAAATATATCCACAACCTAACCTAACCTAACATTTTTTTCCACCTTTGAACCGACGGCGCCGCGGGGACTGTTTGCGCATTGCTTCCGCGATGCCGCCATCTTTTATTTGACAAATCAAACAATTATACATACGTGGGGGGGTAGATGGGACAGTACCCCGACTTACCCCCCATGAAACATGACATTTATAGATTTTAACAATTTACGCTTTTGTTTGTCGCCTTCCTGCAACCTAACCTAACCTAACCTAGCCTTACCATACGTCGTATGATATCGTCGGGAAATGGCAATAACTCAGTAACTTGTGTGGGTCATTATTATTTTATTAAACCAGAATAGAACTGATGAAATTCCAATGACTTCTGACAGCTAATATTCTTAGCTATTAAGTAGCAAGTATGTGTTGTAGAATATTCAACTATTTATGAACTGTATATTGAGTATACATTATTTGTGTCAACATATTATCAACAAGTATATAAGATTATTATACAATCTTAAGATAATATAGTATGTACCATGCATGCATGCAATATGCAGAATAACCGGTGGCTAAAGTAATAATTGAGAAAAATATATAAAAATAATATTATACCTAGATAGGCTATCTATACCCATGTCCCATATGGCATATAGGCTATAGGTATCTACCCAGGAATTCCCCCTACTCACATATTTGTGTGATTAACTTGGAAATAACCACTTTGATAATCACAAAGATATGTAATGAAATAATATTATATAATAATATTTACCTAAATAAGCGATTAGCTTAACAATGTATGTGATGTTTTAGATCTAGAGGTCAGATCACATTATAAATTTCTACTCCTAATTAGTACTTGGAAACATGTAACACTGAAAATGTTTTTGGTACTTTCAACTGTATGTTCACAAATATTTCAAATATTTTTTTATTCGATTGTATACATACATTTAAAAAGATAATTATGTTCTTTAAATAATATATGAATTTGTAACGTTTCTTAACTATGAAAAATTATTGACTGAGATAGATCTCTTATAAATTAAAAAAAAAAATTAATATACGTCCAAATATCGTAATACTCAAAGTAAATAAATTACAGTAATAAATGACATTAATATCATGAATATTATACTTATAGTAATATAGGCTGACGTCTTTGTCAGTACCTACCCATTATTTTTCGTATTCAATGGACAATGATATATCATTATTCATTGAATTCAAATTTAACAAAATATACATTACACTATTACTGTGACGTTAGTCAATGACCAGCAATTACCTTTGCTACTTACTTCTTTTTTTTAGTTTTATTTTTCTATATTTAATTCGAATAAAATTTGCCCAATTGAACGAAAAGCTTGCAAATAAAAAAAAAAGTTTTGAAGTAATTTTAAAACATTGAAAGTAAATTAAATGTACAATATTTTTTACAAATATTTTTGAGAATCAAAATCACTCAAATCATTTTGTAGAATTGAATATCGTAGGTATACATACTTTCTATACAATATGGTAATGTAATACTAACAACGATTGACTAGTAAAAAAGTTTTCAGTGTGTAAACACTACTCTGTATAATGTGTATCTTGTACTACTCCAAAGTGGTGTAATCAGTAAATAATATATATTACGTTCCATCTTTAATTATAAATACCAGATTCTTTGCAAATATGTACATCTGATTTTTTTTCGGATAATATTTTCTATATTCTGTGACATTATAATTATAAACCAAAAACCTGTAATGAACAAAATATTCTTAATAATATAAAAATTAACTTAATTAGAAATATACAAATAATATTAGTTCATTTTAAGTTGACGTAGAGGCACATGAGTTATGTTAATTAAAACATTTAACTCGTGAGCAAAGTTAAGAAGTTAAAATTAAATAAACTTTTAAGTTTCAACTGAACTCCCAATTTAATAACTCGTTAATGCCAAGCCTCAATAGTATTATTATAGTATTCTGTTTAACTATAATTTGTCACGTTAAATTTATCTTCAAAATACTTTGGTATTCTGATAATAACAGTATGTTAATTTAATCATTGCGTTTATCATATCTTTAATACTTAATTATTATAACAATACAACAATGATAATATTATATTTATATAACGTAATATTGTTACTAACTTTTAAGTTTATATTGTATGGTATCCTAAAATGAATCAAAAACTATTGAATGTAACATTGTGTAAAAATATTAGCTATATAAAATATAATAATATATCTTAAAATTAAACGTGTCCACTAATAACATTTTAAATTTACAACAAAATAATTAAAAATTTTTTTTTTTAAATATTTCAAATTTCATTTTGAACTTCAAAATATGATCTTCAAACAAACTTTTTTATTTAGAATAAATTGCATATGAGGAACTTTCTATTGATGTTTTTAACTTTTTTACCGAGCATAAAAAGTTTTTCGACATCTATTGAAATAACTATAAATATTATTTTTTTTAAACTAACATTTCCAAAATGTCTATAAATAACTAAATATGAGTCTAATAGTCAGATAGTTTTTGAAATAATTTTATCAAAACATCTTACTTTCATATATGAAATCAAATAATTTTCACTGCTCAAAAATATGATTACCTACAGATAAAAAACACATGATTGTTATTACTACGAAAAGTCATGAATTATTACCTTTATAAACCTTAGGTGTTAAAATAATATAATTGAATTGATTTTCAACACTAAAGAATTAATGAATAATCGTTTTTATGAATAAGTTTGTCAACATTTTAACTTAAATGGCTTATAAGACAAATGGAGAAAGTTTTTTCTTAAATATTAAATTGCTATTTATTTTCTGGATGTTAAATTTTTTATTTTAGACCCCTTTTAGTCACGTCTTCGTGGTAATGTTGCCATATACATTTAGCGTCGCCACCGCGGATTCTTCATAATGTTTAAAAAAAATGATTTTGTATATAGTGGTAAATGTGTATGTATATTGTATGTACATTTTGTAGGTATAACTATGGATGGAACAAAAGATATGAATTATGCCAGTATTTTGATAATTCAAAGACTTAGAAAATTTCTTTGTAAACAACGTTATCAATTTTTTCTGGATCAGGGGCAAAAATATACAAATTAAATTTGGATGTCACACGTGACAGGGCGACGTATAGTTGACCGTGAGAAAAATATTGAACGCTTAGGTCAATTCCAGCAACGTCAAGTGTTTGTCCCTGTGCTTTATTTATAGTCATTGCAAATGCTAATTTAATGGGAAATTGAATATGTTTAAACTTAAAAGGTAAATCTTAGGGTATAATTGGTATTCTTGGTATTAAAACCATTTTTCCATTACCACAGCCTGTTAATATTACGCACTCAAGTAATAAACTTCTCAATTTTTTGATTTGTAATCTTGTACATTTGCAAAGTGTGGGTGGGCTCCAATTTCTCATTAAAATAATAGGTGCCCCTATTTTTAAAATCAGTGTATGTGGTGGGACTCCAGAAGGCGTTAAAGAGTTAAGAAATTCAGTTGGCAAATGGACTGCATCCTCTTTTTCTAAAACTGTATCAACTGAATAGTACATTTGTGATTGAGCGTCAAACCTAGATAGAATCAAATCATTTAATTTGTCGACTTGCTCATTTGTTGGTGACAAAATAGCCCTTTTTTGAAACCATTTCAATGATTTAGAAGATATATTTTGAATGTTCGGGTACACGTTTTGAATCAATTTTTTTAAAGTGGGTACTGAATTACAGAAACTTTTAATATTTATTTTATCATTCGTTGTTTGAAATTCGCCTTTGCCTATTAAAAGTAAATCTTTGACAACATTTATATTATCTTGATCTGTACATAGCACTCTCATATTAGTTTTAAGTTCTAATATTTTTATATAAGGCCATAAGTAGGATCTTTTCAAAGACGCGTTGACTTCATCAGCTAGTTAATAAAATAACAATCAAAATCGAGAAAAGGAGTGTTCTACCGAAAACGTTAGAAAAGTATTACACAGTCCATACAACGAAAATAATATCAGCGTACGGCGATGTTAAGATAAATACGGAAATCTATACCTATACCTGTGGTTGTCGAGTTTGATTGTTATTTATTTTCAGCCAGTGACTATTTCTTACTAAAAAAGGTATAGGTATACAATTTACACATTTATTTTAATTAATAAGAACTAATGATTTGTTAACTTTATCGGACTTAATGTTTGCCTTAAACCTTCTCTGTGATGTCCTCTTTAATTTAAAAAAAATTGCACGACGATTGAATAAGTACCTAGTTTCAGAGTTTATTCCGAACAAAATAAAGCGACTTCATTTTATATAGTAGTATAGATACAGATATAGATATACTCGTAGCAAATGTATTTGCAAACTTCAAAAGTATATTTCCTATTATTTGCTAATTATTTGCTAATGACTGGCAATTGTTCTAGAACGATCGAACAAATTCGATGGGTTACCTGAACTTGGCCCACCTAAATACAAGAAATTTATAACTTCTACAAAAATGATTTGATAATTTCTGGAATAAATTTGCTAAAATTTGCTAATTATTTTCTAAATATTTTTACAGGTATGGGTCAAATCATGAAAAGTTGGTGGATCTAGTTAATAGACGTCAAAAACTTAAATAAACCCAGCATAATATTATATTCGGTACGCAATAATTAATAATTAAATTCAAATTTAAATATTTAATAAGTTATACGTCACAGTAAATTACCTACTCAATGACGATGTACCCACGACACATACTATAAAGCAAAACAGCTAACAAGTTTTCATATTATCAAAATAGATATTAACAAACTATTGATTTCCAAGACTGAGCAAGTTAATGATATTTTTTAACTCAGTTAATTTAAGTATTTTTTTTCACTTAAATTAAAAACTAAGTCTATAGCCATTTTATGTACTTCAAATAAAGTCTTATGTTTAGTTAAAAAGTTATTAACTTAACTTAAATTAATAAGTTAAGTTATTAAAAAAAAAAATGCACTTAGGTAATATTTAATAAAATTGTTGATAATCACTTGAATTATGAACTTATATTCATAAGTACCAATGCCTTATTGGCTATGTTACTATTCAAACATTCAATGATAATCATGATAGGTAACACTATCAAAAATAAGTATTAACAAATACGTATTTAATATTAAATATGATGTATGAATATAATTTATGAAATTATGGGCCGTTGAATATCGATGTCTTCAAGTGGGCTACTAATGTTACCCCTACATTAATATTTATATTTAGTACTTAGTTAATATAATATTATAATTATATTATAATAATAGAGTAATATTTTAAAATATAGTCTTCATACAATATGAGTACCTACCTAGTGTAAATAAATCATAGATAATCCGTTTTCAGTGTTATCTTATTTAATGGTATCATACTTAATATTATTTACAACAGACAACTTTTGATGACGTGTTATGTTTGATATCTGGCCTAAAAACGTTTTAATTTATGGTAGCATTCACTTAGACGTGTTAAGAATAGATACAACATTAATATAATATTACACAGTGAAACCTCTAAACACCGAACATTCTCAATTGTTGAAACGTTGTCTAGTTTTCAGAGGGTCAGATAAATAGTTTGTAGTTGGTTTCCAAGTATTTTTGTACATACTCACATTATACATGATTAACACACGTCGCATTGATTTTTTAATTGTTGTTATTAAAAATATTATTCTTGTGTGCTTGAAACTTTTAAAGTAGGTATATTATTATATTTGATACACACACTAACATTTTCAAACGCAATTTTTTTCAACAAAAATGAATTTAACTTAGTATAGTATCATATAATTCTTATTTCATAGTAATATGCAGGGCTCGGGACTTTATGCAATTGCACATTTGTTCGAGAAGTAAATAGATTAAATCTGGTCCTGTACAAATTTGCGTTGTGGTGTTTGGAGTTAAAGTTTAAAAGTTTACTGTGACTATGTTTGCATATTTTGGAATTGTTTCTACAAATGCATATTTTTAAGATTTATTGATTTTCATTGCATATTTTAAAATAATTTTTGATTGTTTATTCTTAATTCAATTTTTTGGTATATTAATTTTATCTACATGATTTGGTCGGCAATAATACCGATAAGGCGATAATCAATAACGTTACGGGCAACCCATTTTATTTTTAGCTCAGAGGACAATATAATTTTTTTTATCTGTCTTTTATGGTATTATTTTGTTTGCCAGTACATAGTGATCGACGAAATACGATCGTTATCGTGTGCATTTATCGCCAATCGTTGTCGTGTTTGTATTTGCATTCGTTATTTTTTGTATTTATTAGCTCTCGTATTTGTGGTATAATATGCCAAAAGAAAAAAAACACAAATTAGGTTGAGACGTTTCATTTTGGAATTTTTGGATTATGTATTTTCCGCAGACGGAAGAATTTTATTTTGCAAATTATGTGAAATTAAAGTAGAATATGAACGGCGATCTAGTATAATACAACATATACAAACAGTAAAACATATGAAAATGATTAAACGGTGGGAAATGTTCAATACAAGAACCCAGCAAATGATTACACAAACTAATACAACATACAACTAAAATATAATTATAAAACGATTATTTTTTATTACACAAAAATTTTAATTGCTAGGTAAAAAAGATGCTGAGTGTTAAAAATCCAAATTTTTTTATAGTATTATATGTATAAAATATACATTTTTAGTAATATGTACAAGATATGTTTTTTAACGTCTCTTTTAATTAAAAATAAATGCATATTTCAGTGCATATTTTGATATTTTTTTGGTACATATGTATACTCATATTTTAAAGATTTTAAGCACATAAAGTCCTGAGCCCTGGTAATATGAATTACTTTCATCACAATAATATCATAAAATACACCTACTTAGTAATATTATAGACTGGCCGTCTTCCCTCGGTATCGTTTTTCTTATAAAATAATTTTCTATTATTGAACTCAAATTTAACATATCCACTCCAATGGCTCCTTAGTCCTTAGACGTATTGTGTACAACAGAACGTTGCCCACCTACTCGCTTTTTACTGTGAATTACACTCAACCATACAATTCTTATACTATGGCAAAAAAAATAAGAAAAGTGTAATTGTATAGCTACATCAAATTATACTAAGTAAAATGCTCTATGAAATAAACTTAAAGCATAAGTATCTATTTTGTTGATTTATAAGTTAAAAAAATATCTATACAACAATTTTTAAGTAAGTATTTGGATGTATCTATAAAAACTTCAAATAAGCATCTGTATCTGACATCTGTACTTGAATACTTTTAAAACTACCTATGTCTTATAAGACTGCCCCACGGGATACCTTTCACGTAATACAATTTAGTAGCTACAGCCTTCAGCCTCCCTCCAAGATTAAGTTCTACTATATATAAGCTACACACATCATGGGCGTAGGTAGGAAATATTTTTGGAGGGGGTTTTCATCTAAATCCTAAATAATATGCGAGTTAATAATATTCTCGAACAAATTCACAAAAAGCTCAAGATTGTTTTATTTAATTTCTGGGGGTGTTTAAACCCCCCCTTACCTACGCCCATGACACACATATATTCAACTCTCATATATTTGTTATAAGAATATATAATTACTTTATTCAAAAGCCCAAATGCGATGATTTTATGCATACTTTAAGATTATCTAATCAAGTTTTGATTCAAGTTAACTACTTTAACGCCCAAGCAATTTCATCAAAATCGATATAGTAGTTTAGGTTGAATTCAGTGAGGTACAGACATAAAATATAACGAAGAATTATATGTATACATATAAAGATAACACAATAAATTAGTTTGTTTATTTTATGAAGGCATAAAAAAAATATGATGCGACTCGAAAATTCGATGTTTCATGAATCCATCACACAGCAGGTAGAATGACTTCATCATGCATATTTTGTTGATTATCTTTTATTGTCTTATCTTCTCCCCATGGTTGTATTTCCGCCGAACCGAAAATTGCATAGAACACTGCCACGGAAATATATATTACTGCCATCAGTATATGAATTCGGAAATCGTCACGTCCCTATGATCAAATAAAATAAAGACGGGTAATTTCGTCTCAGAAAATCGGGCTCAAGCAAAAATACTGCTCTAAACTTGCCATCACTCAAATAATTTTAAATAATTTAACTTAAAATAAATATTGTCGTTTCAAAAATGCCACTCTACACCAGTGATTGTCTCTCGCCTATATCTTGAACAAGACCTGGTTTCATAAAGTTAAAAAAAAAATTGAATAATGTTAGGGTTATTTACATCAGCAATGAGTAATATTTCTGAGATATCGAATAAATAGATCCGGGAAATGTGAAATATAGTCGATTGGAACCCAAAAATTATACTGGCATATTTTGGTGCGATATCCAAATGGTTTAAACCGATCCCTATAAACAAACAGACGTAAAATTGATTTATAAAACACTATAAAAAATGGTTGTACATATCGTTAATATATTACAATGTGAAATACATTTCATGTGAGTTTAAACTTACCAAAAATATGAAAATATTTCATTTCACTGTAAATGAATTTGAACAATTCGTTTTTATCTAAAAGCAAAAAAGTATTGACCTTAAAAGCTTCCAGCAAGAATTCCACGCCCATTGCGATGCAAATTGAGCAACTCAAAAGCTTTCTGACGTTTGTGACGGATATGCATACTGTTATTTCCGGAAATAATTCTAATACGACGAATATGGGTAATAACATAATCGAGGAGTGATTTCTCAAAGGCTGATCAGATGATTTAATCTGTGTAAACCAACATGTGTGAGTATAAGAAAAAATTGTAATGATGATTTAGCTAAATATAAATACTTAGTGAGATATTAAAAAAAAAATTATAAAAATACTTACAGATTTAGCAAAGTAAGATTCTTGTATATAAATTGCATTAGTATTACATATATATGATATAACAAGAGCAATGACGGGCAATGAAGTACAAAACGACTTCCACGGAATGTCCAAAATGATTGACCTTTTTAAGGATATGATAGAGATTCCAGAAGAACGTGGCACATTGTTCGAATCTCTACATGGTCTAAATAGGCTCTGAGAACGATCTCTATTCACCACGTACAACCACAAAATAAACCATGCTAACCTAAAAAGAACTAACAAAAGTACATTATATTATAAGTGATTTTTACTTATTTAATCTTTCATGATTTAATTATAAAATTACCAATTAATCCATTTATGTTTTGCAAAAATGAGTTGATGATATAATAACACAATTGAGTATTGAAAATCGAATACAATAGTATTGGAACATAACGTAAAGACTGTTTTTTCAGTGGAATCCAAAATGTACAAACCCTGTGAGGAGCCGAATATGCCATGGCCTAGGACACATTAATAACTCTATATTATAAATGTATTACTTTGTCGTATAAATTCAAACTTGATACTGAAGAATCTTATCATTACCATTGTCATTCCCATACAAAATTGAAAAAAATGATGCAAGTCAGCGTTTAAGAAAAATACTGTATTCATGACTTCCATAAAATGATATATAGAATATACGATGAACGAAATCCCAAAAATGCTGTACATAAATTAATTAAATTAAGTATACTGCATTCATGTTAAGTAGGGCTAGGAAATCTACATGTTACAGTTTGCATAACTGACAATGCAATTAAGTTGTGCGTAGTTAACAATTTCGTCAAACATGTACTACCTAACCTGTATTTGAGGACAATTATATTTTCGAATATTTTAATAGTTTGTACAAAATACAAATAATACACCGAAATATATCGTCGGAATTCCAGAGTGGCAATAATTATCATTTTAAATTTAATATTATTATATTCAAAGTAGAAATTATATTGATATTATAAACCCTAGCCCCATATACTATTATTAATATGTATATTATAATGTAATGATATCACTTGATTACTTGTGAGCCGGATAAACAGTGGCTAAGACACCGCCAGGTATAAAACCGATTAACATTCCATAGCCACAGTAAGGACTCTGTAATATTATAAAATATAACTTGTATAACGTTAATGTAAAAGTAGGTATTGAAGAATTAATTAGCTTAATACACTCAGAAGTATATAATCAGCGGTAATAAAACATTTTGAAACGATTATTCAATAGAAAGTCAGAACTGAAAATATTCAGGAGCACATTTTTTTTTTTTACTGTAGATATTGGACACTTTTTATTTTTAGTGTTGATGTTTCAATGAAAACTTAAGAATATACTTATAAAAATGGATAAGAAACAATATGTGCAGGTAAAATTGTTCTAATTGAAAAAGCCAGTTCTGGGCCTCTGGATACCTATCAGTTACGGCTTTATTAGATTTAATTGGTACTTACATAATTTTCTTCATACAACTCGCTTAAACTCAAAAATAATGATAAATATTCTATTTGAAGAATTTTTAAACCTGTATAAAACAATAATCTTACATTAATATGATCTGAGTATCTGACTAATGTTGAATTCGAAATTTTAGATGAAAAAAAATTACACTTATTATTTATTGAGTGATAATATAACTATAATAAAATTAATGGAAGATACCAAATATTAATTGTCTACTTACAAATTATTTGGATTGAATAATTTGTTTTTGTATAATGGAAATTAATTTAATGAGTTTCTAACATTGTTATTTATATAAAAGAAAACATAAATTTAAATTGGATTTTACCATTTTATAAATTACGTCCCGACCTTTCCACCTAAACTAAAAAAAAACCACTTGGTGTCACCTGACTGCTATCTTCTAGTAGAACATGATGATTTTTAATAGTATGTAATTAGTATGGAACATTCTTATCAAACTACTTTACAATTTACCTATAAATGTGAGCAAAACTATTGCAAATCCTCTGTTCCAATATGTAGTTTTCAAACGGATAAACCTGTCGATAAATCTTGAAGGCATTTGTTCCGGTGTTTGGATTTGAGACGTAGAGCTGAATCTTCTGATGCCGATTTCCCCAAGCTCCATGATTCACGAGTTACAACAAATTAGTGGGATAACGTTGCCTTTTCAATCAACTGCGATGACTTAAGAAAAAGTAAAAAGCGGGTAAGTGGGTAACGCTCTGCTGTACATGAGGTGTCGATCAATTTTTATTTTAACATACATTTACAACAACTTACGAGGAACCTTCTATTACATTTTCAGGGTTTTCGACACTTAACAAATTTATTTGTTAACAGTCATTAAAAAAAAAACAAATTGAAAAATGCAAATGTCTGTAATAAGTCAACATGAGTTAAAGTATTTTGAAAATTGTATTTTGTAAAAAAAAATGCTTAAGTATTCATTCAGTTATCATGTATTTAAGGTCATTTTTTTTAGAGTTCGACCAAAAACTGAAATCGATTTTGTTGAAAAGTCTAAACATGTTGAAAAATCCCCGTTTTTTTTATTAATTTTTGTTTTGTTTTCTAGGTACCTTTGAAAACTATTGAAAATTTGGGTGAAAGATACAATGTACTGGGTAGTACTCACCGAAGTTTAAATTTCATCATTTCAACTACTTATGGCGTACACAAACCCATATAAAAAAGAAAACAGAAATCAATTTAAAATCAATGCATTCATCACTCCGCTCGGCGCTCATAATCTAAAACTGGCTTTTATAAGTATTAATATTCGATAATTTTAATATACATTATTTATGCGATAGTATATGCCATTCTATTAAATATAGTGCATTGACTCCATTAACCTTTCTTTACAACATTGTTAACATGTTCATGTCAAAGTTTTTAGCAAAACTCCAATTAGGTTACAGAGGTGCATAACCAATATACCACTAGGCACTAAAATCCAAACATTTATATTTTTGCAAATATTTAGCTTATCTTAGGCACTAATGCACTATTCTTTGGATATAAAAATTTAATTGATATACAGTGTGATCACGATAAGCAATTTCTTGAAATTTAGCATAATATTATACTGAATATGTTATAACAGTAATTTGAGTTCTGTTTTTTTTTACTTACTAATAAACATAGTTATACAAATTTTCAAATAATTAAGCTATTTTTTTGTGACACTTACATTCGCTCATGCGTAAAACTTTTTTTAAAGCCATGTCAAATTTTTGACCATAAATTATCTTCTTCTATATTTTTTAATGAATTTCAGTAGTAGAATTTCGGGGTCCCATCTTTTTGAAATATTAAATGGTCAATATTTCATTAATTTTTAAACTATTTTGACAGTATTTCTACAAACAGAAGTTATATAGTGGAAAAAATTCATAATAGACATTAGAATACTAATCACATTTTATAAATTTTTAATTTATAATTTTAATTATTAAATAAATTTATATTTATAACGAATATTAAATTACTTTTGGTCTCATCAAGACGCTTGCACTAAATTTTACACAAATAGTAAAACATTGTTTATTTTTATATTTTAATACTGAAAATAAAAAAATTTAAATCTGAAGCTAACTTTTTTTGAAAAATTTAAAATACCAAATTTTTAAACATTTTTTTAAGAAACATGTTGATTGCTTATATATGTGGTTCAGTCAAACATACTTAATATTTTACAACCTAAATAAATAGCCTTCATAACAGTTTAACATTTGGTGATAATTTCAAGTAGTTACTATAAAAATTGGTTTTATTCTGTCTATATGCAATATGCTAATTTTTTCTATTTTTCCAAGTTTAAAAAAAAATGCTTGGAATTTAAGAAAACACCATTTATAATTAAATAATATCATTAAAAAAATTACCTAACCTCAGCTCAGGGTAGAGTTAAGAAGATAATTTAAAATAATTGACAACAAACACATACATATAAATAAACAGACAAGTCTAATAAAAAAGATTTTTAAAAATGAACTTTTTAACCTAGCTTTCTATGTATAACAAGTAAATTTTATTAATCTTGGTTATTTGTGTACCTAATATTTGGTATGTACTTACAATTATTGTGCTTGAATAAGTTCTCAAATATTCTGAAAAAAAGAATAAAATATAAAGATTTTTACTTCATAAACACATAACTCATGTACTGTATTAATAACTGTAAAAAATAAAACTATACAAATGTATTTTACCTAATACCTATATAATCTAGTGGTAGAAAAATAGAAATATAACTTTTGACTAATATTGAAGTTTTATATGTAGTTTTAATATATAAGACTAAATTTGATGCAATACCTAGATTTATTATCAAATTAATTGGTAGTCTACTAGACAAGATTACAGTTTGAGTATAGTTTATTCAATACAACTAACGAGATCGACAGTTATAAATTCTATGAAAATATTATCATTTAGGTATTACTAATCAAAAAAGCATTTTTACATTCTGTGATGATGTAATGTAATATAACGATATGCCTGGATAACGATTTCAGATTTGTTGTCAACATTCCTTTTACTGTTGTTCTTAAATCTTATCGGGTTAATACATTTTGTTCTAAAGTCAAATATAGAATATGCACTTACTACATCAAAATATTCTTAGCATTATACTGTGCTTAAAATAAATGTATAATGACTATTTAATAATATTATTTTTTTTTTGTATTATTATTACTGAAAAAACGTTCATGCAGTAAATCGTAATAAATTATGCATTTAAAAATGTGCAGTTGTACCATAATATTACGAATATTTTGATGGAATGACAAAAAAAAATTAACAAGTATCATCATTTTAATTTTATAATAAATTATAATTTTATTATTACCTACTTATTTGAACAAGATTTAGAAGCGTGGCACTTAGAATAACATGGTCTGTCTGCTTTTCTACACTTGATTTTTAAATAGGCAGTACGATAAGTAACAAAAATATGTTTATACACACTGCAGTGTTTGAAAAAATGCAGAGTTTATTGTATTATAATGATATATGAACAAAATTAATAATGTTTGTTTTAAAAAAAAATCAATTCTAAATCGGTTATGACTATAATTTATAATAACAATAATAAAAAATAATATTAGTTGGTTAAAAAAAATTCATTTTTTACATTGCCCGTAACAGGCTAGGTAGCTAGGTAGACCCTAGTAGGCCCCGTACTTATATATTTATGTGACAAACTTTTAAATCACAAATATGTGTAATGAAATAATTTATAATAATATACCAACATGAGTGATTAGTTTAAAAAATGTATGATAATATGTTTTAGATCTAGATGTCAGATCATACTCATCATACTATAAATTAGTTTCAACTCTTAATTAGTACTTATTTAAAAGTAACACTGGACATTTTTTTGTTGATGTTGCGTTCAACTGTACGTTCCAAAGTATTTCATTCGATTGTATAAATACATTTTAAAAAGATTATTATGCCCTTAAAATAATATATGCATTAGTAACGGGTCGAAACTATGAAAAGTTATTGACTTAGATAGTTCTCTTATAAATTAAAATACACAAATACAAATTAATACAAAGCAAATGTTTATCGGAATAAGAAAGTATTTTGAAGATAAATTTAACAAGACAATTATAGTGAAACAGAATACTATAATAATTATTAAGGTTTGGCATTGAGTTAAAACATACAAGTTAATTTAATTGTAACTTATTAACTTAGCTTACGAAAACATTTTTTTTAATTAGCAATCTTTTCCTCTAATTGTACGATTTTTACTCAAATTAAATATAGAAAAAAAAGTAAGTAGATTAGGTAATTGCTCGTCATTGTCTAACATCACTGTAATAGTGTAATGTGTTGGTAAAATTTGAATTCAATGAATAATGATATATCATTGAATACGAAAAATAATAAGTAGGTACTGGCAAAGACGGGCTGTCAGCCTATATTATTTTAAGTATATTATTCATGATATTAATATTATTAATTATTGTAATCTATTTACTTTGTGTAGTACTACTCACGGTATGTTGATTGAATTGTAACTAAAATCCTATGTCCGTCTCTTGGTTCTAAGCTACCTCTCCACCAATTTTCAGCCAAATCAGTTCAGAAGTTTTTGAGTTATAAATAAAAAAATAGTGTAACTAACACGAATTTCTTATATATATATATATTTATATTGAATTATTATAACAATATATCAATGACAATATTATAATTGTGCAATGTAATATTTGTATTAACTTTTGAGTCAATATTGTCTTACCACAGAACAGTGTGAACAGGTACTTGTTATTAATAGGAATTATCCTAAAATTAATCTAAATGTTTTGAATATTACATAGTGTAAAAATATTAAACAATGTATAAAAAATAATATTTAAGTATTAAGTTATTATAATATTAAGTTTCATGTCTCTACGAATAAGATTTTAAATTTACAACAAAATAATTAAAAATCCTTTTCTTACATAACTACCTAATTTCATTTTGAACTTCAAAACATTATCTTCAACCAAACTTTTAATTTAGAATAAATTTCATATGAGAAACATTCTATTAATATTTATAACTTTTTTACCGATCATAAAATGTTGTTCGACATCTATATAATTAACTATAAATATCTTTAAAAAAAACCAACATTTCAAAAATGTCTATAAATAACTAATTAAGAGTCTTATATGTGTCTTAGTATTATATAATAATATCTTTTTAATAGTTTTTGAAAATTTTATCAAAATATGATCACTTTCATAGATGAAATAATATAATTTTCACTGCTCAAAAATATGATGACGGATAAAAAACACACGATGTAAGTACTACAAAAAGTCATGAAGTGTTATAGTTTCAAGCTTTAAGTGACTATTAAATGTTTAACTTTTGGTATTCACTGTCCATAATTGTATAAATAAAAAACTGTAAATGTCCATAAATAGTTCAAACAATGTTAAAATGATTTGAATATGTCATCAAATAAAACAAAAATGAGATAATTAGTGAAAAATTAAAATTAAATGATCGTTAAACATCAATGAAAGTTGTTGGAACATACATAAATTAGGTTAATATTACGACCCAGTACTTGGTAACTTCCATCATAAAACAACGTAAAAAGTATTTAATAATAATAATGTTATTTCAATGTACAATCCTTATATTACATGTACATGGTTAATAATTATTATAATTATTGATTTCAACCATAAGTTGTTGATTTCCTTCTACTGGATTATTTGCTGCCCATGGTTGTACATCCGCAGAAGCAAAAATGTCATAAAACACAGCTACCGCAAAATATACTGTCCCCTTGAAGATACCAGTTTCGACTTCATTACGTATCTATATTGAGTAATGGTTATAACAGTTAATTTTGTTTGATAACAATACGAAATTTCAAGTTTTTTTTATTTTATTACCCAAGAACTGAATAAAATATTTACGACATTGTCCAACAAAAACTTGGAAATACAATTGATGGCCAGCAGTAAGCTATAAAGTAAGCTAGCATATTTTGGTGCAATATCTAAGTGGTTTAAGTAAAATCCTATAAGAAACAACGTAATTTGGATCTATAACAGTTTATAAAAATAGTTTTCATATTATATGTTTCACATACATTTATACTTACCAAAAATATAAAGATATTTCATTTCTTTTAAAATACAATACCATATTCTATCTGTTTTTTGACTGTAGCCTAAAATGGCTTTCAGAAAAAAATATATACCCATTAAACTAAAATATGAGCAACTCCAAAACTTTCTAACGCTGATGGTGGAAATGGACACTGTGATTTCTGGAATTATCTCGACCAGGACGACGAAAAGCAACAATAACATTATAGTGTATTTTCTCAACTCCAACATTTCCTGTGTGGTCAAAAATGTATGTAAACACAATATAATATTATATTCCTTTTGTTAAAATAGAAATATAAGCCATCTGTAGTTTATAAAAAAAATACTTACGCTTTCGTAAACAACACTATCAATTGTTTGATTAAGCTGATCATCACAAGCGTATAATAAGGCAATCGCAAGCAAGGGCTTTGAAGTGAAAAACGATTTCCATGGTATGTCTGAAAAATTAGATGAATATCGCGATTTCAGGCTCCGATAAAGTCGATTTCCATTGAACATATACAACCAAGAAAGATACCACAGCAATCCAATCACTCCTAATGAAGCGTATTATTATACATTTATATCATAATATAAGAGATTATTATTCTGATATTCAAATGGACAGCATGAATAATTAATTGTTGAGTATATCTACCAAACAATAGAGTTGCCGCATAAAAAAATAAGTTGTTTTCGTTGAGTGTAGCAGGTCTGAGACTTCCACCATTACATATCATCCAGCACAATATTATTGGAACATGACGTATTGACTGTTTGTTCGGTGGAACTGAATATACCAAAGTTCCGTGAACTGACAAAATAATCGTGGCCTAGATTAACATTATACGCATACCATTATTACTTCCTACCTACCATAAAATCACACTTCACAATGAAGAATGTTATTTTTACCATTGCCATTGATGTGTAATATTGTGTGAAACAATGCATGTAAGCGCTTAAATATTTCATACTCATGAGTAGAATTATATGACCAATCGAAAATAAGACGATAGAAACCCCTAAAATTCTAAAAATATCACTATAAGTTTATAACACTGCATCATGATGATTTTTAGGTGTAATATCTGATAGGACTAGGATTTATGTACATTAATTTGTTATAACTTATAAGTATGTGGTTGCAGTTGTTGCATCCATGTTGGAATAATTGAATTTGGTTATAGCTAATTATAGCTACTACAAAAACTATAGTAAAGTAATTTTTATTTTGCATACCTATTTTGAACCAATACGAAAAGTAATAAATGTCTTGTAGTCTATTTTTTTTTTGTCAGAACTCAAGAGTAACATTGAATTTTTTTATTATTTTAAATTAAAATTATTATATTCAAATAAGAAGACATTTTCTTGCTTGTCTTGTACCTATATTATATTAGCATATTTTATAGAAAAATGGCCATACTATGTTTTATATTGCATATAAATCCTAGCCATATATATATTAAAAGGATATTATATTTGAGAATCGATCGATTACTTGTGAGGAGGATAAACAGTGGCTAGAACACCACTAGGTATTAACCCCATAAAATATCCACTAACTTTGTAGGTTGAACAATTATAATCGGCAGTGTGAATCTGTAATTATAATAATGTAGCATTATATTGTTTAAATGGATAAATGTAAAATTACAAATTAAGTATTATTGCATATTTATATTTTTGATACACTCATTTTTATATTAGCGGTAAATATAGAATTCGAATACTAATATTTTATTATAATTATTATATTATAACTGCAAGTAGGTACCTACTTACTTTATTTTGTTTTTTCATATTTTCATTAAACACAGAAACCGAACATGGATATAAAATAAATTGAATCCACGAAATGGCGATACCTATGGAAACAAATCGAATAAATCAAGTGAATATTTGAAAATATTCTGTATACACACTACTACTTAATTTCCAAATTGTATAAATTATTTCCAACTTATAAAATAATTAATTATTTTCCATTTTGTTTGTTTTATTGTTATAACATCAATTACATGGTTATTAGCTTATAATCATAGTTAAGTTAAAGTTATTATGTACGTAGAGAGATTTTTACAATGAACTAAGTCCAATCTGGCCCAAAACCTAATAATTTAAGCCGAAAATACAAGGCCATACTAAATAGACTTAAAATTAAGTAATTGGCCACACGAGAATCACTCACTGATACCTGATGGGAAAAACCAAACCACCGACATGTGCTTCTTACAACTCAATCATCGCAATCAAACACATATTCATTCTAAAATCATATAGGTACTATGAATGGAGCCATAGTCTATCTCGCTTAAGTAAGCAATTTGAAGTACATATTAGCGACTATGGTTTCTCGTTGAGATGCGTTATCTGCGCCTGCTCGAGTTTACTCGTTCTAGTCGTTCTACATAATATTTATCACTCATTATCGCTTGTATCACTAATTATTATCACTCATGAATTCCCAGGGCGAATGCAGTTTTTAGCATAAATATGTGACGAGTATACATACCCATGTGTAGAAATCACATCTCAAAGGGTGACTCGTCGCTTATATGTGCTTCAAATATCGGGAAATGTGTACATATGACTCTATCCATGATAGTATTATGTATATGATCTAAGTGAATACTTACTAAGACAATGGATGAATATCCATTGTAAACATTTCATAGAGGCCAGACAAGAATTTAAAATCCCAAATAACCTCAATATGAGGCATGTCACTATGAAACCTTATGATAATACCGAAAAAAAATTATTTTCATAATTTCAATAATTAAATATTGTTTTTCAAACACGGGTCAGTTACAGCTCTTACCCTATTTACAATATTATATTAGGATCTTAGAAAAAAAGGTGAATAAGTGTGGATTATAACACCATACAGTTTACTATACACGCATACATTGACACACACATATATATATATATATATATTATATATATTATGTATGTTTAGACATATAAATTACACCTTATGTATTTTCGTATCTGCAGAATGAATGAATTCAAAATAAAAAAAACTGAGTGATACCTACCTAATAAATTACAGTTACTTATCAACGAGAACTCAGCTATAATTAATACAAGCTAATATTATAATCACTGTTTACCTTCTAACCAATTAATTATTTAAATGTATTATATTAGAATATTGTACTTAAAGAGTTGGTTGTAAATGTAACAACAGAGTTTAAGCATTGCGAGGATTTTATATCTTGCATACAGAATGTCTACACTTTTCTATCTTAACTTAAATATTAGGTAATGTTTGAATTTAAGTAGGCAGTAAGTCTAAGCGTTACCAGCAGCAGATAACACATGGCAATATTTTATGAAATATTTAATTTGACATGGTCATTGTTAGTGGGATAAATTCTTATCGAAAACATATTGCTATATAAAATTTACCAGTAAGTCCAAGCAAAACTATTGCATATCTTCTGTTCCAATATGTAGTTTTCAAACGAATAAATCTGGCAATGCATTTGGACCATTGTGACGGTTGTTCTTGTAATTGGAATTGAGATGGAGAGATCCATTCAATGGTTTCGTCATTCCCGAGATTCATCCTCCACTTCTTATAATAAATTGGCTGGCATACAGATTGCGCTGTGCATTTTTTTTATAGTCAAATCTCATATTTATACTATAATAGTGTACAGAGAACTTAGTTTTATTTTTAACAGTATATTTTTTTAAACATAGATATTTTTTTTATAAATGTATAACATAAAAATATTGTTGAAAACTTAATGTAAAAAAAATGTTTTATTTGAAATAATAGTGGTTGCTGTCTTTTCTCCAATAACGTGTTCAGTCTTTTTAACAGTGAATAGAATGTTTTTATAATATTATTTAATATATTAACGTCAATGTTTAACTGTTTTACTTTATATGTGTTTTTTTAAAAAAAACTTTTTATATTTGTATACTACAATTTCAAATGTTTGCAGTTTTATGTCTTAAAAAATATTAACGCCGTTTTAATAAGAACAATTAATTCAAGAACGCAAATTGATAAATTATCATAAAATATGCATTCACTTAATGAATTCGTTCTATATAGTTTAAAAAACATCATAATCATATAAGTATATAACATGTACCTTTCGGCTATCATGTACCTTTAATAAGTAGTTAATTTAACTACTTATATTATAATAATAAATTGCACTTACATTTGACGTTTTCTAAACATTTCGTGTGTGCACCTGTATGGTACGTTTCCGACGTGTGCAAAACTGAATCCGACTAAAATTATATTAAGTATATAGGTATAAATTGTACATAATCCATTTGTGCAGTGTTGGTAAAAATAACTATGATTAAAGTGTATAATATCTAAAAATATTTATCTTAAAAATACCATACATTCATTAGATTCGTCAATATATTGTAAAGCAGTATGGACAAAGTGGAAAAAAATCGTAGGGGGGACTATAGAATAGATACTAAAAAAATGATATGCGCCTCAGGCTATTATTTGTTTTGCACATAATATCACATTTGAATCGTATTATGGTAAAGTATAGCGGTAATCGCGTTTTATGTTTTTCATAATACGATTATGCACGTACTAGCGGTAATGATAGAACATAAATGGTTAGAAAATAATATGTTCGATTGAGCGAAAAATCGTTAGTATAATATATATATATTTCCAGTTTAGGTGTGCCTGATGGTTGTAAAGTTACATTGTTTAAACCCCCTAAACAATATTGCAAACTTAGTTTTCCCTCTCAATAATACTATACCTTATAACATACATCAAAAACATAATTTAATATTTTAATACAACAATAGTAATATTATGTGTTGTGCTTTCATTTACCTTGCCCTACCATGCTGATCATCACCAGCGGTCCAATGGCCTAGACGACAATATCTAAGACTTTGCATTTTGTCAAACATCGCTGAACCAGCAAAATGTCGCTCCTTCAAGTTCAAACCGTCACAACATCATCACTGCAGGATTTTATACAGTATGTTAAAGAAAATAGTAGTTATAGTTCGAAATACATTCAGTTTTTTATTGTAATATATGACAAATAGCTTACCTATTAACATGGTCTAAAAAATATATTTCTAAAACTCTTTAAAATCTTTTTTTAATTTATAAAACTTTTATGAAGCCATTTTCAGAGATATTTACTTATAATTATATTAAGAGTAAAACAATTTTAAAATCAGCTGAATTTTGAATTGAATGAAAGCAACTTATATTTTAAAAGCACTGCAGTATATTATAATATTGTAAGGTCTTATATGATTTTCACTTTTCACACTTTGATAACTAATGATACTAAAATAGGTAATGAAGATCAAATTGAAATTATTGTGTATAATGTTTATTTTTAATTGTTTTATCATATCGTTTAATACACAAGTATATTTAAGTACCTACCTATGTACAAGCTACTTTTGTAGCACATGATCTATGGACTATGTAACTGTGTTAACGTGTCGCTGGGAATGTCTCCCATTTTTTTTCATTAAAGTTCAAATTGTAAAATAACTAATAAGCAACAATTAACTAGTAGGTATACTTCCTAAAAATCTCTAACCAATCACTTCGTTAATTTGGTCTAATTGCCAATCAGGACTTCTTGTATATGAAGAAATTGTATTTCACAAATTAATTTTTACAAAGAACTTTTTTATTGCATACGATGCTTCATAATATGGAAACATCATTATATAATACAAATATTAAATTAATCATTGTACCTTTACTTATTGAAAAATTATGGACATAAGGCGTACCTATAAATTCCCTTTAATTTCAGTTATACTACTAATGTCTTTTTACTAAAATATTAATTTAATTTAATTTAATGATTTTTTGTTATTTTCCAAAAATATACTTTATCGTAGTCAATAGTCAATATAATATTGTCTATGCAGTGAGAGTAATAGATAAAAGTATGAAGAAAATGCATAGAAAATTTATGCACTTAAATGCCAAATTTAATTTTTATCATTTTCTAGATGATATTTTATTTTGACAACTATATATAATATTATAATGTATCATACGTTTTTAACATTAACAATGAATAACATCTATGAGTTATTAAATATACTATTGATAGTTATATTATTTAAAGGGATTGATTTGTTTGATCAGTAACCTCTAAATATTGCCGGAAGTATTTATATAATTATAATTTTTAACGGGAAAAATGTTATTAAGTTGTTCCGGAATTAACAAATGTACACATTTAAACCTAATTGTGCAAAATACATCAAATAAGTTACATGAGATTCAATTTTCTCAAATACTTTATATTAAAAAAATAGAAAATAACAATTACATCTATTTTATTATATGTAAGTAGGATAAAAACGTCAAGTCAATTAAATATTAAAAAGAAAGAATGTGTTCATTGTTTAACAATAAGTCAATAATATATTGTACTAATTTTTTCTATACAACTTAATTAAACTGGAGTTTCCCATGGTCGTATTAAATTAAACTCCACAACTTCACAGCCAATTAAGTTATTTTTAACGTTATTGGCCTTATACACCAGTTTATATTTTCCATAAAAATATACTTTGGGAAAGTTATTGTCTTCAAATTTCTTTAAGTCAATCCCCGATGTGATATATGTGCCCTGTAAAAATGTGGAGATAAATTTTTACAAATACATACTAACTTGATGGTGAAGCACACACTCGGTATTTTTATAATTTCTCTATAGATAAATATAATACCGAAATAGTATAATAATAAGTCAAAGTGTTTATATTAATTTTAGATTCAACTATTCCTCAACTTTTAGTAAAGTAAATTTATATCAGATTTTCTACTTCAATATATTTTTTAACAGGAAAGTGAGTCTAATTGGTGCATTTGATTGACCATTAATTTTCAAAATAGTCGGAAAAACAAAAAAAAAAATTAAGGAAAATTGTTATTCTTGGGCAAAACCAATTTTTGGCAAAGCAAATGTTATTTTTTTGAAGTTACTCGGAAAGTCAGAAACTGATAACTGCAGATACTTTTAATTTTTAACAAATGTTTATTTTAACGTTTTTCATTAACTACATATAACATTTTCAAAATATTTTCACTCTTTTTGAATTATTTATAACTATGAGAAATGTTCGACTTTTTACCAATTTTTTTTTTTATTTGTTAAATTAGATGATTTATTCAAGTCTGTTAGGTGGACTCACCATCTCTGCTCAGAATGGTTTTTTGTATACAATGATTTATTAAAGATTTCAAAATGAACATAATTATTACAATGACATACTCGACAACTATACAATACACCAGAGCGGTATCCACTTGTCCATCTTTTTTTTAAATATTAAGTCTACCATGATCAAATTATTGAATAATATACATCTACAGTGGGCGTCATAAAAATACATAATATGTAATTGATCGTAATGTTTTTTATACATTACCGTTGGTAGTGGACAGCTATGAGTTGGAAAGTTAAACCCCTTTATAAATGTAAACCATGCGTTTCCTCCGAGATTTTTCATAATACTACATGCCTTTTTTGTTATTAAAGAATTCGAATTTGGTATCCAACCACCAGTTGAACCCCAAGACGCTAGATTCAAATCAATCTATAAATAAATAATATATTACTTTAAGTAAAATGTATAATTCAATAGAAATTAAAAATTATCCAACTTATATACCATAATATAATATATACCCAACTTTAAAACAGAAATAAATGAAAAAAAATTAACTAAATCAATAAACAAAAAACGAAAATAATTGAAATAACTATTTTAGTTATAGTTAATTATAGTTGCTATAAGCAAAAAATATTTGTTTTTCGTGAAGTAATTATTAAAATTAAGATTTTGCAAATAATTTTTTAGTGTGCTTATACGTAATAAGAGTAAATTCGATAAAAATATAAATGAATTGGTTGGTTTATTTGATTTCATATTTTATATAAGATTCAATTCAACGATATGATTTTTTTTTTGTCTATGATGAATGTTTCACTAAATTATTCGAATAATAAATTAATCATTATAATATAGGTACCTACTGTAAGAGTATCGTCAAAAGGTACCAAAAATGTAATATTCCCTCTATACTCTTTTGTACTTGATGTAATTTTATTAATAAAAATATTCAATTGAATTGAATGGTTTTTTGTTGATTCACAAGGATATACTTTTTCAAACACCACACGATATTCTCCCTGTAATGAAATTAATATACATAAAGTATAAACATCTATTTATTTAGAAATGTAGTTTATAATTTATGTATATCAATGACAATTATATAAAAAAAACATCTGACCACAAAAACAAGAAGATTATAATTTACCATAGGCAAGTTCGGCATAAAAATGTTTTTTGATTGAGATAATGAGAGAAATCCAAGAAGTACCAACACTTTAAATATTATCATTTTCACAGTGATATTTTATTTCAACGATGATAGAGTGTATCATATGTTTTAACTGCGGAACAGCTAAAAAATAGTACTGAATAGTAGCCATGAGTTCTAAAATATAATAATAGATACATTTAGAACGGTTGACGTGCATGAGCTGTAACCTCTAAATAATCTAAATATTTCCTGAAGTACTTATAATATAATTATACTTAATATAAAAATGTAATAAATTGGCCAGGAAGTTAAACATTTAAAATATTAACTGAATCGTAATAAATGAGTCAAAAAAATTACATTCTATTCAATTTCCTTAAATAAAATCCTTGTGTAAAGAATACGTCTTCGAAATTCGAATAATTATAAATAAAATATTATCATTGTTATGTGTTTAGCATGTTTTTTAATACAATGTATCATAATAATAATCATGAGATGCCAGATGGATAGAAAATTAATATTTATACAAATCGTTAACATTGTGGATATCTATGTGAATAAGATTTTTTTAGTAAAAAAATCATTTGTTTTAGAAACTAAGTGTTGAAGTTTAAATAGTTTAATACAAGATTTCTCATTTATTTTTTTTTATATGTAATTTCCAGTTAATTATATCAAAACTCATAATACTTAAATTGTGGGCAACTTTTTTTTGTAAACTTTTCAAGTTCCAATATCCACAAAATTGAAATTGAAAATAAAAGCAACACGATTGTTATATTGTTGTATGGTTGTATTAAAAAAACATATCGTTAGTAGCAACAAGAAACTTTTATATTAAATTCGCAAACATTTGTTTTTATATATTGGATAACTTATCTTTGTTTTTAATTCTTTATGCAAATATTTTATTTAAGAAAATTGAATCCATGGAAATGGCCATTCCAGCATTGACAAAGTTAGCTATATTTCTTGGCTGATCATAAAATAAAGGGAATCCGAGTACTGGAATGCCAGCATCCACTGTTTCATAGACTCCTGATATACCACCATGACTGATGAATAATTTTACATTTGAGGGGCACTTAAAATCAAAATACATCTTTATAAATAAAGTCTATATTCATATAGATTATATTACATAGTGAATTTAAATAAATTATATTACACAGAGTATCTCGTTGAGGGAACCACTTTCTTATCATATATTTTTTGGTTTATTCAAGATTTCACCATCGTATTTCCATAATATATTGTAATAGTTGAGTTAGATTTAAAATAAAAAGCTAATAAAAAAAAAAAATGTCCATTATATTCTTTGAGGAACTTCGGCGAATGCATCCTTCAGCGGATTTATGATATTATCAGGTGATGTAGACATATTCACCATTGAACCTAATGTGTACAAAATAACTCCATGTAGAGAATTTTCAATAAATTCAAATATATCCTAAAATAAAATAATATATTCAATGATTGAAATTGTTAATTTTTGATAAAACGATTTAAGATGATTATTTGCAACCTAAGGGTTCAAACCAATTCTATTATAAAATTAAACGCAGGGAATATACTTGTATGTTCGTATATGTGCATTTTTTACTTACATTTGGTATACTTTTTGGCGATTTTAACTGTACGCTACCCACTTGTATAACATTTTGTGGAAACGGTCTCGAAACTTCGCTTATGAAATGACTATTTAGTATTTACAGATGTCAGTTATGGTTGAACTGTATTGGTTATCCAATTATATGGTCTATTAATTGTATACTGTCTTATCCATTTGTCAACACTCAGAGGCATCATGCTCTATCCCAATAATTAGGTGTTTGAAAATCTTTGCACGAATGTCTTAGGAATGGCGTGATTAGCATATAAATGTGAAATCGTTGCTGGGTTTGGGATGTCACCGGAAATTAATCGTTCTTGAAATGTTACCATTGGCGATGAAATCAAATAGATCAAAGGCGAGTTTAATTTACTAGCCAAATATAATTCACAATCGTATCCCAGTATTTCAATGATGAGTAGATCGAAGTTGGAATTTTCTTTTTCTTCCATTATTTTGTTTAACTCAACACTTTTATACGCTGCATCACACACGGGTATACGTTTAGTTCTTATGAATTCGACCATTGCCGTTGGATTTCCCCATAAATCTACTGTATCGGTTAAATTCAATTCTACATATGTTGCATGATCATTTGTTGTATTAACCTCTGCATAGTTGTCTCGTTGCCCTTCGGGAAATGGTGTAAACACAGTAACATGATGGCCATTATTTGACAAGACACGGAGTATAGAACTTACGAAATTCCAATGACTTCTGCCAGCAATTGTTTCTACTGCCAATATTCTTGCTGATTCTACTGGTAATGTCCTAGAGCCGACGAAAGTATATACTATAAAAATTGAAAATAAATATGTGTATAACATCCTTGGTTTCCTTGTCATAGTTATTGTTAATGTAGACACCACAAAAAATAAAAATTAAAGATTAAATTGTAATAACGTAATATTTAACTGTTAAGAATTATTCGTTCAGAATAAAAAAAATGAATATTGATTAATTATACATTAATGTACCTACTTGATACTTGTGTTAGTGTATTATCAAAAACTAACAGCGATTATTATACATTCTTAAATTAATATAACATGATAAACTCTTTACTTATGACTGAAGTCTTATCTAATAATATTATAAGTATACCTATAAATTCTATTGTAATTACAATTTTTGTACTTATTGTCATGCAATTTTTAAAATAAACACCATCGTAAGTTACTATTCCTATTAGGTAGTATCATTATCTTGTTTACGATATAGTCGATATAAGTGTTACATTACCATATATTATTTAAATACAGAACTATATTGAAATTAGTATCATAAATTGCAATTGTCATAATTAAAATTGTTTTTTCTTAAATTAGAACTAAATGCTTATAACATATTTTAAATATAATTTGTATGTGAAAGAAACCCTCAGTGATCGCACTTCTTGTATTATAATTTAATTTATGAAGGCTTCAAAAACCTAGAAACTGTAAAATGATCTGTTTTTCTATCTATATAAAAATGAGGTTATCTTATCTAGATAATTTTAGTGTTATATGTGCACAACACTGTAACATAATATAGGTAATACTGTTTAAATATTTTCCTACAATACTGATGAATCTATTAGTTTTACAATGGTACCTATTATTGCATGTTCTTTAAAAGTTTTTATCTAAATAAATGTCGTCACCTTTTGGAGCAGTAATAAAAATACTTCGGTTTTTATCTTTATCGGTTTTTGGTACCAAATTGGATATAGTTGATACTTTTTTTAGCTAAGCAGTTTAAACGAGGTGTCGAGGTTTCTTAAAACTAGTTTATACTGTAATAAAATATATACAAGACAATTATTTTATAATTATTATATACATATTAAGTTCAATTTTGGACTAAATTGTATACGTATTTAAACGAAGAACAACATTTATAGCTATTTTGGTGTAATTTAAATGTATTATTCGCGGGTACTTGAAAATTTTAAAGTAAACTATTATAATTAATTCACACAATTAATAAGGCATTTTAAGCCGTCAATAATACAATTTAATTTAAGGTACACCTATTTTGTATTGTTGTGAATTTATTGTATAATTTTATGAACATTCGTAGGTTTTTATTTGTAGAAATAAATGTCGACGTTTGTACCTATAAACATTCAATTGTAACCAACTACTGGCTAATAAAAACTAGATAAAAAATTTTTAGAATTTAATTACTATCACAAATTATTAATAATTAATTACAATTATTACAATTATTGTAATCGTGTACTATACAGTATGTTTATACCTAAGTCGTTCGTCACAGTTAAATTTGTAAAATAAACAGTATATTATTTTAATAAACAGCTCGTTTATACATTATTAATTATTATCATTCATACAATTGCCTTGTGTTTGTTAATTGTACTGCTCTTAGGTTTTTTGATTTACAACAGCCTGAAATAGCCGTGTAATATACAATCAAATATATCAAATATCATGCAGTACTGATAGGTAAGATAATTGTATGTCTTGTGAAATAAATGGCCTCGCAAAACCGAAAAATGTAGTCTAACGTTGTATAGATAGTCAACTGATAATAGTTGTTCGAACTTGGACCCGGTTTGCCGCCACTACTTTTACCTAAAGGCGAACCGATGACATCTCGCCTCTCTATTATCCAAACCGACTCTTTGATCTGGTCATAAAGTCGTGTCGCTGCCCACCGACTCTCTCTTATTTTTTCGGCCATTGAACGAAGCGTACGTCCACGACCGTTCCCGGCGCCCTGTCATGCATCAAGTGCCGATTCGGTGGTTGTTGTTTTTTTTTGGTTTATATTCCAAGTTTCCTTGCTTATTGTCTATCGCCTACCAACTGGTTTGGTTTAAGAATTCAAAAGTGTTTAAGTGTGATGGTTTATTGACATCGCGACTGTGTTGCATCCGCAATCCATCACCATACCAAACGGGCCGCCCTACAGACTACACGTGGTTCCCGGAGATCCAGCTGGACCGTCGTTCTCACTTTGCCGAGCTTCAGTCTCTCCCGAATAGGTTTTCACTTCTACTTCGGAGATTTGTCCGGCATCGAAGTTCCGGCGAAGTACCGCTATCGGTAAGGACGTCGTGGATACTGCCATACAGGTCGATATTTAGACATACTTTTGTCAGTTGTCAGTGAGTCAAACACACTATTTTCAGTGTGCTTGCTATATTATGTAATTATTTATTCATTTATAATGTACATGATTCTTTTTACCAAAAAAATTGTTTTCGTCTGTCAATTATTATATTTTTAAGCTTTATAGTTTATTATTGTTGTGATTTCTACCCACTTATTGGCTATTTCCCCTCTGTCCTCAACACAACGCGAGAGTCAGTGCAGCAACTGCAAATATACAAAAAAAACGTAAGTGCTGCTTCGGCGTACAATAGTCGTTTTGTGATAGACACACTCTGTTTGGTAGTACATACTGAATACGAACTATACTATCACCTCACCTATGCGCCACAGGTATATGCCCGATATTCGTTAATACCACATGATAATAACAATATGTTCGCTTCCTCTAAAAATCTGCTTTAGTTATTTGACGCTGAAATATCAATGATCCACAGTCCATTGACCATTTGAACGACTATAATATATATATTATAAAAAAATACATTTCTGACCTATGTTATACTCACTGAAGGACACCGATTTATACATAGTCGATATGTGTACATTATGCACACACAAGATAAAATGTTCAACACATAAATACTAAACAGTTATTCGATAAAGACAGTTACTGTGTGCATAATACAATCATAATATTATATGACAAGTGCTTAAGCATTAAATAAAATATAATATAGGTAGTAGGTATAATATACGTTGATATAATAATTATTTCGATGTAACTTTTAAGGAACACCATACAACAAAAATAACCTTGCGTATATGATGTTTTCAGTCACTTCGACCCATAATGTATAGGTATTTAAAAATGACATGAGTATATATTATGTCATATTTTTTTTATTGATAAATTACATATACATTGTAATTCTCACAATTATAGAATAACTGGCGTTAATGAGGCTAGATAAATTGCAATCATAAATATTTAATGAAAACAGCTACTCATTATTGGCTCACTTAAGAGGATGTCAGCTCAATGTTCTTTCTCTCTCTGACACACGTGCAACATAGACAAAACAAATGTACGCATAATTGAATTTTTGTTATAATTTTAAGTAATTTTAGATAATTTCATATATTATAACAAACTGAGTTACCGGGTTTCACCCACGTATAGTCTTGAAAGAAATTGTGCTATTTATTTAATTCATCGAATTTCGAAAATTATTAACTGTGTTATGTACAGGTGAGCTATATTATTACTGCGGCTAATGATTATAACAATATAATAAGTAATTGTGAATAGGTATTATTGTAACCCAGGTATGAATTTGTACATAGTTAAAAAAATAAAAAAAATGGTTCATATCAATTTTATTTACTTATATTAAATAACGAATTTTACCATCGTAAACTTAATCCTATCAACTGATCGGCTCCAAACAGATGTCAATAATTTCAAATTAATACATATGCCCCAAAAACAAATTTTCATTTGGCAAAGGCTAAATTCACTCAGTCTCAAGGAAATTATCTAATCAAATCCAAACCAGCACTACACATTTTTTCAAACTTTCTGCAACAATTTTCCTTACCCAAAAATAAATTTGAACCATATTTTTTTTTTATATGTATTAGGTTATAAGAATATTAAAAAAAAAAACATTTTTTTACTGACTTTTTGTGTTTTAATTTTGATAATGTTGAATATTATTTATACAAAATAAAGTTTTATAATTCAAAGTTTATTCAAAATGTATTATTCTTAGAGACTAGAAACTATTGTAGGTAAATATTAGCCCATTATTATTTAGACCTTATTGAAGGGCTGCTCTTAACCCATATCATAACCTCTCCAAAAAATACATAGTAAAAATTTTTTTCTACTACCAGAAATAAAAAAATAATAATATGACGTAAAAGTAATTAAGTATTAACTATATTATTTTAATAAATAATTTAAAATGATAAAAATAAAAATAATAATAATTAAAATTCGGTGTAGATAGATTGTGGACCATTATAATGTTATCTGTAGGTAAACAAATAAAGTATTGAAGTATATGAGTACTTACAGCAATTATTAATTCTAATACGCCATTCATTAATTAAAAACTGTAGCCTGTAAGACCACATTTAATTACTAAAAATGTATACATATTAATTTTATATGAAAAAAGTAACTGAATTTTAATAAAGTTTAGAAACTTTTATTTTCTAGTTAATTTCGTACCTTTCACAAGTTAAAAAAAAACTAAAAACTAACTTTTAACTTTAAACTTAAATTACACTAATTGTTTATATTAACTATTAACTTAATGAGATCAAATAAAAAAAATAGTTAACTTGCCCATCCTTGTATATTATATAACTATTAAAATAATTGGTATGAAAATGGCATAGGTAAACATTATTTTACAAGTACACTTAAAAAAACAAATTTTAGGCACGTCAACGATCATGACGAGAGGGACAGTTAGTATACTAGTATATATATATATGAACATAAATTAGACAATTTAAAAAACATCAAAACAATTTATTAAATTGAAGTCTTTGAAGGTAAGAAATGTGCAGGTACGAAAATACAGTAGGTATTCTAATGACGGTGTATATGTTGTTCATAATTATTACATCAGTAAGCGAGAACTACTAAAATAAAGATATAATAAATTATGAAGACTGTGGGAAGAAGAAAGAAAAACTACAGAGCAAAGGAGGAGTGATTAATTACAAATTTATGATAGGTGGTGAAGAAATAAAAGTAAACTATATTTATAATAAAAGGTAATACAAAATTGTGAAACAACCAATTTGAACTGCACATAAACACCATCCTAATCACGCATTGTATGATTTGTAGCAGGGTGTTAACTCATACTGAGGCAAAAAGTGACAGTGAAAATTCAAAATTCAACCGGAGCAATTTGATTTCAATGACTGAGTTCTTTCTGGATCCTCAATATCAAATCTTAACTTACTTAATCCGATTTCACTTTAACATTCATCACGTTTTCCCAAATATATTTATGAAAATGTTTTATCAATATATACATCATAAGTAAACTAATGCATATGAATACTATCATCATGGCGACCACATCCAATAAAAAGTATTGATACCAACTTAGATTTAATGAGTGTGGCATCAGATGAGGTGCACCTTTATGACGAATTACATATTCAGTCCAGTAAAGTATTGACTGTTCCGGGGACATCGGTCGGTCTTTGAATATATCGGAAGCGATTTTAGCGTTTTCCATATACCTGAAAAATACATTTTGTTTAAATCCAGATTATATTTATATTTTTAATTGTTTTTTCGATAATTTAATTTACTTTTTATCATTTACTAGTTCTAATACATTTCTTAAAAATGTATCTTTTTTCACAGATAGAATATCCATGGAAATGGCCATTCCAGCATTGACCAAGTTAGCTATATTTCTTGGCTGATCATAAAATAAAGGGAATCCAAGAACTGGAACGCCAGCATCCACTGTTTCATAAACTCCTGACATTCCACCATGACTGATGAATAATTTTACATTGGGGTGCACTTGAAATCAAAATACATCTATGTACACAAAGTTCTGAGTCATTTAAAACATAGCTAATTAAAATAATAAAATATTACATAAAATATCCCTTTGAGGGAACCACTTTCTTATCATAATATTTTTTGTTTTATTCACCATTTCACCTTCATATTTCCATAATATTCTTTGAGGAACTTGGGCTAATGCGTCCTTCAACGAATTTATTATATAATCAGGTGATGTAGACATATTAACCATTGAACCTAATGAGAAAAAAATTACCCCATGTGGAGAATTTTCAATAAATTCTAATATATCCTAAAATAAAAATAAAAATATTATATAATATTTATGTATTTCTTTTTTTTTGGTTTTGAGGGTAGAGAGTACATTTTTTTCAGTCTGTCATCAACATTTTGGGCAATAAAAATGGTTTTTGACATTAGAATCTTTCCTGATGGACAAGTTATTTTAATTGGTACTTTTTAGAGATCAAAATTTAAAATTCCTAATAGTTTTTGAAAGCATCTTGAACACAAGAAAAAGTGAGGAAAAAATGGTTATTTTTCCTCAGATCCAATTTTTTTTTTAAATTAATTTTTTTTGTGTGATGCAAAAAGTAATGACCGTAGTTTCTTGAAATGTTCACCAAACATCTTAATTTATAGTATTGAGACATTTTTCGAAGTTCTTAAACTTTTGTCAATTTTAACTTTTTCTCACATTAAAAAAAATTGAAAACATTTAACAGTACAAAAGTATAAAAGTCTCAAGGGCAAGATTATTTTTTATATGCATTTCAAGTTTAAATTTGGATTATATTTGACGAAATCCTGAAAATTTGAAAATTATTTTTTAGAAAGACATTTATAAAATACTGTTTTTCATAGCGAACATTTTTAATGTGAATAGAAGATTCTCCAAACGTTTTCCTACCTTATACAAAGAATAAGAATTATTTAAACGTAATATTAACTTTTATGAGAGTTTGAATTTAAAAAATGTTTGCTTTATTTGATATTCAACGGTAAATTAAGCAACTACAATTAATTAATTTTAGATTATGATGAATGTATCGATTTTACAATGACATGTGTTTTTTGTTATGTATCTTTTATCACCTTTTGCGACAGTAAAAATAAAAATGCATTGATTTACTTGGACAACATCTTTTCTGGTAAATGATGAATCTAGCGGATATTTTGGAGGGCCGGAAGAAAATATTCCCAATAGTTTCCATAAGTGCCAAAAAAATTGAATAAACAATTCTAGGAAAAGCGGGATGTTACTCAGAATTGGTTTTTGACAAAATCAAATATAACTATAAAAATAAAACATTAGATACATGAAATATTCAGTAAACGTTAATAATATCCACATTTTCTATACACCATAAAATGTTCAAAATATTTTGATTAAACTATTAAATAGTATATTTAACCCTAAACTATTAATAGGTATATATGATATTTTTCGTTCTGTCAAAAGACTTTAAAATATAATACAAGGTTCCTCGTAAATTTTTGTTAGTGGACTAATTTTAAAATAAGTTGAACGTAAATCCACAATTATTTTTTATGGACGTTTAAATTCAGAATTTCGAAGAAATTTGTAAAAATCGCTAACATTTACAAATAATATTGAGTTAGAAATCCATTAAAAATGTTCATTTTATATCAAAGATTTTCAAATTTATTACAAGATTCCTTATATTTGTCAACCTTTATCAAACAAAAAAATGTTTACTGGAAAGTCAAATTAAATTTGTATGAGCGTTTAAGTTGAAAGTTTTAGAAAATTAGAAATTCACTCAATTTCTCATGTGTTGAGATTTTTTGATTTTGTTCTAAATCAAAAATGAATAACTGTGGACACTCGAAATTTACACCACATTATGTTTATTTTCATCAATTCACAAACATTTTGAAAATATTTTGATTTGTTTTGATTTATTTAAGGACATTTAAAATTTAAAATTTTGTTAGTTTTTTTACTTTAAAGGTCAATGAAATTATATTTGTTTGGTCAAAAAGCGTGCAAATTTAATACAAGGCTCTTGATATATTGTTTTAATAGCAGTTGAAAAATATTAAAAATGCATAGGCACGATTTTAGTTCAAATTGAAAATTTACAAATTATTTTATATTTATGAAATGTTCAATTTTTATAGGTAAGGATCAACAATTTTAAATAAGGTTGCGCACAAGTAGTTAATTCTGTAACCAGAAAATTAAAAAATATACAAACATAGTTTGTTATTATAGTTATTTTATGTTCACATTTGGACGAAATTTCATATTAAATAACCAAGATAATAACAATTTAAGTAATTTTGTCGTCATTTAAAAACACTATCTATGGATAGTTGAAACTTCTAAAGTTGATAGCGTGCAAATAATCGTGATTCAACCTACCGGCTGGTGGGTGGTGCCCACGGACTTGCAGTAGTAATAATAACAATATAATATAAAATATCCTAGGCTGACAAATCGTCTCCGCTCAGAAACGTTTTTTGTATGCAACCATTGAATTCAAATTTGATACAAACCATTACGGTGACCCCACTAACGTACTATGCAGCAGAGTGACATCCACTTCCCTTCTGCTATTAAATATTATATAGTTGCAATTCAAAAACAAACAACTGTATAGATACTTCAACATTTTACCAAATATTTTTTATTATGGAATTTTAAATACGTGTTAAAATGTTCGAATTATTTGAAAATTTGTAAATTATTTTCCAGTTAGAAATGCGTTTATTATATTTTTCATTTCAGGGCTAACAATATAAATTTCAGTAAAAGTTTCTTGAAGAATGAATTTTTTTCGAATTTTTTCTTTTTTTAATTATTAAATTTGATCATTTATGGCAGTATGCTAAAATGACAGGCGCAACGTCTCCTCATAGAATGGTTTTAGAATGGTTTATCATTTAACTTAAATATGACACATTCACTACATTTATTTGACATGCTGTACAGAAGCGCAGTACCAACTTATCCATCTTTTTAATAGCGAAATTGTTATTTTTTCATTTAAAAAAGTGTTATTATTATGATTAAATAGTACGCGTGCGTGTGGGTGCGTGTGCGTGCGTGTGCGTGCGTGTGCGTGCGTGTGTGTGTATGTGTGTGTGTGTGTGTATTAATTTACTTACATGAGGTATACTCTTTGGCGGTTTTAAATGTATGCCACCCACTTGTATTACGTTTTGTGGAAATGGTCTCGAAGCCTCACTTATGAAATGACTATTTACAAATGTCAGTGATGGTTGAACAGTATTGGTTATCCAATTATATGGTCTATTGATTGTATACTTCCTTATCCATTTGTCAACACTCAAAAGCATCATACTGTATCCCAATACTAAGGTGTTTGAAAATCTTTGCACGAATGTCTTAGGAATGGCGTGATCAGCATATAAATGTGAAATCGTTGCTGGGTTTGGGATGTCACCGGAAATTAATAGTTCTTGAAATGTTACCATTGGCGATGAAATCAAATAGATCAAAGGCAAGTTTAATTTACTAGCCAAATATAATTCACAATCGTATCCCAGTGTTTCAATGATGAGTAGGTCGAAGTTGAAATTTTCTTTTTCTTCCATTACTTTGTTTAACTCAACACTTTTATACACTGCATCACAAACGGGTATACGTTTAGTTCTAATGAATTCGACCATCGCTGTCGGAGATCCCCACAAATCCACTACATCGATTAAATTCAGTTCTATTAATGTTGCGTGATCATTCGATGTATCTACCTCTGTATAGTTGTCTCGGTTGCCTTCGGGAAATGGTGTAAACACAGTAACATGATGGCCATTATTTGACAAGACACGGAGTATAGAACTTACGAAATTCCAATGACTTCTGCCAGCAATTGTTTCTACTGCCAATATTCTTGCTGATTCTATTGGTAATATCTTCGAGCTGACGAAAATATATACTATGAAAATTGAAAATAAATATGCGTAGAACGACCTTGATTTCCTTGTCATGGCTATTGTTAGTTTCAATTAATTTGTAAGTACCAAAATAAAAAAGTTTTATATTAAATTGAAGTGGCGGTATTAAACTGCTAAGAACCATTACTTCAGAATGAAGAATGAGATGATTGATTAATGATACATTTATATTTGTGTTAATACATTAGTAACAACTAATAGATTATTATAAACACTTAAATCATTATAATATGTTATACTAATGATGTCTGATGTAATAATTAGGTATTGGTACAAACTCTATTAATATACTCTATTAGTATATTAAAAATTTAGTAAGTACATGTAATTCATAAAACAAACATTATTTGATAAGGCACTATTATTGTTATCTCGAGGTTAGAGAAACAAAATGATATAATAAGACCTAAGTCATTTTGCCGTAATTCCAAAACTATTATAGTGGCTTCGGCTTGAAACTTTTCACTACTCCATACGTTATTAATTATTTTAGATAATGCAATTTTAAACTTTATTTTAATTGAGGTTTATAAATTATATAATAATTTATAGGAGTATTATAACTCCAGATATTATATTAACTGTTAAAAATTTTTCATAACATCTATGTTATTTGTTATTGTAACGGTATCACGTAACAGTCACCTTTATAAATCTCTAAAATTATTAATCGTATGCCTAATTGTGATGGACTATATAATTGTATTAAACCTATTAAATTTACCCACAAACATAATTGAATGCTAATATCGGACGTGCGAAAAAGTTTTCAAGCGAGATATTAAACATAATACATCACCAAAACTAAACGATTATATTACAAGTATAAATTATAATAACATTAAATGAGTCCAACACTGAACTCGGTGAATCTATTATTTAATTATGTACTCTATATTAAAATATTATTGCAGTATAATGAACGTATGTCTATACATAATATTTACTGATTAGTGATTACCTACACCATTTTGACGCGCAAGTTACACATTACGGATTATCGTCTCCCTCTCCACATTTAAACTGTTTACGATTAGATGGATGTGATAACGTAAAATTAGCATATAAGTAGCTAGTTATATTAATGAACTCACGTCTTCTTTCAAAACTACAAAATAATCAAGCAAATTGTCCAAATTTTAAATTTTAGATTCTAAGTGGAGCGAGGAATGAATTGGTTTTGAAATGATGTGTGTGTGTGTGGGTTTTTTTTATTAGTGTTTGTGTACACAATGGGTAGTCGAATAATTCTTCGATTTTCAACTTCAGTTATATAGATCGATAATTTATACGTTTGACTTTAACCGTTGATACATTGTGTATTATCGATATTTTAAAATCGCTATAGGTAAGCTTAAAATAATTCTAAAATCATTGAATAGAAAAAATTATTCTGTCAAAAATGAACCTATTACTCAGCCTATACTGCTAAATAAATTTGTCATGACTTTGCTCCTAATTTATTTTAGTATCTGGTTTACTGTCGAACGTCGGTAGGTATAATATTTTACTGAAAACATTACATTTATAACATGATTAATATTTATTTATTATAATAGCATAATCATATATTAATATAATTTAATATAACTATTCATTTTTGAGTCAATACCGTGTTTAGTCTTGCGTAAAACAATGTGAATAGTTTAGTGGTATAAAAGGGCAAAAGCTTAAAACGTTAATATTAATTTTTGAAAATTTCATTTTGCAAAAAATATATTATAAAGAATAAAATAATGTAAGAGGACTCATCAAGTTCCCCTCGAACAATATTTTATGTATAAACAAAATAATAAAAGTAGTTTATTCTACATTTAAAATAAAAGTATTTAATTTCACCCAAGTTTAAGAATTACATGTCTATAAAAAAATGTATTTATTTATTACATTCTCAATCTTTTTTAACAGAAATAATACATTTTTCAATTAATTGAAATGCACTATTTATTTTATACATTGAGTAACAGAAAGACATGGCAATTAGCCATTAGGTAAGGAAAAATAATAATTGATTCAATACTGATTAGATGTATGAAATAACAAATTATGAAAATGCAATGGATAAATGATTTAAGGTTAACTTATGTTTGAAAATTCCTAAAAATAATATTTCCAAAAAAGCCCTAAACAATGTAAATTTAAATAAATGTACTCAAAAAATATTGATATTTTAAAAAAAAAGTATAAAAAAATGAGCAACTGAACTTAAATTAACGTTTTTAATATAAATTGTTTTTATTAAATTATATTTAAAATTTGATTATTTCAAACTTTTCGAAGAAAATGTAATATGAGTTTAAAATTTGTATTTTCAGTATTAAAAAATATAAATGTATTCCGTACTCGATCATCGAGCATCCTACTCGATGTTTTAATCTATGAATCATAAATATGTTTTTATTAATAAATAATCATAACAACGAAAACCTTTCGAGAGATCGGTCAGAAACAACAAATATATTTATGTTAAAAATTGATTAAATAATATTGGATAGAACTTAAAATAAAAGTTATTTCATTTATCGGGTTTTTTTTTATACATTGTCTACGACAAAAATAATATGTTATTATATTTTAGTAGTAATAATACATTGTTAAATATACAGTGTTATTAAAGGACCAGTAACTTTTAATATAAGAGAAAAACTATAAGTTGATTGATTGTTTCGCCCGAAAATATCGGGGTAGGCAATTTAAATCACAAATTTTGACATGGTTGGGTAGAATGGGATTATTATACTAGGGATAAAGGAATGAGAGTTAAGTCAACGAGGAGGGAATAAACTTTGATGATATGGTCGGTTAGATGCCATGACCAGTAGAGGTTATATAAAGTTGGACAACACATCATTTTTTAATTAACTAAGAAAAGTTCAGTTATTTCAACTGTCAATTATACTAGTTACATAAGTTCGTAAGTTAATTAGAGAATGAACTAACTTGTTACCTTTGAACTTTTAACTGGTTGATGGACCACCTTTGAAGATTATACCTAATATATAATAAGAATGTTATTTTAAGGAATACAATTCCAGTTCCAATTATAAAACAGACCATACAATACAGTGTAATATACACAGTTATAATATTTCCATAGATGTATAGTAAATAGTTTTAAATTAAAACATAACATAATATTAAAAATAATATAATATAATAAAATATAAGTGTATATAAGGTACTGAATAATAACAAACAGGGAACTGAACTAGTGGAATTCCAACATTGATTTTACTTTAAGATTGTTCAAAAACATAAAAAAAAATGATTCTGCGTAAATGCATTTTGTCGAATTTCCTCATCGAGTGTTATATTATTTTGTTAACGCAACCAAGTTATTAGCTGTCATAATCATGATGATTTTACTTATATTTATATTGTATATACCGCAGATACCCAGTGACCAACTTGAGTTGGCGTTTCAAAGCAAATCGAAGGATGTTTTCTTTTTGTATGTCCGTGCGCAGCGAAGCGACCGAGTGGCAACACGGGCATCACTATAATAACATTTTTACTATAATAACTATTTTCGGACAACTGCACTCTACTCTATATATAACAAGTGTCTTTATTTACATTTTTTTAATTTAACATAAAACATGAGTTATCCGCGTTGTTTCTGGCCACTGTCATCGTCAACGTCGTCATTGTCGCCACTGTCTTCGTCACCGTCGCCACAGTCGCCGTTGACAAAAGTGTGATATTCATTATTGTCCATGTGATAAAAACATTACGCGTTTGAAGAATTTTGTCGTCGGATCCAAATTATGTGATCGACAATGTACCGATTGCGGAGACTGAGTAGTTGAAATTATAAAAGTCAAGTCCGTATAGGTAGGCGGATCCTCAAAAGTCAGAGAAGGAGATAAGGATTTGTGATAAGGGGCTTTGGAGATGTCATTTTGAAAGTGGGAACGTTTGAATATCGAGTTGGAGGGTTTAGAAGTCAGCGATTAAACTAGCTCGATAGTCGAAACATCCAGTCTTATTTTGAAACGCGAAACCAAAAGCTTGAGTCGAAACACCGTATTTGAGTGTCTAGCAAGTCAGTCACGTCAAGGTGAAAATCGATTAAAATAAAATTCATCCACCTAAGTAGGCAATTCGACTGTATCATAAAGTAGGTTACTGTAATGGATGGGTTCAATTTGTATCTAAAATAATGATAGCAAAATAACGAAATCGATATTGTCGAAACTGTTTAAAATATTTTTAAGTTTGAATAATCTATAAGAGGTGTCACAAATGTGTGATTCTCTCCTCATGCGCTTATTCCTGTTAGTTGTCTGTACATTTATTATTTTTTTTTTTTAAATTGATCCTGAGCCCGGCAACTGTGGCCATTAGCTATTAGTAGGTACTGTAGGTTTTTTTTTTTTTTGTATTGATGGTTTGTAGGTTTTTGGAACGGTAGGGGGAACACGTGTGTGTTTGTTTTGGCAGAATTTCGAATGGGGCACCCGTAGGTTTCTGCCATGCCCCGGGGGTGGGGGATGGCAGCACTTGCTCTCCGGTCACCGCGACTTGTCCGGAGAAAAATGCCGCCCGGTGGCCGAGGATCGAACCTCGACCGGCTGTGTCGCATTGGAAGAGTCAGACCACTCGGTCACCTCGTCCCCCACATTTATTATTATTACTTATTGTACTATGTATAGATCGTAATTTTTCAAATAAAGTCAAATATATTTAAAAAAAAAAAAAAAAAATGAATAATAAGTCAATAACATATATTATGATTTTGTTTAAAAAATGTCATCAAAGTGGTGTTTCCCATGGTCGTATAAGATTAACCTCCATAACCAGACAGCCAACTTCTTCATTTTTAGCGTTTTTATAGAAAAGCACCAATTTATATTTTCCATAAAAATATACTTTGGGAAAGTTAGAAACTTCCAAATTCTTCAAATCAATCCCTGATGTTAAATAAGTGCCCTGTACAAAATTAGAAAACAAAATAGGTGGGTATTAATTTAATAGTAAACTGCTAATTTTATAATTTATTATTATGTTTTAATCATTATTACTATGGTCTAATTAAATATAATATTGTTCTTAATGTTTTTATACATTACCGCTGGTAGTGGACAGTTATCAGTTGGAATGTTAAAACCTTTTTGAATTGTAATCCACGCACTTCCCAAAAAATATTTTATACCACTACATGCCTTTCTTATCGTGATAATATTTGAGTTCGGTTTCCAACCGCCAGTTAAATCCCAAGATGTACTGTTGATATCAATCTACGAATACATAATGTATTACTTAAAGTGAGATGACTGCAAACATTTACAATTCTAGTGAAAACTAAAATTACAAACTAATAGACCATAACAAATAATATTATTATGCCCAAAAGGATTGTCAACTTCAGTCACTTATCTTGTGATGAATATCATCACAATAATTTATGTATAACGATGAAAGATAAAATTAAAGTTTTTAAGCATTTTATTCTGATAATCATTTCCACTCAATCTCACTTTGGTCATTGATAAAAATGAGTGCCATAGATTATTTTAAAGAAATAAAATATGTGCTCCTTATGGTCTAACTAATGGAGTAAGAGTGTGTATCGTTTATGTATTTATGATATTATAATTTATGATAAAGTAATACATTGAAACTTTTGTGTAACGAACTTCCATTTAAAAAATATCTTTCATTTATCAAAATATATGAGAACCATTGTAAAATAAATACAACTAACTGATAGGGCAATGTGTCTTTAGATGATGTCAATTTCTCAAAATCCTTTTTTGTGCACTTCTATATACATCATGGCAATAAGTACATTCATTTAAAATCTCAAATGAATCTGTTAGAATATTTCGGTTATGCGTTAATTACGAATCAGTCAGAAATATTTGTATTGCATACATATTATACAGTGCAGGTTAATCATTTTATATTTACTTACTGCAAGAGTATCGTCAAAAGGTATCAAAAACGTTATATTTCCTTTTAATTCTTTTATACTTAATGTCTTTTTATTTAAATACAAATTAAATTGAATTGAATGGTTTTTTGTTGATGCACACTGATATATTTTATCATACTCCATACGATATTCTCCCTGTAATAAGAGTAATATTCATAGTAGTTATTATAATCAACAGATATACTTACGAAGAAATCAAAGTATAAATTATGCACATCACTGATAATCATAGTGAAAAACTGTATTATGTTTAATAAATCAAACCGGTTATTATTCACCATAGGCAAATTGTGCATTAAATGGTTTTTAGATTGAGACAATGAGAAAAATAAAATAAGTCCAAACATTTTGATTATCATTTTGCCTGTGTTAAATTATTTCAACAATTATTATGGAGCGTTTCATACGTTTTAAACAGTAAGAATAAAATATAACATCCATGAGTTTCACAATAAATTGATTAATTTGGAAGGCTTGGCACGCTTGAGCTGTAACCTCTAAAATTGTCGGAAATGTTCATCAAATTATATTGAACATGAAAAAGACAAAAAAAAGTCAGGAAATGATATACATTTCCAAAAATTAACTGAATGGTAAAAAAGGAGTAACATGTGATTCAACTTCCTCAGATAAAATCGTTGTAAAATAAATAAAAAATAAAAATAATTACTCTAATATTATAAATTAGGTACTATGGATGTAGTCTTATTTTACTGTTGAAAATTGAAAAATATGTATAGTGGATACCTGAATTGCTGAACTATCATTTAACACGGTGGTTAAGATTTATTTGATAAAAATGTTGTAGACATTTCTTTCAAAACTAATTTTTCTCAAAGATCAAAAAAAAATTGTTTCGGATCGGTTTATTTATTATTTTATGTAAAACTTATACATTTTCATGACAATTTTAGATTCTGAGTGGAGCAATGAATGTTTTTATTAGTTTTAAAATGATGTGTGTGTGCGGGTTTTTTATTAGTGTTTGTGTACGCAATGAGTAGTCCAATAATTCTTCGATTTTCAACTTCAGTTACATAGATCGATAATTTATACGTTTGACTTTGACCGTTCACACATTGTGTATTATCGATGTTTTAAAATCGCTATAGGTGAGCTTAAAATAATTCTAAGATCATTGAATAAAAAAAAATGATTCTGTCAAAAAGGAACCTATTACTCAGCCTATATTGCTAAGTAAATTTGTCATGACTTTGCTCCTAATTTATTTTAGTATCTGGTTTACTGTCGAACGTCGGTAGGTTTAATATTTTACTGGAAACATTACATTTATAATATGATTAATATTTATTTATTACTATAGCATAATCACATATTAATATAATTTAATATTGTTATTCATTTTTGAGTCAATACCGTATTTAGTCTTACCGTAAAACAATGTGAATAGATTAGTGGTATAAAAAGGCAAAAGCTTAAAATATTAATCTTAATATTTTGAAAATGTCATTTTGCATAAAAAATATTACAAAAAATAAAATAATGTATGTGGACTCATCAAGTCCAATTCAAACAATATTTTATGTATAAACAAAATAATAAAAGTAGTTTATTCTTCATTTAAAATTAAAATATTTAATTTCACCCAAATTTAAAAATTATTTGTGTATAGAAAATTATGTGTATACTAAAATTTTCAAAATATTTTAACTCGTATTGTACTATTTAAAAGCATATGAAATTGTCGATTTTTAATAATTTTTTTAAACTGATGTTGATAAAAAGATTTTTGCTTTGTAAAAAACATTTGAAAATATAATATAAGGTACGTCGTAAGTTGTTGTTAGTGGAAATTTAAAAAAAAAATGAGGGTAAATCCACAATATTTTTTTATGGGCGTTTGATTTTAGAATATTGACAAAATGCGTAAGAATCACGAACAAATGGATTTCGTAAATATCTATACCGGTTAGGTTAGGTTGGGTTCATGTTATCTAACAATTTTCCAGTAAACTATTTAAAAACAATTTTCCTTCCAATTTTACAGGGTTAGGACTGACAGCAAAATTAAATTGTTAACTTGGTTAAAAATTTCGAGTGACATTTTTTGTTTTAATACCAATAATAATAATAATAATAATAATATGTAATAATAATATGTAAATAAATATAAAAAAACAAATATCGAGTCCAGGGGCGCCATTTGGGGGGGAGCAGGGTATACTTTGGCTCCCCTATTATTTTCTGTGTCTTATTGGCCTGGATTAAAATTTAGAATGCGCCGACGGCCGTCCCGAGCCCTAATTCTCCTGCTTTCGCACTTAATCGTGCATGACGGTCGCCGATCAAAACTTTCAATAAGTCTAAGTATAAGTATAAGTATTTTTGTATAAGCATACACCGATTGGCGATTTCAAATAAATTGTATGTAAACATGTATATTATAGTGGTGCCAATTGGAACTGGCTGTATATTGTGGTTCACAAAGGACTGACGGCACTGTACGCACGTCCCACACCGGTGGTTGTTGGTGGGGGTATACGGTCGACGGACGACTGACGGATTAGTGATTACTGGAAAATACATTCTTAAAATAGATCGAAAATGAAATGAAAGCTTATTGATATTAATGATACCGAAGAATGTTTACATTTACAAAATTTTTTAAATCATTACAAATATTTTAAAATTAATGTATTAAAAATTCCATCTGAATTTACTTCTGCAAAATCGTTGCTTCAACAAAAAAATATTGTTCAACCAGATTTAAATTCAATTATTGATACGCTCAAAAAACTACCAGCAGCATTTTCAGAAACATTGAAGATACTTCAAATTATAAACACTCTTCCAGTGAGTACTGCATCAAATGAAAGGTTTTTTTCTTCACTCAAAAGAGTAAAATCTTATCTAAGATCTTCAATGGGTGACGAGCGTTTGAGTGACTAATTGGTCATAGCGGTAGAAAAAGAAGATGCTAACAAAATAGATTTAGATGAGGCAGTAGATAGATTTTCGAAACTAAAAAGTAGAAGGTATAAGCTAGAATAGTATAATTAATTTAAAAAACTTATGAATACTGTACGTCTGTAACTGTATGGAATATTGTATTATTATTAAATTATTTATTATAATAAGTAAATAAATATAATTTATTCATTTTATTTGGAATAAATTGCATTGATTAAATGTAGATACCTATACCTGTACGGCTGTACATATGTACCAAAAGGCAAACAAATTATTAATGAATAATTTGAATTCATTAAAATATATTCTTCAAGAGCCTAACCTAAATGATATTAAACGATATCTGCATTTACTATTTTTAAAAATGTGGCCTGACAAAAAAAAAAAATTGGCCTGCTTAAATGTTGGCACCCCTATTATAAAACTCAAATGGCGCCCCTGATCGAGTCCAAGGAAAACCAAGTCCGACTATATATTTAAATAGTGTAGGTACTAGAAAATTGTTAGAATATATATATGACATATACATAAAATACGGTGCACATATATACGTATATTGGAACGCAATCGTGTTGCATTTTATGCAGGTAAAAAAGGTAAAACGGGCGCGACAGTGCTAATTGATCGAGCGCAATCGTGTTGCCTTTTTTGAATGGAAAAATTTAAGCCGGGCGCAATCGTGCTGCACCGTGCGCGAACAGAGTATAGTGACAATGCATTTGGAAACTGCAAAGAAAACGTACCTTTACTGCTCTAGTTTTATGTTCAAACTTTGATGTTGATCTTACAAATTATAATGTTTATAACATGGTACCTTTTTATTATTAGTTGTGGATAAAACAGTATGTCGAGTAATATGACAGTTGACAATATATCGAAAATTACTAATGCATGCCATACAAATTCCAATTAATTAATTGTGAATTTTTATTATGTTAATTTAAACAAGGTGTATTTCCCTGGCACCCCCACTTTTGAATTTTAAAACCAAACTCGATTTTTCTCAATTTCTTCTTATTTGTTCCGTCCCCGTTTCCAACTTATACCCGATTTATGACGTGGGTGTCATTTCCTTGTCAAATAACAAAATTTTCGAAACTAACAAGAACAAACCGAGAACAATCAAAAGCAACTGGTTTAGTTTCAAAATTCGAAAGTGGAGGTGTCCGGGAAATGCATCTATTGAAACAATTATAAAATTACTTAAGGTATATCGGTTATAAACTAAAATTAATAATTGTTTATAATGACTATATTTTGTTTTGATAAACTTATAATACGTTTATAATTGCATATTTGTTCAGCATTAATTGAGTAATTGAGTTGGTGTAGTATGTTTTCATTGCAATCAAAAGAAATTGAAATTTGAAATTATATAAATTAATTAAACATAATCAAAATATTCTGAAAATGTTAACATAATGTTAATATGAACATTTCTTGCAAAATTCAAGTATCGAAACTTATTTGAATTTAAACTATTTAAATTTAAATTCAAACAAAATAATGAAATAAATTATGTCAAAAACTGATTAAAATTTTTATTAGTTTATATAATAAGTCAATTACAAATATATTATAATTGTATATAGTTCAATTAAATTGGTGTTTCCCATGGTCGTATAAGATTAACCTCCGCAAAAACGCAGCTAACTTCTTCATTTTTTACATTTTTTAAGCGTAATGCCACTTTATATTTTCCATAAAAATATACTTTGATAAAATTATTATCTTCCAATTTTTTCAAATCAATTCCAGATGTTCTATATGTGCCCTGGTGTAAAAATTTAGAAAAGAAATTGTTTAGAAATTTATAGGTTATAATATTTTGATAGTAAAGTGCCTACTTTGTTAATTTTATAGGTAATTTATAATTATACCTTAAACATTATTATAGTACCCACCTACCACAATAGCATAATAATATATTATGTAATGCATTTTTATAAATAATTTTTAATACTACCATTTTCAAGTCATTAAATAATATAGGACATATAGGTACATCTATCTTATACAACTATATAATTGTGTTTTAATGCTTTTTTTTACATTACCACTGGTAGAGGACAGCTATCAACTGGAACGTGAAAACTCTTCATAAGTGTAATCCATGCATTTCCAAAAAAATGTTTTACATTACTACATGCCTTTTTCATTTTGATTATATTTGAATTTGGTATCCAACCACCAGTTAAACCCCAAGATGCCAAATTTAAATCAAGCTATAAATAATAAATACAATAGCTGAGGTACGATGACTACATTTCATATTTCACATTGATAAAAATAAAATATGAACGCCTTTTAGCAGTTACGTTCTTGTATTTATGGTACTTATATATAGTAAAACAATACAATTTCCATAATATTATATAACTAATTATTTTATTTATAAAAATATTTTTTGGGAACCTTGATAAAACAAATGTAATTTGCTGATTCTACTTATACATCATGGTCATAAGACATTCTCACAATATCTCAAATGAGTCGTTTCGCTATTTTTAGGAGTTCGTTGATTGTTAATCAGTTAGAAATTCTTCTATTATTCATATTCTATTTAATACATTCTCAATTTACAATAAAGTAATAATATTTATTTTTACCTACGAAATACCATAATATGGAAGTTTCAATGTAATATACAAATCTTAAATAAATCATTATAGTATAAATTTATATATGTACTTACTGTAAGAGTATCGTCAAAAGGTATCAAACATGTTACATTCCCTTTCAATTCTCTTATACTTGATGTCTTTCTACTTAAATAGAAATTATAATTAATTGGGTGATTTTTTGTTGATTCACACGGATATATTTTATCAAACACCAGACGATATTCTCCCTGTAATAGGTACTACGCAATATATATATATATATACAGATCTACTTACGAAGAAATATCATATATAAATTATGCACATCAATATTAATCATAGAAAAAATGTATCAAGTTTAATAAATTAGAGAGATTATTAATTTACTTACCATAGGCAAGTTTGGCATAAAATGGTTTTTGGATTGAGACAATGAGCAAAATAAAACAAGTCCGAACGTTTTGATTATCATTTTACCTAGGACACTTAATTTCAATAATTATATAGCTTTTCATACGTTTTCAACAGTAAGAATAAATAATAATACCCATTAGTTATAAAATATATTGATACGTTAAAGGGGAACGACATGCTTGAGTTGCAACCTCTAAATATTGTTTAAAATATGCATATAAACATGATATGTATATTTTAACAGGAAAAAAGTGATTAAGTTTTCCCGGAAATTATAATGTTACATATTTAAATAAATTTTACTTTTTTTTCTGACCTTCATATTATTTGTTATAATATTGTTTTGCTTGTGACTCTCTTATGGCTGGACACCATTGTTCTACCTATATTATTAAGAAAGTGCTGTGAAAAAGTAAATTATTCTGGAGCTTCATATCTAGAGTTATGTTTAGGAGGAACGACATGTTTGAACTGTAACTTCTAAAAATTTACTGAAATGTTAGTACAATTTTATTGAATAGGAAAGAGATAAAAAATACTTTCGGAAATGATTAATTTTCAAATGTAATACAAAAACCAATTAATTCCTATACTATAAATTAGATGATATTTTGGGGCCTCGGTCTAAGTTTACATGCAAGCCATCTTAGGCATCTGTAATTTCATCATGTAATCAATTAATTGTATGATTGATCCAGACTTAACGATATTATGACAGGGCCATAATATTGTAGGAAGAGGAGAATAATCTAGGAGAAAATATAACCCGTAGATGGAATAGAAAATGATTACATGTATTATAATCGTCAACCAGTATATATTATATCGACTTAATACTTCATGGTGCTTTATTAGCCACAATTTATCTGGCTCTCAAGCGATGATCATAATTTATAATAATTTATATAGGCAATATTGTTTTGATATCAACAACTATGATGGATTCTCTAAGTATCGTTCAGTTATTGCTTTGAACAGTTAATATAATATTGTTCCCCAATTCAGGGGTACATCGACATACTTACAGAAGCACTTGAATTACCTTTTTTGGTGCAAATGTATTTTTAATATTTTTGAACTGCTATTGTAACAATACATCAAGAGTCTTGTATTACATTTTCATACTTTTTGACCCAACAAATACAATAAATTTTGTTGACAATTATAGAAAAAAAAAAAATGAAAATTGAAAATGTTCGTCAACTGCTTAAAAGAAGTCAAAATATTTTGGAAATGTTTTCAAGTATAAGAATTGATTTATAAACATATGGTGTAAATTTCGAATGTCTACACTACTCTAGAGTAATTCGTTTTTGAATTACAACGAAAGAAAAAAATCGCTGCATGAGAAATCGAGTCAATATCCAATGCTATAAAAATGTTAACATCAAACTTTCATAAAAACTTAATTTGACTTTCCGGTAGAAATTTTTTTGTTTGATAAAGATAGACAAACATAAGGAATCTTGTATTACAACCTAACCTAACCTTAGATGTAAAATAAAAATTTGTAAAACCTTGTACCTATTGCATTTTTAAGTTTTTTGACATAAGTTTAAAAGAAACAATAATAATAATCCAAAATTTAATTTGCTTATAAACAGCTCAATACGAGTTAAAATATTTTGAAAATTGTATGGTGTATTGCAAATAATAACATAAACATTCATTGAAAATGCATCTATACGGTCATTTTTAGAGCAACACTAAAATCCAAAATCGATTTTTTTCGAAAACTGGTTTTGAGTAAACATTTTCGGTCTTAATTAATTTTTTGTTTGTTTTTTCTATCGCTTTTGAAAACTATTTTAAATTTTAAATGTTGACTTCCCAAATTCACCAACTGAACTCACTTTCCCACCAGAAAAATGCTGTCGAAGAAAATCAAAGCACTTTTACTGTCCCCAACTGTGACTGTAGACACAAAAATTAAAATTAAAATTAAAAAACACACATCATTTTAAAAACATTACATTCAATGCTCCTATGAATCATATGTTTAATAATCGTTGTATGAAGAATAAAAATACAAAACATAAGTTAACTTTCACTTTTACGTGGACAAAGGACATGGTAAGTTTATTGCTTTACAATAAATTAATAACATAATATAGCATAATTTTGTATAATTTAATCAAATTGGTTTTTCCCACGGTCGTATAAGATTGAATTCCGCGACGTAGCAGCCAACTACTTTATCTTCTACATTTTTCAACCTGACAGTCAATCTATATTTTCCATAAAAATACACTTTAGGAAAGTTATTATCTTCTAATTTCTTCAAGTCCAACCCTGATGAAATATATGTACCCTGTAAAATTTAAAAAAAAATGTTAATTAATAATAATGCGTCTCACACATAGTTCATTTTAAAATTATTATTTATTTTTTATCTATAATCATTTAACGAGCTTGAGCCTTTTTTTATAAGTGATTAAATACACTTAACAATTTTACCCGAATGGGCTTACATACATTATATAAAGTACAAATACATAAATGGATACATTATTAGCTAATAATAAAGCACGTGGAAAAAAAGAATCTGCACCATAACTTTTTCGATAGAAGGGAATGACAAATAAATCATTTTTTCTGGAATAGTATATATGAGACATATCATTCCTATTACTTAATAAATGAATAAATCAAAAAAACCATTTAATATAACATAATATTATATAAATAAAATATCTGAAAGCTGTCTTCTTAGTTCTATAGAATCTAAATTAATTAACAATTACAAGACTAAACTAGACTTAACTAAATGTAGTTGTAAAATTAGTAACATAAGCAATTTTCTTTAAATTGACATTGGACTAATTCAAGATCTTTAAGTATGTAGACAAGTTCTGAGACCAAATTATGGATCTAAATTCTAAAGTAGATCGCACGAGCGTACAATATAATGTGTGTGATCCTGCAGTATCTCAAAGTCCGAAGATGATTGAATTGAACAAAATAATTCAGCATTATCTACAAAAAGTAATAATTGCATAGAATTATTAAATCTCCAGAGCAAATCATTAATAAAATGAGAAAAAATAGTGACTCTAAATTTGAACCTTGAGGTACACCTGACGATGTACACGAAAATCATTAGAAACATAGAATGAAAATTTAACTGCTTGGAAACGGTTTTGTGGGTAAAAAGCGATTCATGGTAAAAATGATTTTAAAAAATGAGAATTATGTTCATTATTAATAACAGATTTTTGTTTAATTGTTGGTACTTTTCGTACAAATTGTATAGTTAAGTCAATTTTAAAATTCGATGTGTGCAAAGCAAATTCTTCACGAAGTTTCTTTATATGGTATCTTTGTGACTAGGTATGTCATATGATACGAGATTATTGAAATTTACGGGTACCATGATGAAGTTTCGTTTTGTATTTCATGATACTAAATGCCTCTGATATAGAAATGAACTTAATTATTATAGGTACTGGCACCATATTATTAAGACTAGCCACTAGCGTCAAGAATGTTATTTACCTATTTGCGATCTTGAACAATACGAACATTTTACTGGTTAAAATCAATTTCAATTAAATGATAGCAGATAAGATTTTCCTCACGTCTGTTACGTTAGTTAATTTCATTGCTTATGAATTCGTTACTTAATTCATTATTTGAACGTTGTAATGTGCAGTTTTTGAGCTCATCGACTTTCACAAGTAATTTGTTAATCAGTAATTTTAAATAAGACAATTACTTTAAACCTTGCTCATTATTGTATTTTAATAATTAATATAGTACCTATATATACCACACTAGTTTAATAATATGTTATGTTTGTTACGGAATAAACACGCGCATACACACACACACACACAACGATCTTTTTCAAGACGAACAAGAAAGTCCTGTTATGACATATAAAACCCACACCACAAGAATTACGTACATCATAACAACAATCATAACAGAATCAAAAAAACTAATCACGACGCTTGTTTAGACCTAGGCATTATGTATACATATTAGTGTATCGGTTGACAACGACCAAAAATATAACAGAAGGAAACAATCCTAATAATATTAAACATCTATTCTATACTTTAATCAAAAATACTCCAAACCCGGCTCTAGCGAAGATCCTTTGACATATTTTTAACAAAAAACCACACTCAGAACTTTTGCATTTGCAATAAGTTTACAATTCTCGAATAACCATATAGTCCACTGACCACCAATCATGGAAGTAGAAAACTCCAATCAAATAATCAACGACGATCAAACTATAAGCAAAGACTAGATTACATAACTCTTAAAGAAGTCCTGGACATCATCAAGAATATGCCAACAGCCAAAGCTCCAGGCATTGACCAAATAACCGATGCCGTTCTCAAGAACCTTCTCAACTAATCAATAATTAAACAATAGACATCCATTATGGTGATTATTAAATTATAAATTATTGTTATAAATAATTTTGTACATTACCAATGGTAGTGGACAGTTATCAACCGGAATGTTAAAATCCTTGATAAATGCAAACCATGCATTTCCAAAGAGATTCTTTATACTACTGCATGCCTTTTTTTTTATGACAATATATGAATTTGGTATCCAACCTCCAGTTAAACCCCAAGATGCCAAATTTGCATCGAGCTACAAATAAATAATACCTTATTTAAAGTAAGATGTCAACAAACATTTACAATTCTAGTTTTAATTAAAATTACCAACTCATAGTGCATAACTTATGACTAAAATATTATGTTCACCAGGACTAACTTGATCGGTCTCATATTTCGTGATAAATATAATCACAATAATGATTAATATAAATTATGTGTAACGATAAAAAATAATATCGATAATTAATTCCACTCGTTCTTAAATTGATCATTGATAAAAGTGACATGGGTAATTATCATAGACATAAAATATGTACTCCTTATGATACTAACTAATGATTACATTAGATCAGTTGGATTATAACTAATGTAGTGGTATGTTAATGTATTTACGATACACAATAATATAGAAATACAATTGAAATAATTTCTAGAACCTTAATCAGATAATCAGCTGTAAACAGCTGATTTTGCCCGAGAAGGATCGCTGTAGTTGTTATATTAATAACAACTAATACGAAATGACAATTAATTAAATTATAAAAAAATAATAAATAAATAAAAATAAAAAATATAAGTTGTATAAATTAAATCAAATATAAATTAAACATTACATTGTAAATGTTAAAAATTCCTAAGTTTAGAGCTGAAGTTGAGAAAGATGCACTATTCCTTTTAAAAAGTCTATTTTATAAACGAAAATACAACAACTATCATATGAGGAATGAAATAGACTTTTTTAAAGAAATAAACTATAATGTTCTACTTTAACTTTAAATTCAATTTATAGTTTATACATTTAATTAATTATCATCTCATCACTAATGCGTTATTTAAAAATAAATAAATAAGAGTTGGTGCATATTTGAATAGTCTAAAACAATAAACGTAACAATCGGAAATAAAATAACCTGAAAATTCGATTTCCTCAAAATACATTCTTAGTGCAACTATACGCGTCATTTTAATAAGTAAATTCTCTCAAAGCCTCAAATGAATTAGTTCTGTAGTTTTGGCAATACCTTATTTATGATTCAGTCAGAAATCCTTTTATTATATTATATTGTACAGATTCTGTTTATTAAATTTCTCTATTCAGTTATAATTTTTTTGGTTGTCTACGCGAGATATCATAGTATGAAAGTTTCAGTGTATTACACAAATCTAAAATTAATCATTACATATTAACTTACTGTAAGAGTATCGTCCAAAGGTATCAAATATGTTATATTCCCTTTCAATTCCTTTATACTTGATGTCTTTTTACTTAAATATAAATTATAATTAATTGGATGGTTTTTCATTGATGCACACGGATATACTTTATCAATGACCAAACGATATTCTCCCTGTAAAAAGGGTAATAGACATATATACAGTTATACTCACGAAGAAATATAGCAAATATACATTATGCACATCAATTTTAATCATAACAAAAATGTATTATGTTTAATAAATCAGACAGATTAAAAATTTACCAAAGGCAAGTTTGGCATAAAAACATTTTTTGTTTGATATAATGAGAAAAATCCAGTTAGTACAAACATTTTGACTATCATATTGTCTGTTCTTCATACATTTTTAACTATGAGAATGAAATAACACTCATGGTTTATAAAATATATTGATACATTTGGAAAGAATGACATGCTTGAGTTGTAACCTCTAAAAATATATGAAAATGTTAATACAATCATATATAACAGGAAATAGATAACAAAGAGAGACCCGAAATGACACATTTCTAATGTTAATTGAATGTTGAAAAATGAATTAAATTAGTTTCAATTGATTCAAGATTAAGCAGATGAAATCGTTGTCTAAAGAATAAAAAAACAAACATTTTACCTATATTACAAATTTGTATGTACGTAAGTAAGAAATTGATACTCTGAAGTATCAACCTTATAGCTCCCTCCTCCCGAGTTTCCTAATTCTTCTTAGTCATCAGTAATTTTTTTATGAAATTAATTAACATTTATATTGATCTAGACTTAATGATTTGACCATAAATGTGCTAAAATATTATGCTATATTCATAATAGTCAAAGTAAATTGAAATCACAGACTTTGATTTTAAGGATTTTAATCTAACATCATTGATATGACTAAAAATCAATTTAATAAGAGTACCTATTATTAAACTCAAGTGACTTATGAAGGTACAAAGCCATTTTTAATTCATGCAATTAGTTAAGTAAATAATGCTCAAACGGTCCCTTTTAAAATATATGTATAAGTATTGTTCATTATTATTAGATTTGTTCCTCTCATATGATAATGTACATGCTAAGGTACGATATACCAAATAATAGTTAATAGAAAAAATATCTTTATATACTCTACGATTAAAGCGCATTATAAGTTTATGTAAATACATTCCAATTAATAATTGATTGTTACGAAAAATTATTAATTTAAATGTACTGTTTATTTATTTTGAGAGTGTATATATTTTTTTGGTTAACATTGATACACATGAGTGATGCCCTCAAACTGAGGGTAACAATAATAACTAATAAGACATAATCTCATTGTTTGTAGATATTACATCGCTCTTTGTCGGTGAAATATTATAGTTCTTCTAAGTTGGATGAATTTAGGTTTTATAGGCAGTACTGCACTAATTATGATTTTTGCCCCAAGAGGATAAAACATAGGGAAAAATAGAGATTACATTTTCAAATCAAGACAGTCAGGTCAATTTAACGAATAAAAAAATTAGCTGACTTTTAAAAAAAAATTGTTATTTTAATTAATTTAATAAATTGTTATGCACTTAACTATATTATTGATATCGAAGAACATATCCATACATATCGCCTTCACATGTAAATTAAAACCTTGTCTTATTTATTCTAGATTTTGATTAAAGGAAATATTATTTAACTTCTGTAGATATAGAAATACAAGTTGTATAATACAAAAATAAATCGAAAATTTCCCATGACAATAAGTTAATCAAAAAGAGTCAAAATATTTTTGAATTTAACCATACTGCATGCAGAACTAATACAAACATTTAGTGGGGATTTCAAGTACCTACCGTTATTCTTTTTTTATTTACAGCAAAATATCAAAAATCTATTGATGATAAATTGTTAACAAATTATGGTTGAATAACCAATGTTGTAAGCGTAACAATTGTAAATTCAAACGTTAGTGAAAAATTAATGTTAGAAATTTGCATGCTACCAAAATGTTTATGAATATCCAACTTAAATTCAATTAGAAAATGTTCAAGATTTTATCATTGGTTCAATGTGTTATCTAATATGTTTTCAACAGTAAGTACAAATAACAGCCATGCATTTAAAAATATTTTGATACATTTTGAGAGATTGTCTTGCTTCAGCTGTAACCTCTAAATATTGGCGGAAGTATATTTTATATTATTACATTTTGACAGGAAAACTGTTATTAATTTGCTCCGGAAATTAGAAATTTGGAAATTTAAAATAAATCGTACAAAAAGAGTTCCTATTATTAGAAACTGCAGTATTAAACATTCTTGTGGAATCAACTCTCTGATGTAAGAAAAATAAAATCCATAACTCATTGATGTTATTCAATTTTAGTGCTGAAAGCTTACGAAAAATTCTATCATTGTTCCATTTAAATACCATGATAAAAATACATTTTTTCATACTTATAGGAGTATTTTCATTATCTCAATCAAAAAACCGTTTTATGCCAAATTTGCCTTTGGTATGTTGTAATAATCTGACTAATTTATTAAACTTAAACATATTAGAATACATATTATTTTCAATGTTTATCATTGATGTTTCATAGTAAATATAAGATATTTCTATATAAGCAATATATCTTTTACTCATATTAATTACAGGGAAAATACCGAATGGCGTTTAGTAAAATATATCATTGTGAAACAACAAAAAACCAATTATTTCAATTTAATTTATATCATAGTAAAAAGACATCAAATATAACTGAGATGAAAGGGAATATAACAACTTTGATAAATTATGACGATACCCTAACAGTAAGTACTTATAATATAATCACTCATTTTATGGGTATTTTTATAATGCAACACGCCTCTCTCGTTTATTTAAACCTAGTGGCTGTCGCTATCGATATGTATACCTAATTCTATCCAGTTAATTAGTTGTTGGTTAACAATTCTCACTACACGAACCGATCTTGTAAACTGGGTTGTTGAATCGATACAAATAAAGTGTTCTAATTTTTATTTAACCTAGAAACTTATGACCTGAGATCATAGACTAACACAATTAATGTTAAAAAACACGATATAGCAACTTATACAAGGTTTATTAAATGTTTGAATAGTAATAGTCAGGGCTCGGGAATTAAAGCATTCACTTATTTTTATGAATTGACTTAAAATGTATCAGAGTGCTATGGAAATGTATGTCATGTTACAAGACGTTCAATAATGAAATTCGAAAATTCTTTTTTTAATTTTTTCAGTGATTTAAAAAAAAAAATGCTTATTTCCAGTTTTTCTGATTATTTTTGTTTTTTTGACCAGTTTTTCTACTTTTTTATGGTTTTCTCTTGCAAAGTTGAATTAAGAATAATTCTTATCTCATCTACGTAGTTAATGAATTAATTGATTATTTCGAGTATTTGTAAATATTGTTTATATTTTATTTTTCAGAAATCCATAAAATCCTTAAAGTCTCGAAAGAGAAGTTTATTTTTATTTTTTTTGATATAAAGATAAAGATTTATTTTTATTTATTTTTGATTTTTTAGTTAGAATTTTTCAATTAAAAGTGTTCCGAATTTAGATCTAAAATGTTATTAGTTAGGCAGTGTAAATTGCTTGGAATTTCGGAGATAAATATATCTGAATTATTGAGTTTTTTTGTAGGGAAGAATGGCCAATAGATAAGACGTGCTTTTTTTAATTGTATTGAAATTATCTGCAAATGTAGCATTCGAGATATTATGTCGTGGTTGAGTATAAAAAGCACCTACGGTAATGGGTATGTTATTTAGTTTAATTATTATTAGGTTATTATTATTATTGGGTGGCTCTCTTGCAGGGCTTAAATCAAAAAAAAAATAATACCGTTTACCGTTATATGGATATCAAACGTTATGACCAAATTACTGTTTAACGTTATATGATATTAAACGTTATGATCGATTTAGCATTTAACGTTATATGATATTAAACGTTATGATCGATTTATCGTTTAATGTTATAAAGAATTTAAACGTTTATAAAATGTTCCGTTTAACGTTTAAACGTTTTAAATATTAATTATTTATAACGTTTAAACTTTATGAAACACTAGTCTTGACTCTTGAAAAATTGGGGAGGGTTATATAATTCTAGTTATAACTTATAAATTATAACTTACTCATTACTTTTGTTTGTTACTACTAGTAACTTACTAGTTACTTCAAATTTATATTTTATAATTTAGGTATAATGAAATATATATATAAATATTAAATTGCAAGATAGGTACACGATGACACAACACATCATAAATTCATAAGTGATATATTATAATAACTAATAAGTATTTGTGATTATAAATTAAAATTCATAAGTCATAACATAAAACTATAAAAGTACCAAAGAAAGAATTTTAATAAGATAAAAATAACTTCTTAAATCTTAAGTGGAGTCACACGGTTGACTATGACTCCCATAGAATTCAGTTTGATTCATAAAAAAGCGCAAAACAAAAATTGTGTGGTTCTAGTGTTCTACACTTTCTTGTTCGATTGTGTCATCCAATTTCCAACTAGGTCCCACTTCAGGACCGCACATGTCTCCTCTTTGAGAAGGGCCAGAAGGGGAGTAGTATCATTATGCATATAGTGTGATGTATTATAAATACAATATACATATATGAATAGATCTTATGATCTCCCTAGTCCCTACTAGGTACCCATTTGATATGAGCATTGACAAAGACCTTGAGAACATTTCAATGAACAAATACAGAACAAAAATTATCTTAAGATTTGGGAATGGTAAACAAGCTGACCCCGCGCAGAATACCCCACCATCGACTTGGAACCATTTTCATTATATTGGTAACCTTTGGGTCTAACATTATGTTAGTGCACCGAACCATTTCCTTGTTTTTCGGAGGTTCAGACTTCAGATCGTTGAGAACCAAGACCCAATCAGCTGATCGAGTTTCGCTTCTATATTGTTCTATGGCATTACCATCTCAGGTTAATACTTAATCACCGTGATACTATGATGGTAGTTACCTCAGTTTGTAGTATTTGTACTTGATATGCATTGCATTTGCATATAACTTGCTGTCTTAAGAATCTAATTTCCGAGGACATTATTGGTTTTTATTTTTGTTTATTCTTCGCGTCGGGATTTATGTTTTTCTCAAAATAACGAAGTTTTCTATAGGTACCTATTATTAATTAGGTAATAAACGTTATTTATAAAAAGTAACAATAAGTAATAACAATAATATTGGTACCATAATTATTATCATTATTGTTACTTTTTATAAATACATTACTAAGAAATGTAGAATCCGTTGAACGGGTTTAATACTATTTACCCAGACATTATTTATAAATATTTTCTACTTTTGTAAGAAAGCCTAAATATAATTGATAATGCGTATTATTTCTTTGAAATATTTATGGCTATTTTAAACGTTCATAGTTCCATGTACATTTAATTAATTTTGATTAGTACCTAATATTAAAGTCACTTTATTATTATAGTCCTATCAAGCAACAGTTCTACAAAACTAACTAAATTCTAATTATATTCTATAGATAGTTTTTAATATTTTCGTAATTTCCTTTGTTGTCTGACATGTTTGTTATGATTCAACTTTTAATCGTTAATCGTTTTTTGTTGCGTTATTCGATATTAATTTTAATCGTTTATCGTTTCTGTTCCGTTATCCGTTATCCGTTTCAATCGTTTATCGTTTACCGATATGTTATCCGTTATTCGTTTCAATCGTTTGTCGTTTACCGATATGTTATCCGTAAGCGATTTCAATCGTTTTTTGAATCGTTTAACGTTATACTCGTAACGTTATGAAAACGTTTTGAAGCCCTGCTCTCTTGTATAATATTATTAGACTTATAACTAGGGTTAACATGTAATTTTTGATTATTTAAGTTGATTTTTTTACATTTCTGAAGATTTTTGTGGACTGTGCATTCCTTGTAGTTTGCATGGTAGATACCTGTGATGAGAGTACATCGCATTGGGTCTTTACGTGAGTTTGGATAAGCAAATTAGGAGTGGTCATCACCGCACCGGACACGGCAAGTGTTATTAAGTGGTTTAAGCATATCTGCAGTAGGCTTTAGTATGACCATAAGCTTGACAGCTTTAACACTGACTGATAACTTTAGGTTTATGAAGCTCTTCCATTTAAACATATTTTGTAAACATTTGTATGCTGTAGGGTTTCAAGTTGAAAAATTTCATTTGGATGATGTGTCGGCTAGAAGTTAGACTAAAAGAACAGGAGGATTTTTCTAACTCTATGAATAACTTGGGAAACTTGTCTAACTTCGTACAAGCGAAGTTTAAATTCACTTTGGATTAATCCCGTTGAAGTAAATGGATTTAAGTAGTGTATCTACTAGTGCTTCTATAAGCTTAGATTATACAGCGGACTGAGATGTTTGAATTTTTAAACGGTCAACCGTTGATTTATAAATAAATTAATCGACACCAATCAGTTCAAACTATGCTATGCAAATACCTGGGAAGTTTTTCAAGCCTCGTATGAAAATTGGAGAGTGTGGTTTAGAAGAAACAGGAGCTGTATCGATAATTGACTGAATTTCCGCTACGATGGTTTCTTCTAGTGAGTCGGTTGGTTTAAGTAATTAAAATCTATTTTTAGTCTTGAATATTTTTTACTTACATGTTGAAGTGTTTTTTGAGGCAGTGGTTCTGAATTAGACGAGCTAGAGATCACGTTTATTATCATTAGTAGCGGGTTTCTGCAGCGGCTTCAGTTTTATTTTTATTTGCATTTACCGTCTTGTTTTTATTAATTGAATATTTTTATTATGACTATCCATATTTTAAATATTTAACTGTATTGTTTTGATGAGATACTCAAATTACGAAGTCGTTAATTGGAATGGAGTGGCGTAGATTGATCGCGTGGCCAACGGTCGCAGTCGCGGCGATGCCTTGTAGTGATATTAGGTTATATTATACAACCATGCACTACGATACGTAGATACTGTAAACTTAAATCTACTTTTCACAAAAAAGAGTTGGTTTATGTGGCTGGGTGATGCTGGGGTCAATAAATGCTTAAACTGCGTCGATTGGTTTAAAGTACGAAAAATTCAGACAGATTTAAATGACACTAATTTAAATATGACACGGAGGCAACAAAAACGTGTGCATACAGTTTGGCTATCTGTATGTGACAAAATAAAATATTTAAAGAAAAATTATATTTTTTTGTGTTATATGGACAGGTAATTTTTTTTAGGTCTTATTTAACTGCATACTTTTAATTTTTGAAGCATAAATGCATAAAAGTCCTCGCAGTATCCATAACATTATAAATATATTATATAATATAATAAATTATTGGTAATTATTATATACATCATAAAAAAATAATTTTATTATTATAATGATATTAATATTAATAACAGTATTAAAAATGTATAGCTAATATTTTCTATATTCTAATATTTAAAATTAAATTTAAATGTCTATGTCAATTGAATCTTCTTCTGTTTTCTGTTGAATTTGTATTAAACTGATCAATAATTGATAATTTTTTACTCGAGAATTTAATATGGGAAGAGAATAAATTCTGTTATTATGATGTATTATGATGGCAAATGGTAACGATTAAACATTTTTTTGTTTTGTAATTAATAGTTTAAAATATTATACTTTCTTTGATAAAATACTTCTAAAATTTTAGATTTTTACAAAATATCCAGAGGAATTGTCCCTTTTTTAATTTTAAGAGGGGCAGATGCCTCCCCCAGTTTAAGTCTATGATCTTGTGGTCACTGGTTACGATTCAAAACCATAGAGAAATACTATGTTACTCTATTTCTAAAAGGCAAGGTGGTACCATGGACTATGGAGCATCATCAATGGTCCACTCGAGGACCATAAAAGACGTGTATTAGGTGGAACTAGTAAGCCAGTACAATAAGTGACTGAGATTTCCAAGTTCTGATGAATATTATTATCGTTTTGATCTATGATGATGAAAAAATTAATTTCCAACTGAATGTTTGTAGATGTTTGGTTATTGTTGTTTATCTTACCTAATGTTATATATGATTATTTATTTTTAGCTTGATATAAACTTTTCATCTTGGGGTTCAACTGGTGGTTGGGTACCAAATGCATTAATTTTCAATACAAAAGAAGCATGTAGTAAAGCCAAAATTCTTTTAGGAAATGCATGGCTTACTATTATGAGGGGTTTTAACGTTTCAACTGTTGGCTGTCCAGTACCAGCGGTAATATAAAAAAACAATTATTCAATTATATTATAACTATAATGCATGTAGATTGTAAGTATGCATCATTTAATGACTTGAAAATAGTAGAACTAACATCAAAATTACGAATAAAAATGTCTAACACATTGTAAAACTATTGTTGGACTAAATTAATCATTATAGTATACTCTGTTCAAATTAATAAACGTAATCGGTGGCCACCAGTTTTCATCGGACCGCAGTCGGGGAACATCCGTTTGTCACCCCTCACCCATTTAATTATCTGTATACTTTTACCTGCCGTGTTTTATTACCATTCCCTTGCTCACAAGTCAGCCGCTGACTACTTTTCTTAACTTGAAGTATAGTATAACAATTTCAAAAAATAAAAATGTATGAGCTGCTCTATTGCATAATGTATTATATATTTGTAACAATTTTGTTTCTAAATTTTTTCAGGGCACATATATTACATCAGGGATTGACTTGACGAAATTTGAAGATAATAACTTTCCCAAAGTGTATTTTTATGGAAAATATAAAGTTGTGTTTCGCTTCATAAGTAAAGAAAATAAAGAAGTTGCTTGTGAAGTTATGGAGATCCATTTTAATCGACCGTGGGAAACTGCAACTTGATTCAATCATACAAAATAATGATAGGTGATTGAAAAATAAAATTGTAAAACTTTATGCAAATTATCTAATTTCATTAGACAAAAAAACTCATTATACTTAGCTAAAGGTAGTTATATTAATAAAAACATTAACATAAACCAGGGTTGGGACGTATATTGTACTTAAATGTATAACAAAAAATGTATTATATAATATACGTATTATCCGAAACATTATACTTTATATATTGCACATTATTATAAGTATTATAGTTACCTCATGTATCATACCTCCGGAATTTTACTTTTTATGCGTATTATACGTATTTTATTAAGTAATATTTCAACATACAACGCAAAAACTTATTTTATCTCATATACTTACTGCATTATTAGCATCCACAGCACAATTGGTAATGATTTTTCCAAATTGGTTGTTTGTCTATAATTTAATAAGATATAGGCTGGAGGGACGAAGATCCAAAAAGCTATCAATTATATAGGTAGCTAGGTATATCTATTATGCACTTAAAATTGATAAAAAAAGTGTGAACTCAAAAGATGAATATTAACGACTATAATATTAATCATCATAAATCAATTATTATTGTTACTAATTATATACATAACAAGCAATATTACATATTGTAAAAAAATAATAACTTCAAAATGTAATGAATAAAATAATAGAATAAATAAATAACTAATAAGGAGCAATTCCTTTTACTTTTCTCCTTTATAATTAATATAGTTTTTCAGATTGTTAGGGGAAATTATTATAGTAGAAATTACAATAGATTACTGTAGAATATTATAAAATATAGTATAGTGTACAATAAACCATGTAATAATACATTAATATGTTATACGTTTCAATGTACTTATAAGCAACTTTTATATATGATTTTGCCCAGCACTGATATAACCCAAGTATTTTGTTGGTTTTCATCATTGGTTAAATACACTTACAGTATTAACCTATTTAAACATAGGTCCCAGTGTAACATTCTTATAGTTATCTATTACCACTTGTAGTAATGTGTAAAAAGAAAATAGTTAACTAACCAAAATTTACTTCAATATTATCTAATGGCTTTAAAATTAGTGAATTAATATTGATAAAAATACTTGACACAAAACTAACTACAGTCAAGCAAATTTAATCAGCATAGTAGAGTAATAATTATTATAAGAAACATTAAATTTCTAGAGAAAACGCTCTGGTGTATACCTATAGTTTTTTATATTAGTATTGCAGTACCTACGTCATTTAGGGTAACTAATGTTTGCCCAAAACAAATCTTACATACAAGTATACGATATTATGTTAGTCTCCATAACGAAATAAATTTAGTTAAAAACTGGGTTTTTCTTTAACTTTTACTTTTTCAATATTAAGCTTTAATCATTCTTTAATTTAAACTATGGTGTTGCTATATTATTATAATAGTACAGTTATTTAACATATTTAGTGCACCTCGGATTTAGGTATAGTAGGTACGCTTCTGTTCAAGGGCGAAACGGAGACGGTGTACCTCGCTTCGTGAACTTATTTGGTATATACACATCACGCACTCGACAATTAATGTACCAGGGTAGGTACAACATGTTAGTACACAACACACCTGCCGAGCTACAATTGTCACCTACTATGCAGCAGAGTGACTGTTTAGGCTACAGTTCGTGTTACCTACTCGTATAATGTATTTTTCACATTTATTTTATTAATGGTAGTCTCAATACTATCGTATGTAGCACCATCCGTTACAGTGATCCACTTATAACATACTGTACAGCAGGGTGTCACCCACTTACCCTCTTTTTTAAACTGTACTATTTGGGCGATATTTAAATTAATTATTCATAAGTATTTATGAAACATTTTGATTGATGAATTTAAACAATATGAAGTCATTACTAACTTGGATCGCCTGGTGTATGATATATGAACAGCTTCCTTTACCAGTACCTAAGTGAGTAATTACCAATAATATTTTTAAAAATATTGTAGTAGAATAAAAAATAATTTTTATTTTAATAGTTTTTAAATCGAAAGTATGGTTTTTCTACTACTTGTATTTTGTTTGAAATGCATATATATATATATATATATATAATATATATTCACTTACTTTATTCGCAGCGTTTATTGTTCTGTGGTAGTTGTAGTGTGTATTAGATGTTGTTCTCTGAGGGTGGTGTTTTGATGAGAGATGTATTTTGATTTATTAAATACCTAATGCTCTTTTTTAGGGTCTTACCGGATTGCCTGGATATTACTTTCACAACTTTGTTTGTTGTGATTGTGACTATTATCTTGAGCTCTTAAAAATGCCTACATTCGTAGTGGCCGTAATAATAATCGACTACCAACCGAAAGTTATTTAAGTTATTGGTCTCCAAGATTATGCAGCTTATGTTTTAAATAAATTTTAACTAGGTAATGTAATTATATAGGAACATATTGCTAATGATATTCTAATAATAAATATGCTAATAGTATAATATAATTATGGTATGATGTGATGATAGTCACAAGATTTTATAGCATTGATGAATATGATAGGAATATAAGGTAAATGAAATTAACAAGATAATTTGAGATAATCATAAGAAATAATTGATCAAATTGTTCTACCAAATGCTGAGATATTTTAATATACATAATATACGCGAGTACACAGTGACAAATAGTCTCTCGAGCAGTAAAAAAAAAATGTATCGTGCTGTAGAATGGCGTGGACGTTGTGCATCGGCTCTTCTTGTGGAAAAAACTGTTGATGGGTCGATTTCGTATGATCCTTATATAGTGTGTGATCTGATGTAATCCTTTCCTAATTGGTGCGTATCGATTGAAAGAAACGTTAAGGTATCAAGATGCGTCTATGATTTTATATTCTACGGTGTAACGTAAGTACCAGTGTATCACTAGTATAACATTTATAATGATCCGTGAAGTGTTTGATCACACTTGGTTGGGGTGAGGAGACGTGGGCATTATTAATGTGTTGCATATGTGTCGTGTGAGTGTAAGGAATGCATGTACATATGTAATGCGTATTTATATGAACACTGTGTTACTCCCCCCCCCCTATGTTTATATGAACTGAAACATTGTATTCATAACTAACTGCTGTACCTACAATTACTGATGACTCCGAATAAATATTTTATTTGTCTGGGTTGAGGTGAAATATTGTCGGAAAATACAGAAAATTAAATATTTTTTATGCAATTTTAACAAATTTAGTTAATATTAGCTTCAAATACTAATAAAAAAAAATTCCTATTATTTGGCTTTTCTATATTTTTAAACACAATATTATATCAATAAATGTATCTTAGTTCATTATTTGTACATTAATTAAATAAACATTATGCATAGATAACTCATGTAATGATAAAAAATGGCATCACCGAAATCATGATATAGATAATAATAAATAATATTATTATTATAACAAGGTCAACTGAAATATTTTTCAACAATGGTATGTTGATAGCGGATTGTGTTCTATGCAGGTGCTACCCACTCATACCTACCTACATCAAAATATGGTTTTCTGATGTAATTTCCGAGAGCAGCACTTGAGCACTTACGTCGTATTAATATTTTGTTCCGTGGAAAATTGAATTTGAAGCCAAAATAATATGGTCATGTCATTTTAGGTTTATATTTGTATATATTTTAAGTTCAGTGAATATGTTCATTTAAGTGTAATAAAGTACATGATTCAAGGCACACAGTGAAAATCTGGTTCACTGTGTTTTTGGAAAAATAAATACTAAATTATTACATGAATCACCCCGTATTTTTCGAGTATAGACGTCTTAAAATAATAATAATAATTCAACTTTAATTTAAAAACTGATAAAAAGTATATTGATAATAATAAACTGTTATTAACAGCTCTTTAAGAAGGTTTTTGTAAACCTTTTTTATATTATTAATGTGATTTTAACAACAGGACAACAATTATTATGAACATTATTGATAATTATTAGACATATATAAATTGGTACAGCTCACGCTACTAAATTTGAAGGCCTAGTTGAAGTATAAAATGAATCATATGCATGATTATACTTATATCTTTAGTTAAAACTTAAAAGGGCGTTGGTGAGGGAAACATTTTAAACCTTCATATATAAGGAATGTGCCTATACCTAGGTAATACTCTACCTTATTTTATAACATTATTTACTAAGTATTTCTAACCGTAGGTACCTCACTGTCGGAATAATCCAATCGACAGTATATGATGCGGTTAGCTAATTTCCGTTATTAAAGTTTAATATATATTTAATACTAATTTCAACTTCAGCAAGGTATCTGATAAATGCGTGGTTATTGGATGTGTTAATTCTGCAAAGAGAAAGTATACATTTCCAATAATTGATATTGACTACAACATTTGGGCGGAGAGAACCAAAAATGTTTAATTCCAAATTTAACTAAAGACCAAGTTAAAAAGTCCTTATTTCTGGCATGTAGAAACCATTTCGATTTGGACAGTGATATAGTCCTGAAACAAATGAAAAGTTCATTTTAAGTAAATCATTTTTCATTTATCATATTATTTTACTATTAAAGACGATGTTATTCCTTGTACATTTTGTATAATGAATGTAATGTTTTGACAACTAAAAAGAAGCTGTTTAATCAGCTGGCTTTATAGTTTGCAAATGGTTATCATATGGAGTACCTAATCTAGTATTATAATGTAGAAGTCTGTGTTAATTTATAATAATATAAAAATATATTCTATGATAATTCAGAAAACTAACTGGTTTACACATATTATGTTTAATATAAAAACTGATTGATTAGGTAGAATAAGACAGCGGCTGTACCTGCGCAGTAAATTTATCATTTATGCACCTAATCAATAGTTCCTAAGATTGCTAGAAAGCGCTAGTATTTCAAAATCCGAAATGTGGCCAATTTTCCAATCTTTTATCTATGATGGTTCTACGGCATAGCATTGAGTGGCAGGGAGTGTCATAGACTGTGTGGCCCAGGAGCTAGGTGGGAAAGAGGTGGTACGTATTTTAAAGACTTTACAAAATAAGCATCTTATGGGATTATCAGATATTATACTTTTATTTTAATTACATTTAATTTAAAATTATATCAGACTAATATTTTTTTGGTCGTTTTATCAAATGTGATATACAGGTGACATACTATATAATAATAAACATTAACATTCATAATAATTAATAAATAATAATATTATGTATAATTGCCTTGTTAGTTATTTATAAAATGATTATTGTGATAAACTGTAAATTGTTACCAATATATCATAGACTATGAATAGGAATTAAGAAATAATAGGTGCTTTGATAGAGTCATTTTGAATTTTGTTTTTAATCCAATTTATTTATCTTGTATTTTGATTTTATTCTGTTTTTTGAACACACTTTTCAGTACTAAAGTAATTATTTAAGTTTATAAACTATGCATGTAAAAGTGATGTAAAATATGGTATCTAATTTAGATTGTGGTAAAACTTCTAGGAGTTATGATGGCCCTGGACCTTAACGATTTCAGAAAGATAATTTTGTATACTTAATCTATGGTTTGTATAATTATACTTGATTTGCTTATTATTTTTCTAAACTATAAAGAAAAGACATTTATTGTTTTGCAGTAACTAGTAAGACTATAACATTTATTATAATTTTATATAATTTAATCAAATTAGTGTTTCCCATGGTCGTATAAGAGTAAACTCAAAAACCACACATCCAACTACTTTATTCTCAGCATTTCTTATCTTAAAAACACATTTATATTTTCCATAAAAATATACTTTGGGAAAGTTGTGGTCTTCAAATTTCTTCAAGTCAATCCCTGATGTGACATATGTGCCCTGTAAACATTAAAAGATACATTGTTACAAATAACAAATATATAATAACTTGATGGCGAAGTTCACACAATATACATAGTTTCTGAGGGAGTGGAAGTATTGATTTGAAAACAATGAGTGTGGTTTTTAATTGTAATTTTAATTTTAACTTGCTCTATATGTCATCGCATTTTGTGGTGAAAAATAATGAAGGAAAAACTGACAGTCCATCTTCGCTCAGAATGGTTTTTTGTAAACAATGATTTATATCATTGAATTAAAATTTAACACATTCTTTACTGTGACTCACATAATCACATGACCCCTACTATGTAGCCAGCAAAATGATACCCATCCAAATGTAACCTACCTTTTTTATAAATATAATATACCTACATGAATGGTTAATGTGGTTTCACGACAGCTAAATAATATGTTAGAAATGTTTTTATTAATTCAACATCTTTCATGTCATAAAATATTATGTATCCATAATAACTATTATATAAAATGATATAACTGTTTTAAATGTTTGTATACATTACCAGTAGTATTGGACATCTTTCAGTTGAGAAGTTAAAAGCCTTGGCAATTGTAGACCAAAGAGCTCCTAAGAGATTTTTTACACTACTACATGCATTTTTTGTTATGTGAACATTCGAATTTGGTTTCCAACCACCAGTCGAACCCCAAGACGACAGATTTATATCAAGCTATAAATAAATAATATATTACTTTAGGTAAAGTGGACGACAAACATTACAAACTAAAATTAAAATAGATTCAACTGTACATTGATTACAAATTGGTCTAGTTTTAGATACATATAAAATTTAACAAATTTCTCTACTGCAAAAGTTTATTTTGCATTTGTAATATGGAAGTTTTACTATTTTATTCAAAATAATATACTTACTATAAGAGTATCGTCAAAAGGTATCAAATATGTTAAATTCCCTTTCATCTCAGTTATACTTAATGTCTTTTTATTAAAATAAATATTAAATAAAATTGAATGGTTTTTTGTTGAATCACAAGGATATAATTTTTGAAAGACAATACGATATTCTCCCTGTAATAAAATAATATATGAAAGTTTTTGTAGATACCTCAAATTTAAATTATACACTTCACATAGACAATAATATTTACTATGTTTAATAAATCAAAGTGACTATAAATTTACCACAGGTAAGTTCGGCATAAAATTGTTTTTTGATTGAGATATTGAAAAAAATACAAAAATTACGAATATTTGAATTTTTATCATTTTCTTGATAATATATTATATCATTAATGGTAGAGTATTTCGTAAGTATTCAACTGTAAAAATAAATAACAACTATAATTTTTCTAAAATGTATTGACACATTTAGATGGATTAATACCTATAATAGAGCTGCTACATCTAAATATTGCCGGAAATACTTATATAATTATATTGAACAGGAAAAATGTAATAAGGTTGCACCGGAAGTGTTAAATTTATAAATTTAAGCTGAATGTTAGAAAATGAATGAAAGAATAATATGCTATTAATCTATTATATACCTTATACCTATGTTATTAAAATGTCCTTAAATATAATTATTGTATAAAGATTAAATTTGAAAATTATAAATTTTAAGTTTTCATGTAAGTAGGATAAAAAAAGTCAATTCTGCGGCCTCATCAACATCAGCTTCATCCACCTCAGGTCCCTTAAGCCATCAGAGTGATAAGATGATTTTTTCATGTGATCAATTCATTTTTCGATCAACCCAACTTTTGTAATATGTACACAAATGTAGGTAAATAAAATATTTTCTATTCATATTAATCAAATCATGAATTTTTTTGTCTCTGTCTAGACTAAAAATCAAGTTAATAAGAGTATAATATATCGAGTTTTTTCATCAGGTTTTTTTTGTTTGTTATAGTTGCGTTTGATACTATAGTAATACTGCGATCGATGTAGACGTACTACATGATGTAGTACAAACTACACCTATAACTATTAATTATAAGTATTTCAATAATCAATGAATTATTTTCTATTTTATTATGATACAAAAAAAACATAATTATGAAATAGAAAATTTAGTATAAATAATATTTTCATTATATTACCATTAATAATTCGTATCAAAATGTATGTGCTTTATCTAAATTCCTTTCGGGACACAAACAGGGTTCGGCTAGAATAGTGCTTAAACAGTAAGCCCTTAAAATTGCCAACATGTCACAATATGCATGGATTTGTATTTTTTCGATAAACATAATATTATGATGTACACGAGAATAACGGCCTCGTACTACGTATGAATATAATATTAAATAATAATAGTATATATAATAACATTTTTTTAACATAGAAAAATGGTCAATTATTATTCCATTGTTTTCATAATACCTATATTTTTCAAAGTCCCTAAAATCCCAATAAATATATATAATTTATTCAGAATTCTATGTTTAAATCACAAAATAAAAACTCTGCATTATATAACTTTAAATCTCAATTTACTTATCAGATTTTAAGCATTTTATTCCTAGCCAGCCGCTTTGAAACTGAAACTGATGATGTCAAGTAACTATTTTATTCGTCTTCGTGTTTTGTTTAGCATCAACATTCTTAAATAGTAAATACTGATACATTTTAATATATTATTAATAAGTACATTTTTAAAAACATCAGACATTTCCTAACCTAACCTAACCCTAGAAAAGAAGACTGGATTAAAATTTCAAATGAGTTCAATAAAATTTGGAATTTTCCTAATTGCACAGGAGCAATAATTGACGGTAAGCACATTGCTATTCAATGTCCACCATGTGCTGGTTCCGAGTATTTTAATTATAAAGGGTTTCTCTCAATTGTGCTTCAAGCAGTGGTTGATGCTCACGCAAAATATATAACAATCGGTGTCGGGGATTATGGCCCGTCCAGTGACAGTGGAATATTTAAAGAATCTAATTTTGGTAAAATGTTACTACATAATGAATTAAATTTGCCACCACCAAGAAAAATTCATAATGATATCAATGAAGAATATCCTTTTGTGTTTTTTGGGGATGAAGCATACCCTTTATTACCATGCCTGATGAGACCTTTTCCGCGTAGGAACTTAACAAACGAAAAACGTATTTTTAACCGTCGACAGTCGCGGGCAAGACGAATAGTAGAATGCGCATTCGGAATCATGGCTAAGAAATTTAAAGTGTTGGAAAACAAAATTGTGTTGAGCCCAGAAAAAGCTACAAAAATCGTAAAAGCTATTTGTGTATTATATGACTTAATTATGATGAGAGAGAAACATTGTATTGATATTCAAGAATTTATAAATTCTCAAGAACAGAATGAAATAATTGAACAAGATATCAGTAGAATTAGATCTTCTAATAGTAGATCTTCCACTGTAGCAATATCACTTAGAAATAAATTTACAGAATATTTTAATTCAAATAAAGGTTCTGTATCCTGGCAAAATAAATACACTGTATAATAAAATTATTAAATAATAAAGAACTGATCAATTAATAACTATCTTAAGTACCTATTTTATTATTATATTATTATTACTATCGTGATTTATATAGAGTAGAAAATAAAAAAATATAATAAATGAAATAATAACATAATATTATAACAAAAATATAAAGACCTGGTATTTTTAGAATGTCTGATATTTCTGTCCATAATTGTTCCTGTATGTTTCTGTTGCTATAATTTTTGTTTTTGTAATCATAAAAAGACTGACGTTCTTGGACTAATGATATTAAATTTTCGAGGTTCATTTCATGCTCAATCGACATTTTATAATCCTATTGAATAACATAATGTGCAATCATAGATGTTAAAGAATTCTGCAGTGCAATGTGACACTTATCATTTTTTGAATTTCCACTGCTCGAAAAACTTTATGTGGAAATCCTAAATTATAATAAGTAAAATAATGCTTCAAATAAGTTTTTTAAGTTGCTTAAACATATTTTGAACTATTATATTATAATTGAAATATTTAGTTTGTACAAATGTTATAAATATTTATATTTTTTTCACAAATTATTACTTAAAAATAAAAACAAAAAATAAAATAAATGTTTTCAATGCAAAATTACGTAATTCAGTACTTAAAGATATAGTGTATAATGTATAATATATAATATATAATGTATAATTACCTTTATATTGTACACCAGAGGTTCCCAAACTTCTTATTGTGCGACCCATTTTGAATTTTTTTTAANTTGTACACAATTTAGCATAAATAAATAATATTTGGCATGATTGTGATATAATTATCCAGTGACTGCTTGACAATGACTAATGAAAATAGCGCAGTTCTATTTCAATAAAACAATATTAGTCATGACTGAAGACAAAAATGTTTTGTTTTGACTACGCTTAATCAGTGTGCGTGTTTTCCATAAAATATAAAGGTTTTATTTTTGATTAGTCATAATAAAGCGACTTTAGTCGCTTTAAAGCAGTTTTGCTTTACCAATGTGCGGTCACAGGTACCCGCCGTTTTCCCCGAATCGAAAATCCCGAATGAATTTTTTCCCGAATAGTTATTTTGTCCGAAAGCCCAAAAACCCGAAACCTGTTTTTCCGAACACCTTTTTCCCGACGGTTATTGTTCCCGAAATAAAAAATTTTAAAATTTTAAAAAATTTTATTTACTGGTGTATTTTCTATGTTTTATATTTTATACCTATATAGTTTATAAGATAAAGATAGTATTTACAAGAAAGTATGGGTATTTTACCTTTATCGCAATTTATCGTCGTTTCGGATTTTCGGACTTTCGGGAAAAATATACCATTCAGGAAAAAATTCATTCGGAAATTTTGATTTCTGGCAAAATACCGGTAATCGCGATCACCCTAACCGGGGGAAGAAAATCACAGATCCGTCGATCGCACGGTTCGTGAGATGATGGCCGTGCTCTCTGTACAAATTCGGGAATAATTTTATATGAATTTACACTGTCGACTGGGAACTCGGTCCAATGTTGGGCCTACTTAAATAAGTGATTTTCAAAACTATAACTATAGAATTTAAAATATGGTTATATTTTAATATTATATAACATTAATATTCTATAATATTCGGTAACCCTAGTGTGGTTGTCCGCTCGTTGCGTACTATTATTATTATTATTAATATTCATATTGTTATTATTATACAATTTACACTTTAAATATTCAAAAATATTTTGTGTGAGCCATCCTTAACCCTCAACCCTTAAAAAGAATTATTTATTGTTGTATTTAATTTATATAACACTCATTATACTGACTGAATCAGCACATAAATCAAAATATATTGTTGCGTATAGTAACTAAGAATAATCGCTCATCAAAATTATAATTTCTTACAGTTTTTGAAATTTCTGAGACCTAAACCTAACCTAACCTAACCCTTCCACCTACGACTGTTGTATTCCTAATAAATTTGCTAAATTCAAACTTAAAGCAATTTAATAGGCTCCCAAATACCGGTAATCAATAATTTTACCCTTTTAAGTGTTTTTCAACTAGCTCCCAAGAATTTACCACTGAATTGGCTCCCTACCTTTTTTCCAAAAATGTTATTTATAATTTTAAGTTGTCATTATGTAGTAAATAAGTTGCCGTCGGTCACACTCAAGATAACCAAAAAAGGTTAAATAATTGTTTTATCTTATTACTACTCGCGTTTGATTTTATTTTATAATAATCAATAATTTATCCGAGATTTTAATGAGGCGTTCATATTTCATAACTGTATTGACGTCGAGCACTATCCAGATTACGATTCGTTTGTGAGTGAAGTTGTGAAACCTTTAATTTGTGTTTTCTACCACTTGGCTTTTTTAGTTATGTAACCTCCGTAAAGAAATTTGCCTTCAAAAATATAAGTGTAACAAAAATCATAAATCTAAACATTTTGAAAAATGTCGTCATCTAGTTTAGAAATAGGCAATAGCAATTGTTAACCTTTAATAAATCTCCTTCTATTTATGTTCAAGTCAGTTTGTCAAGTAGATTTTAATTTTGTTCAAGCATTATTCGTGGAGATAATAGTTGGTTTATTAATTATTTCAAGTTGAGACTATGATATTGATCCTATAATGTTTATTAGACTATGGCACATTTCTGTTGCTAGTTGTGTTGAACAATATGTTATGTAATATGACAATTGACAATACATTGTAAATTACAAAAACGTGATAGCATAAAAATTTCGATCATATAAGTTTGTATTATTTATCGTCTTATGTAACTCGTAATATGATTATTCGTAGTGCGTGGCCATCACTCGTTAGTCATTAGTATCAATTTGAATAAAAACAAAATATATACACTACTTAAATTATGTCAATATCTATATAATCAATGCCAACCCTAACTCTATATGTACAAGCATGATAGAAAAATTGATTTTCTTGCGAGCCGAAACAAAATTAATTTTAAGGCCACATTAAGCGACGTAATGGGTAGAAATATGAAGCTACAAACCCTTCCGGAGTCTCAAGTGATCTATTGCTGTTATAAACTGTTAGTAGTAGTTAGTAGTTGATAAGTCTATCGAGAATAATTCATAATTATTTTTCAACAGTATTTTATTCTTTAAGATTATCGTTTTGAGTTTTTAGTTGTGTGTAAGGCACAATCTATTAGAAATCGGGCTGATCCATGGTCCGTAAAATATTACATCGGACGCTACCCGCCGCATTTTGAGTACCAGTCCGCTCATGTTTAACCGCACCATTAAATATTTGTTTGGTATTTTGTCACGTATTACAGTGTAACAATAAATTTGTTATGATAGTTGAACTCCCTGTTATATATACACAATAAAATAACACACATCATTGGAAGAACAGTGCATTCATCGGAGTGATCGACGCGGAACGCTTAGAATCTAAAAACGTACAATGGTGTTCTATTTGATAAAATTGAAACACATACTACTAACGAGACTCATTATTTATAACCATGTTAATACATGGAGATTTCCGGATCCATTTTATTACTTTTCACCTATTTAAATAATTTAATATTATGAAAAATTCCGGACATTTTTAGAGGTTACACCTCAAGCGTGTATATCCTTCAAAATGTATATATAATATATATTTTATGATAAATAACTGTTATTCAAGACTTAAGTTTATAACTAATAAGATACAATATCAAAAATGATATTAATAAATGTACTAGTTCTGATTGGGTTTTTATATTTGTCAAAATCTCAAAACCTTTTTATGCCCAACTTGCCGTTGGTAAATTAATAATCTGCTTTATTTATTAAACACATTTTATATTTTCTTTGACTATAAATGATGTTGTACATAATTTATTTATGATTTATCTAATTAATTTATAAATATATAACTCTCATTTTAGGGAGAATATCGTTCGGTAATTGATAGAACGTATCCTTGTGAATCGACAAAAAATCAATCATTTCAATATAATGTTTATTTAAGTAAAAAATCAGCAAATGTAACTGAATTGAAAGGGAATGTAACATTTTGGATGCCTCTTGACGATAGTTATACGGTAAGTATTATATTAATTATGTATGGTTGAATTATTTATTGAACAATTCAAAAATTGTATGCAATTTGTAATATATTATACTCTAGTAACTCTGTTTATAAGACAAATAAACTGTAATAAAGTTTTACAATAAATATCTAGGTATGTGGATATACATAATGACTAGGAGATGCATGATAAAACAGCTATCCTGATGACACATAATAAGACTATTTGACTAAATTAATTTAATTTTTTTTTTTTAATCTAGCATAAATACAAATCTTGAATAGGCAAGCAGTAAGAAATTATTTTGATTGTAGTTTTGAGTTTTTAGTTTGCAAGATGACCATGCTGTGTTTTGGGAGGATGAGGGGTTGGATTAGGTTAGAAAACCTAGAAGAGGTGGTTTTTTGATTATATTGATTGTTTATCGAAGCTAGTTGGTTAGAAAATTCTTGAGTTTGGATTGTGTCGTTTTTTAAGCTTCTTGCGAATTTGACATCCTTTATAGTTCGAACAGATTCCACCAATTGAAAATAAATGGTTTTCTATCGAATCCCTTTCCCGCTACCTCCGGTGTACCTTAGGGTGGATACCTCTCACCCCTATTATTTACTAGTTTCATCATAGATATAGGCTCCTATTTCAATTTCTGTGATCACCAATTATTTGCATATGGTCTAAAGTTATTTACCAACGTAAATTAATTTTTAGATTACATCAAATTACAGAATAATCTTAATAATCTTAGAGTTTGATGCAGTACAACTAGGCTGAGTTATAACACATTAAATGTGTCGACATTTGGTTTTTCCTCTTTAATTCTTAGTGATAAACACAAAAATGTTAACTATGTTAAAGATCTTAACGTTATTTTCTAAAAAAATCTGATATTTTCATCTCATATAGAAATAATCTGTTTCAAGGCACTAAGAAATATTTGTATTCTAGTTAGGAATACAAAAAATTCACTTATGAAGTGTATCAAAAAACACTATATGTTTCAATTGTGAGAGCATTACTTGAATATTGCTCGGTATTATGGAATCCAATGCAAATAAAATGACCGAATCAATCGAACATGTTCAAAGACGTTTCTCCGTCGTTATATACACCTCTAACCATGATTCAAGAGAGCTTTCACTTGCAATATCAGGACAAAAGAAGATGACGCAATGATATGTACCTCACGTACAAATTGGCATACGGAACTATATCTTGTTCTGAGCTTTTGGATTTATAACAGTTTCATGTTCCTCAATACTTGTCTCGTCCCTGTCCTACAGTGTCTATAAAACACCACCGGATATCATATGGTTTTAATAACTCAATCGATCCCATTGAAAGCGAATGCAATAGATTGAACAATTTCGACATATTCAATATAAAAAGCTCTAAAATCCTTATCATCCCTAAAGTCATAAATTTATGAACCTATGTTTTTATATATTTCTTTTTTCATATATCATATTATTTCATTGAAAATGTTAATACCTAATTAATTTTAAGCATTCACAAATGTTTAAACAAATAAATAAATATTAAAATTCTATTGATATTTCAATATGGTTTAAGCTCCACGGCATCACATTCATCAATGTGAAGATTCTCTTCTGGGAAGCGAGAGTTAAGTTTCAAAGTTAAGTCTCTCTCAGCTTATAGTTCTGCCGTAGGTATATACAAATAGACATAAATAGAGATTATAATTTATAAATGGTTGATCTATTTGTATGCTAAATTTAGCCTGTTATCAAATAAGTTATAAAAATATTTCTTTCTAGGGTTAAGGAGGATTCTATTGCTATTTACATTGCTAGCTCGAATTTGGCGAAGTTCTACGATAAAATCTAGGACAAAGCGAGAGTTTGAGAATTTTGGTATATTATGGCTATTTAAGATGACAGGTCGTTTCAGGTCGAAAGACAAATGTGAGGAATTCTCGTGATATATCTTTATATTCCATTTAGTGTACCAGGTTGACATGAGATCTATATGTTTTTGTGAGCTATAACCAGCAGTTATTAAATCTTTATGTGAGGAGTAAATAATTTTGTCGTCGGCGAAATTCTCGATAGAAGTGTAAGAAGTCGTAAGCTTTTCTGCTCACTGCTGAGTATAGCTTGAACAGAATAGAAGCTAATATTATACTCGTTGGAGGACACTCTCCTCGATTGTGGCCAAGGATTTTTATAAATAAAGAGAAAACATTTAATTTTTACTAGAATATATTATATCATTATACATTTTACCTTAATAAATATTATTTTTTTTTTAGCTTGAAGTAAACGTTGCGTCTTGGAGCTTAACTGGTGGTTGGAAACCAAATTCATATGTTTACATAACAAAAAATGCATGCAGCAAAATGAAATTTGTCCTAGGGAATACATGGGTTTCGTTAATGAAAGCTTTTAATTCCCCAACTTATAGCTGTCCTATGCCAGCGGGTAGAGTATACAATTGATTAATTAATAAATTAATTAATTCTATGGTAATTATATTTCAATACAGTTTGGCCAATTTTAAAACCTACGAAAGAATATTAATAAAAATACTTCACATACTATTTTAATAATAATTACAAAAATCAATAATGTCACTCTGGTTGGTA